TACCTCACGGTCTAGACCTTGACAGGTAGGCAGAGCTATTAATAATATTTTTGGAATAAATGCGTTAAAACAGATAACAACAAATATTTTCAAAATCTACAACCGTGCTCTATTTCGCTTAAAAGAAAACAAATGTATCAGATATGTAAAACAAAAACTGCTTTTATTATTTAAAACAAAAGAGATATGAAATACAGAGATAAGCATTCTTTTTTTTAAAAAATAGCACATATGCCTTACTTAAAAGCTAACACGGAGGAACAGCTAAGAATAAACACTACCATCAATAAAAGCTTCAAGTATTATCGTCACAGAAGACATATATACATGCAATATTTCTACAGGACAACACATTGTTGATACGTTACTGACAATAAACTAAAAAAACACGAGTGTTCTAACGAAGCTTTTATAAACATAAGATAAATTGGTAAACTAGCAACGCTAAGTTGTCAAAAGTAAAAAAACAGTCTCTTGCCAAAGATTTCCTTGTTATGAAATTGTATACATAGTATAATGTATATATAAAACATGGTCCACAAGTCTATTTTTCGAAGAAAGACATACTTAGATTTTGTTAAGGTCAGATCTTAAAAACTGTTGAAGGCATCAACTTGAATTCACTGGAAAATAATCTTGCCGAGACAGAGTGCATTGTGTACAAAACTTTTAATTATAACATTTAATAGTTCGCCTTAGTTAAACTTTTTTTTTCGACCTGCTGTGGGTTGGACGTATGATTACGAAATACTATGAGATTTCCATAACAAATTAAAATAGGACTTAATAAATTCAAAGCAAAAAAAACCCAACAAAAAAAAAAACCACCAAAAACAACAAAAGTGACTTTCTAAAATTTATGATAGCGAGAAGTATGTTTCTTTCCTTTTGTACTCCGCCTCGCCAAGCTATATGAACATACAAAGTTTGATGTCGATACCCTTCATATAAGTATGAAAATTGACGATGGGCAAATTCTGAAAATTATGAAAGCCAAAATTATGAATTTATAATTTTTGCACAAATTTCTCTGTCTCATCATGACCTGTCTACCGACCATATTAGAGATTGGGACGTTACATAGACAATAACGAAGAAAACCAATTAACCAGTGTTTGGACATTTTGTATTTGCTAAACTGTACTATTTTCCACTCGGAACGAACGCTGTTTTGCAAAGAAACCTAAAGGTCTTCTAAACTGGCTCTGAAAACTTGACAAATATGTATTGCTGATTGTCTTGCAACTGGTTTTTAGTTGAAATCATTCGACAGCACGTCCTTAATTCCTACTGGTAGCTTAACTAGAATAAAAATTGAAAACATTAAAAGTATGTTTTATCTCAATTGAAATGAAATACATAAATATACAAAATGAATTTAAAAATCCCCCAATATATAACTGTATACAAAAGGGTATATACAAATAACACGTACTTTGTACCTGGCAGGTATCCTATGTTATTGATAATGAACAAGTGAGTAGAGTTTCTATATTATCACAGGTTTATGGGACCATCTTGCATAAACCTTCTGACAAGACATTTTTAATTTCTTAAATGGGCATAAGTAGTTTAAATTGTGTGCCACTCAAACGGAACTTGGTCATTGACCTTAGATGTCAACAATTAATATGCGTTTTAAGTTTTAAAAGGCTAAACCAGTTTTTGAGAAACCATTTTTCATGAAAATTCTTAACCACATATTCAAAGTCGAAAAAGGACCATAATTTGATAAAAATGCAAGTCAGAGTTTTTCTTAGAAAGTGTGCTTAGATATCGAATCTGAACAAGACAGTGTGTGAAGTTTCAAAGCTGTATGATTTATTGTTTTTGAAATATCATGTTTCATGAAACATCTTAACTACAGATTTCTTTGTCAAAATAAGGCCTATAATAAGAAAACAGTAAAATAATCTATAAGTCGAAACTCAAAAGTGACCCTCCACGGCTTCCATAAAAGTATAATTTTCAGTATTTTTGTAGTTGCAAGAGTGTGTATTTTATACGTCTACAGTCTAAATTGTCCTAAAACATGTTTTCACTTCATCGCATGATGCTGCGATTGTCTTTGATGTTCCTCAGTAACAATCTTAACACACAATGCGATATCTCAGATATCTCTTACTTCTTTCGAATAAGTGTCGTTATTTCAAATAATGCACAGCTTCTGTTAATTCACTGTGTTCATGTATGACCGTGACAAACAAGAGTCACTGGACTATATCAAAACTCAGTCTAGAAAATAAGGAATATTTTCAGTTTGAAGACAGATAATGGGGGTACAGCGAATATCGCTTCAGTTCAGACAGTTTTGTATGCAGCATGGACGTACGTATTTAAAAACGTTTAAATCATATGTCCTAAATGTATTTTGGTACTAAGAGGTCTAGTCTGTATAATTTTTTCCTGCGTAGCAATTCTCGTATTTTTATTTTATGAACTTCAAGTCCTTGAGAAAATTCCAAATAATCGTTTTTATTAAAATAAATCTTAAAGTCCATCTTTTGTAACGACGATTTGCGTAACCCTAATGCGTCATTATTCTTGTCATCAGGAACCTCTACCATATTTCTGATCGGCTCTTGCGTTTTGTGGTTTACAAGAACATTTATAAGATAAATAGAAATAAGAGTTTTGATAAGACAAAAAAATTTAATTTAGCGCATGGTGCGGCGAATTGTTGTTGTTGTTGTTTGTTTTTTTTTTTTTTTTTTTTTTATGTTCGCCAGTATCATTCTTTATTGCTAACATGTAACGCACACTTTTTTCGTAAAAAATGTACGTTATCCGAGATATCGCATTGTGTGTTATTACCAATCAAAATATGTTACTTACGTATAACAGCTAAGGAATATCGCATGATGTGAAAAGATAAAGTCATTTTCTGTTTACACGCTTCAAGATAAATTCATTTTATATAACATGTTGCATGGTAAAGTTATCTTATATTACAGATTTTATGATATAGTTATTATTTTAACATGTTTTCATGGCATTGTGAAAAACCCTTTATGTTGTATTTGAGGTTGTATATATCCGACTAAAGTGAAGTTATATAATATATATTGAGGCGTGTCATGACAAATACAACATAATGGGTATGCGACCATCATGGAACCAGACTAGCCTGCGCATCCGCGCAGTCTGATCAGGATCCATGCTGTTCACTTACAAACCCTATTGCAAGTAGAGAAACTGATAGCGGACAGCATGGATCCTGATCAGACTGCGCAGATGCGCAGGCTGCTCTGGATCCATGCTGATCGCAAACCCACTATGTTGGTTTTGTCATGACACGGCTCATATATATTATGTATTTATATAATTGTGCCAATTAAACAATTTTCAACACCGGAGATTATGTACTGTAAATATTTGTACATATTATATGTAATCATTAAGATATATGCGTTCATTTCTTAATGAAAAATTTGTCTTAGATTTTATAAAAAAAATTTATTACCTCCCTTTATTTACATGGATGTTAAATTCGGTAATATCTTTATAAATAATGCTTTTTGGAACTTACAAAATTGATATCTCTTTATTTGAGCATCATATTTATGATATAAAACCATTAAAAATTGTGTTACATGATCTTTAACATGTCTCATAAAGTGACTATTCATAATAATAATTAAGGAAGCATGTTAACATTTTTAAGTGTTTGACAAAGTCCTTAAAGTATCGTATAAAAACCCTTGGCTTTCGGAGTTATTAATGTTAAAATCTTTTGAATATCATTGTTATTCTTACGTCAGTGTCAATGCATTTAACAAATATTCAATGAAATCAGTTAGCGCAAAAGACAACAAAATCACAAACTGACACCAGAATATCCAACTCCATGGCATAACATCCGTTATTATTTCCCCTTACTAATTTCCCATAGGCCAATGGGACTTATTCTTACTGTTTAATCAAATACACCATGTGACTAGAAAGTTTGTTCTGTAACATACGTTACAATATAGCACTTTTCAAAGTAAAAATCTGAAGAAGAAAAAAATCAAGCTTTAGAAATTGGCTGATAAGAAGAATCACAAATCACCTTCGATTTTTCTTTCTTTCAAATTGTATTTACAATGAGTGTTTTTCCCGACATGATAAGTGGGCACTACAGGAGTAGACCGGAGTGATAGAAGGTTATTTGACTCGAACCATCCACCATCTCAAATTCCACCTGCATACACTGAATAGTTCCTTATGCCTGTGGGAACGACGTCGCAGAAATAGCCTCGTTATCATAATGCATCAAGTCCTAAAATACTGTAAATTGGTACTATTGTAGAAACTTGTTTTTGTATTTTTTTTTGTTGGTATAAGATAATAATTGTAAGCACGAAAACGGGATGTGATTGTGTAGATGTGATATAAGTATGTCAAGATGGCAAACAAGGTAATGGTTGGGTTCTTAGATTGAATTTAATCTAATTCTTATAAACAAGGAAAATTAGAATATATGTTTTTATCAAAAATAATATTCTTTATTTAAAACGGTACTAAGTATTTTAAGTATAGAGGAAAATGGATTAATAACTAAGTGTTACGCGTTGTAACTGTATTATGCGACAGTAGAGATACCAACATTATTTTATTAGTAACCTGACCTCTTAAACAATGTTCACACTTTAAATAGAAGATGCGTAGGTATAATTGTCAACTTCCGGAAGGATAAGTTTCAGTATTAGGGCCGGGATAAAAAGTATTTGTTTACGGATTAATATAAAATCCATTCGAAACATCGCGCCGAAAAATGTCTGAAAAAGACGAGTAGTTTCGATCGGATCACTACCTTGGTTTTATAATTTAATTGGAGGAGGTCATAGTGAGAAGTATGTATGTTATTGTTGCGATGATTTGTAACGTTTAGTCCCGATACATGCATTTACTTACATCTTAAAGTTAATCCCTTCTAATGCAATACATTTTCTCTCTCAAAATAACAATAGTGAAAATATGAAAAAATATAGAACGAGATATAAACTATTTGTAAATAGTATTCAAATTTAATTCCAATATCATGTTTGTTGATGCTAAAAGTTAACAAAATAACACATAGAACCCAACAGTTTTATCGCCAATACTTGAATATTTGTGGTAGAAAAATGTGATATATTTCTAGAAAGGAAGAAGAATTGATTTAACAAATGACTATAACGATATTGAATTGTAAATTTGAATAATATTTGTTATCCCGGTATTATACACAATATAACTTTCTACAGATAAAATCATTTCCTCCAACAATGAAGAGTATCCGGAAAATGTGAAACAGGGAAGCTTTTAGTCTACGAGTGTGTGTAATAATGATGAGGACATTGTTTATATATGGACGAATTTTCGTGAGTATTTTAGCTCAAGGATTAATAGGAAATGCAAATGGTAAGAATTTCTATTTTTCAAAAAACAATTTACTTTTCCTGCCGTATAAGCCTTTATTTTTATTGTTTTTGTTCTAGTGATAGTTGTTTCAACATAAAATAATGGTGGCTGATTTACGCCATGTCGTATTTCGCTTTTCAGCCATGAAAATGTAAAAAAATCCAACAACAAAAAACAAAAACAAAAAAAACCCACTAAAATACGAAAAAGTATTATTCAAAACTTTGTATTTCGCATATGCAAAACAACGAAAGGACGATAAAATCATGGGTAAATAGGACGTATAGATGTGTCGTGTAATTTGTATTACTTCTGTCGTGTCATTTTTGTATTTTCTGATCGTAAGATCAGTAAATACATAGCTAACACCCACGGTCTAACACCAAATTTCCTAACAGTCCTAACAACGCAAAGTAGTTCTCACTCAAAACTGCTTAAAAACCAGCAATTTAAAAGAAAGAATAATTTTTAATGTAGGCATTTAACGAATTACAGTGCATTAAAAGTTTAGATTAGTCAATAGAAATATGAGGTTACAATCACAAATTTCGCGGATGAATATCTTTTTTACCCAATGAAAAATGTTCGGCTATTTCCGTTAAGCTTCGGATTATCATGAATATCATTTTAATCAATGAAAATGCTATTTTTAGCTATGCCAATAACCGAATACTCCAGAGCGTAGTACACAAATAAATCTGACTGTCGAGTAGTGGAATATATACATGTCGGACTGTTTTGGCGAGAAGATTTTCGATAAATTATTTTCATCAGTGTTAAACTGTAACAATATCAGATACTAGTCTAACCTGCATGATTATTTTACCTTGACCTTTATACTATCAGTACTATTCCATTAATGCTTGAATGGTCAGGCGATTCCCGCCACTAGCCACTTCTGAGATTAAACTTGAAAAGCTCACATAGATCTGTGTTCTTACTTCAATCTATTCACATTTGTGAATTACTGAACTCCGTATCCATAATAAATATACGTACATAAATTACACAAGAAATATTACAGTTAAACAACACGTTTATCGTGAACAAAATACCTCGTAATTAATAAGGATTACAAACACGAAATGGAAATTCTCAATTTAGAATTACATAATGTATTCGTTTTTATTCAAGGTTCATATGTATAACTTCGCCGTGGTGCAGAGGTAAGCGGTCTCGTTGAGGGTGTGAAAGGCCTATGGTTCAAATTCTAGTCGAGGCAATTCTATTATTTTTTTTTTCATGCAAAATTCCATATGTAAATCTCAAACTGTTATAGAAGAAAATCAAAACGCTGTCGCTGCGTAAGATGAATAATAGTATATAAAACTAAACGTATACAGGAAAGTACATACAGATAGTCAGTATGATTTAGATTGCAAAGATCAGAAAATACCATAGAGCTGCAGCCCTTTGATTTATTTCGCGGTGAAATTGAATCAATGATGCACGAAGATGCGCGTCTGACTTTTCGTGGCGATTACGACATGGTGTAAATCAGCCACCATATAATATAGATATTAGTCAACTGCCTGCAATTCTTTTTATAAAACCTTTTGATTTGAATGAATAAGACTTAAAATGCAACTTAAATGCTCGTTGAACAGACGCTTATTGTTTTAAATGCCATATTGTTAAAACTTCCTTTAATCCTATTCTTCCTTGATGATTTCTAAATTTGGCTGACTTCTAATTGGTGGGTTCTGTAACAAACATTTTTAGTTGTTTTGAATTGACATCACATATAACATGTTGTTAATTAACTTCTCTCTTAATAATTATTCCCATGAATATTCTACATTATATATGGTCACTGCATTGAAAATATCTATGTGACTTTTTACACTTGCTAGGTTATTGCTCGGAATACCGGCTTATTGAAGGGTACAAATCATACAAGGGTATATCATACGAGGGTATATTAGAAGTGAAATATAATCAGACATGGGTCAATGTTTGCTTTGAAAACGTAACTGACACGGATGCTGAACATATATGTAAACAAGTGTAAGTAGATATGTAAAAACGTGTATGAATATATATACACGTGTATGTATGTATGTATACATGTAATCACGTGTATGTATGTAGACATGTTAACACGTGTTTGTATGTACATATGTAAACACGTGTATGTATGTATGTATGTATGTATGTACGTATGTACGTATGTACGTATGTACGTATGTATGTATGTACGTACGTACGTACGTACGTATGTATGTACAAATGTATGTATGTATGTATGTACAAATGTCTGTCTGTCTGTCTGTCTGTCTGTCTGTCTGTCTGTCTGTCTGTCTGTCTGTCTGACTGTCTGTATGTCTGTCTGTATGTATGTATGTATGTATGTATGTCTGTTTTTTTTTGTTTTGGGTTTTACGTCACATCGACACAGTATAGGTCATATCGCGACGTTCCAGCTTTACTGGTGGAGGAAGACCTCAGGTGCCCTTCCGTGCATTATTTCAGGCACGAACGGGCACCTGAGTAGAACCACCGACGTTCCGTAAGCTAGCTGGATAGCTTCCTCACATGAAAGAATCCAAAGTCCCTGTCGGGATTCGAACCCACAGCGGTGAGGGGCAAATGGTATGTATGTCTGTATGTATGTATGTATGTATGTATGTATGTATGTATGTATGTATGTATGTATGTATGTATGTATGTATGTATGTATGTATGTATGTATGTATGTATGTATGTATGTATGTATGTATGTATGTATGTATGTATGTATGTATGTTTGTAAACACACGTATGTATGTAGATATTTAAACACGTGTATATGTATGTAGACATGTTAGCACGTGTATGTATATAGATATTTAAACACGTGTATGTATGTATGTAGACATGTTAGCACGTGTATGTATGCAGATATTTAAACACGTGTATGTATATAGATATGTAAACACGTGTATGTAAAGAACATTTTAAGCTTTCAGGGATAAAGTCTCCTAATATGAGACCATGAATTATGATGGCATATTTCTGTCAACAGACATCACTTAGTTATCACTTCAAATAGCAGTCTGACTTGTTCATAAGATTAATAACATAATTATATCGCGGTCTGTTTGCTATGATGTTGAAAATTTACAAAATTCCACTGATATTTGTTTAAATGGGTTAAAACAGATTTTCCGGAGTTTATCTGTTCACAAATTGATACGGAACTAATTTTTTTCCTTACCCTGCTTATTATCTTACATGAATTTGTCCAGCTTGTATTTTGGAGCTGCCGAGTAATGAAGCTAATATTTCTTTTTAAGGCTGTTTACCCAATAGGAGCCTACACACTGATTTCTTGCTTCGGAAATGAAGAAAGTATTTTAATTCTATATAAAGAAAACCCAACAAAAACATGGCGGCTGGCGTGCCCCGTAGGCGCCCCTTTTTGCGTCTTTTGTCGTCCATTTTATTATCATGTGGTATTAAGGTCTCCATTTTGATTGACAAGTCTTGAAAATTGTACATGTCGCCGTCCAGGAACAGTGACAATAATGATAGTTAGTTATAGTTGATCAACCAACAGAATAAAGTCTGACCCACCATTAATTCCATTAGTAAATTATTGATTTGACAAAATATTCTGAATCTTTAAGGCTTTTTTGTACGGTATAACGAAGGTTATTTTTAAAGAAAAAAATTGTTGATTTTTATTTTTTGAATATAATTTAAGTACACGAGAGGCAGTACAACTAAAAGAACACAAATACGGTGATGACGTGTTCAGGAAACGTGTACGTGAGAAAAGGAGCATATTTTACCGGCGTTGTCAAGAACGTATGTCTTCTGAAAATAGTGAAATTTACAACTACCAATGTAACAATGTATTAAGCATTTGTTGTTATAATGATGAGTACCCAGGTTTGTTTATTCTTATTTTGTTATCTTATCTAATAAATGATTAATACGACGAGTAAATGTTTTGTCACATAATGGGAGACCACCACCACCACTACCACCACCACCACCACCACTACCACCACCACTACCACCACCAATACCACTACCGCCACCACCACCACTACCACCACCACCACTACCACTATCACTACCACCACCACCACCATCACCACCACCACCACTACCACCACCACTAATAATAATAATAATAATAACGATAATAATAATAATGATGATGATGATAATAATAATATTAATAATAAATATTTTATTTCAAGAACTCAACATACAAGTGTACATAGTTAAAAAACTTGAATATATCTTATTTTCATATGGCCTTCCACAAAAGAAAAAAGGAGTTATTCAGGAGATATTTATCATATCTATGTATAACAAGAAAAAAAAAACATTAGACCTCTCTTTATTAATATATCGATTTAATGGTTTAATAAATAAATTGATAGTTATTTTATATAACTTTCTATGAGAACGACAGACACTCATGATTAATATAGACTATAATGACGTTTTATGAGCGTTTTTTTCTATGATGTTCTGTAAATAAACTGTGTGAAGTTGGCAAAACTTCGGCTGGTCGACATGAAAAAAACAAAAACAATTTTCAATATATCGAACGGCGAACGCTATACGCCATCATGTAATAACGCTCAAATACCAAATAGTATTCATATCAACAAGGTAATGTAAACATTGAAAATATCAGAGACATTTTATGTGAAAATATCAAAAAACGTTTATTTGGTGAGTAAAAGTTATAGTTAAAGTTAATTATTTAGTTTGATGCCATATTATTTTAGACCCATGTAGTAACAACTGGAGTGAAACTGTGGCGTCACCCTGGTTTAAAACAGCAAGACGCAAACGCAAAAGTGTACAGCCTGGATACGATCAACTTCTCAAATATAACTATACAGACATAAACATAATGAAATCATGGACAAAATCTGCTCTTAAAGGTATATATATTTATCATTCATGTATCCTGAACAAGTTATCTGTTAACACATGCGCGTGCATTTATGCAGATTCACGCTGTTGCAGAATAAAATGAATCGTTTGTTTTGTTGTTTTTTTTGTGTGTTTTTTTTCTTTTCTTTTTTTTATTGACGTTGATATCTTTAATAGCATAACCACAGCATGTAAGAATGTGTTAATTGCAGTATTCACACGTATGCTCAGGCGGAAGAAAACCAAAAATAAATTCTTATTAGATAACGAAGCTGTAAACAATTCCCGGTTATTTGATTTTACATTGCAGTATTTATTTTTTTATTAACTGTTAGCCAATTATAAAACAAACTGTAAATATAATCAAGGAATTCGTTAAGATATTTATATGTAGCATTATGTGTCAAGTTAGCTTGCTAAATGAACAAACGCATTATAAAATGCTAACATCACAAGTCAATTTCCTGTTATCACAAGAAAGATACAAATTAAAGGTTCCCAAGAAGGTACAGTGATCGAAATTTACACGTGCTTGTAACTGCATATATACATATTGAATTTTATAGCCTTACAAAGCACGACACAATGATTTTTTTGTATCTACTGTGCGAAAATTACCATGCAAAAAATGAATAACTTTGTACGAACGCTTTTGGTACAAAACCGGTTTTGTACGATTCGAGCTGTATATGTGGTATTTTCAAATCTAGCAAACCACTCTAGATAGGTAAAACTTCTAATGGTAGTTTTTGTAGTTTATACCCCGAATTTAACACAATTCAGCCACCGGCAGGGTGTCAAGCAGCTTACCACTAATGGTGCATTAACTTCCGCAAGGATATGGTATTCTGCTGTACATGAGCAGAGGTACAGTGCGAATGTTCATGATCAATCACAACGAAAATTACCTGCACCGTCCGGGAATTGGGACGCCCGATGCACGGTCATAGGCTCTATCAATTGTATAACTTCTTTGATGCACTGAGTATAGGTTAGAGTGCATATTGGGTGTTCTTCGTAAATAAGAAAGCTAAAAAGGAGCGGAGCTTGCGAAGCGACTGTAGCTTTCTTATATACGAAAAACACACAGTATGCACTCTAACCTATACTTAGTGCTCGCCATTTTTTTAAGTGATTGGCTTAAAAAAAATGGCGAGCACTAAGTTGATAAAGATATCGCAGTTCCGTATCGCAGTGTCACAGGTTTTCGTAGCTTCGCCACCATCTACTCACGGTCGATATCATGTGCTCATTTACCAAGTTGTTAAATATGGTTTAATATACTTTATGATAATGCACTTACATTGAACACATAATTTATACACACATACATACATAACCTATTTTTCAATTCCAGAGATTTGCTATCATCAAGAAACAAACAACAGTCATGAAGGAAACTTTAATTGTTCAAACACGTGCGACGTGATACAAGATCTGGTCTTCGTGATGATTAGCACACATAATGTAAGTGTTTGACATTTGAAATGTTTTTCCTTAAAGCTTCAAACTCCTGCTTGTAAATGCATGCACTATACTTTTTCAGATGGAATATTGTAATTCAAGACTCAAGCAATACAAAGTATGAGTAATTTCATATGTCAAGTTTCTGATTTAATAACTTCTAGAATAATTGTTTACATTATATGTTTACAAAAAAAAGTTTGTCAAATCTCAATTATCAATTTCAATTCAAGATTTCAGCTAATAATTAGGCTTTGATAGAAGTAGGAGATATTCCTTTTTATATGTCAAGATTCTGATTTGAATAAATCTAAATAAGTGACTGTATCACAGGCGTTCGCCTCTAATTGTCAAATTATCATGAAATAATCTCCCCTTAATTCTTCCTACTATGATACTTTGATAATGCATATGTCAAATAAGTAGAAGGCCCTCGCTGCTGTCATTTGATTTATTTATCCGATGATCATCTCAAATTCGCCAAAATTTATTTAACTTATTAAGATCATTATTGCGAACTGTGCACCCCCCACCCCCCCCCACCCCCAAAAAAAAAAAAAAAAAAAAAAAAAAAAAATGTTTTGTAACGTATTGACGATTTAATTGACATATATGCATTTTCAAAGAATTATTTGACGATTTTCAGCGGTATCTAAATATATTACAGACACAATTTACTGACATGAAGATTTTACTCTGCATTTATAAATTTTCATTCTCAGAAAACATGCTGCATGTCAGCCAAAGACTATGAAAACGTCAAAAGAAACGTTTGTTCGGTCAAAAACCTTACAGTTGTTGATGGACCAATTGCTGAGGATATACAATGTCTCCGTAAGTCATCTGAACCGTTTTAGTTTGAATCCAGTGCTATCAGTCATATTAAACTGGTACACAGCTGAACCCATGTCAATATAATCACGCGGCAATTTCTCGATATAGGATCACGTGTCCTGTCTCATAACATACGTCATATCACGTGTCTTATTTCGTGATTGAAAATTGGAAAAAAAAAAACGTCGATAGACAACTTTGCGACATTTATTCGACATACCGGTTATGTATATGTTAGAGTGCATATTGGGTGTTCTTCGTAAATAAGAAAGCTAAAAAGGAGCGGGGCTTGCGAAACGACTGTAGCTTTCTTATTTACGAAGAACATCCAATATGCACTCTAACCGGCTTAGTGCTCCGCCAACTTGCGTTTTATAATATAAAACGTCCAGTTTATATAAAATCTGTTCTATTAAGATTTGTAACATGAAAATTTGAAAAATCCTCGTCGGTGTGGCTTAAAAAAATTGGCGAGCACTAAATCTTTATTGCGTTTCTTTGCCATGTGTTCTTCTGAATTGTCAAAATGCATAGAGGATATTTGTTTGTTTTGCATGTAAGATTGAAATATAATTTCACTGAGTGAACACCAGATGCAATATTTTCACGAGTGGCGTAGCTACGAGTGAAAATATAATAGTAGGTGTTCACGAATAAAATATATTTCAATCTTATATGTAAAACAAATAAATTTTCTTTTTATTTCATGCTTTTTAAGTGATTTTAAGAATTTTTTTACTGATTATGCCGCGTAACGTCGGGCATTCTCCTTTTTGACATCATCACATTATGACGTCACATCATCAATTTTTAAATATAGTTCTGTTAAATTTCTCTAATTTTGTTACATTTTTAACATGATGTATGGTGACATCGACTTTATTTTCCTAAAGAAGCAAAAATTTACGCATGACGGCATTTATTTCAGCCTGTTATTCCATTTAGTTATGATTTTCTTTTCATTCGCATTCAGATATAGTTCGGCTACAGTGAAAATTATATTTTATAAATTTCACTAGTGGTTAATCAGAATACAATCATCTGATATATTACAATAAAACACTGGAAAGCATGAAATGCATTGAAATAAATATCACCGTTTCGTACCATACTGCTCCATATCAGGTCTTCGCCTCCACCAACTTGCGGCCGTGATCACGTCTTCAGTTAATACCATTATGTATACGTTATTACTATGTCCTTACGTTGCATACTTATTATATACAATAATCAATTACAGAGGAGAAATGTGATGAACGAGACACAACCAACAGCCACAAAGGAAGTTATAATTGTTCAAACATGTGCAATGTGACCCAAGAACTGGTCTCCGTGATGTTTAGCGCAGAAAATGTAAGTGTTTAACATTTGAAATGCTTTTCTATGAAGCTATAATTTCCTGCTTGTCTTAAGTAAATGTATACTCTATACTTTTTCAAACGGAATAATCTAAATTAATTATCTTAATTCAAGATTCAAGTATTAAGTTAATTTTATGACAAGTATGAGTAATTTCATATGTCAAGTGTCTGATTTAAATCAAGCTGATTTGAAGTAACTCGTCGTTGTTTCGTCCGCTGTGAATATATAACAGGCATTTTCAATAATTTCATATATTGCAATAGCTGTTGAAAGCGGCAATCTTTTTTCTATCTGCCAAAATATTAATCTTGCAAACTAAATATTAGAGCATGCATGCGCTTCTACGTAGACAAGCATGTATATTCTCGTTTCATGATTGAAACAGAAGCACCGCTTAGACGGGGCAATATTCGCCCGAATGCAAATTTGTCTGAGTAAACAAAAACGAAAAAAAAATAATAGAGAACAGGCTTATTCACGAAACTTGACCTAAAATGTTTTATCTTAATTATAATTGTAGTTTTAAGTTTTCACCACTAAATGGTCCCGCTGGTTGCAGCATGTTTTACCCTTGACACATGATTCTTTAAACTTTTGAAGAGGTATACTAGACATGCTACGTACCAGATAGCTTAGCTCTAGGCACTTTAAGTACATAGAAGAAGACTTGTTCATACAAATCAAGTGGATCGTGGGGTAACAAATACTAACCCGAAGGAAGTGATATACATGCATATCAGTTTATTGAGGTACTCAAGGCATTTCAACATGTAAATATTTAAGCGCAGGACATTTGAGAACGTCAAAATAACACTTCAATGTATTTTCTTATACGTGGAATCAAATGACCCCCGGGGCCAATATAAACTGAATGAGAATGATTATTTATATCAGATTTAATAACGCCCAAAATGAGTGTAATGCTACAAGCTAAATATCTCTACTCTTGGCATTTTAGTTTCACAAAATATAACTTAAAAATGTATGTCACTAAATAAGTCTATGCAATTCAAGGGACCCATGGGGTTGGATAGAAATGATTAACAGTATTTGTGTAGATATAAAACATGCCAAATGTATTTGCTATTGGCATTGTTGTTTCACACTTAAATGTATATTTCTATATAAGTCTAAAAATCAAATGACCCCCGGGTTAGGGCCAAAATTGGCCCAAGACATATGATTAATATCAATTTTGTGTAGTTTTACAAGGCAACGCTTTATGTCAAATATCTTATCTCCGGGCTTTGAAGAGTCACACAAGAAAGCTCAAACGGGTTGTCCTAAATAATGTTTCTATAAATCAAGTATCCCTCAGGAGGAGGGAAAGGATCAATTTATCACAGAAAGCCAAGACCTACGTTCTGCAAATTGCCAAATTTTAAGTAACAATTATGTCCAATAAATTTTATTGCCTTCTATCTGTTCAAAAGATACAGAGCGGACACGGAATTTTGAAATTCATTGTGATCTTGACTTTGACCGTGTGAAGTTCAAGCATTCGCTCTGCACATCTCATTATGGTCAACAATTCTGCCAAGTGGTTTCAATTTTCTAGGTACAGAGCAGGCACAAAAATGCTAACAGACGGACAGACGACCAGGTGCATAACTATTTACGCCGAAACTTTTCAGACACATAAAAACAACGGTACCTAAATATATAACTGACATATTTACTGACATGTATTTTTATAATTCATTCTTAGAAAACCTGCTGCATGTCAGCTCAAGAGTATGAAAAAGTAAAAAGAGGCGATTGTTCTGTCAAAAACCTTACAGTTGTAGATAGACATCCCACAAAGGATGTTACGACGGGATGTGTTCGTAAGTTATTATATGACGCAATATCTTATGAAATATTTTTGGAATTTATAAAGATAAAAATATATTATTGTTGATTCTCAAAGAGTTGTAATATATAACGTCTCTGTTAATTATGCATCATTTACTTTTAGGAAATATACAAACATATATGTTTTATACAACCAATTTTGAACTATTCTTTAAAAAAAATCTACCAATAATTTTGTAAACAACAGACAGCATAATATATAGATTTATACACTTTAAAAGTCCAATATACTCAAGAAACGCTTTTAGTTTCATTACTTTAAAGCTTTATATTTGGTTCACTTTTATAATTACAAAAAAAAGTCAACAGTTGCTAGAACCGTCTTTCTTTGTTGTTGCTTCTTGGCGATAAATACACTTATGTGATTATTTTGTATGAAAGTCAAAATACTATACTTTGCTTCCATTTTGCTACTGTTATGACAAGCTAGTGTAAATTTAGTACTACTTCCTTCGAGTAATTAGTCGATACAGTATTAATGTCGTAGTTTCGAATCAAGCCTTAACAATTTCGTTGCCATATTAGGCCTTCGCCACCATCAACTTACGGCCGTGATAACGCCGACAATTACTACTGTATACGTTATTATTAATATGTTACACATTGAGTTTATACACATATAACATAATAATCCATTACAGAGGAGAAATGTGACCAACAAGAAAAAACTGAAAGTCATACCGGAAGTTTTAATTGTTCAAACACGTGCAATGTGACACAAGATCTGGTCTTTGTGTTGTTTAGCACAAACAATGTAAGTGTTTTATATTTTTCCCTAAACCTTTTATTTCCTGTGTGCATACTAGTGTGTGTTTTCTATAATAAATACATTCACTTTTTCGTTATAAAAATATTAATAATTGAAATTATCTAAATTACAACAGTGTCTAAGTAAATAATCGGCGTGTAATGTTGATTTATTTTTTGTTTGTTTTATTTCTATCTCAGAAAACTTGCTGCATGTCAACAAAGGAATATGAACAAGCAAAGAAAGACAATTGTTCTGTCAGAAAACTTACAGTTGAAGATGGACCAGTTTCTAAGAACTTTACGCTACGATTTTGTTTAGCTGCTGAAGTGATTAATGGGACGTTGTCCGTGGCAATAGAAGAGTGTAGCCGCTACTATCAGTCGTTCAATATCTCGGTAGATCGGGGTACAGTCCGCTTGATTTTTTTTTACATAATTAGTTCTTGCGAACCCATACCTTTGACCCATAGACAACCAAATAAATTCGAAAAAGATGAAATATGAATAAACATTAGTCGGGGTTTACATTTCACTTTGATGTTTATTTATGTTGGAAAATATTAACTATACAAAAAGTTCCGCACATATATATTTGTTCAGACAAGGAAAGGAAAAAGGACTGCTAAAACAGATACATGATAAGGAATCTAAGTTAAATTGTAATAGTTTAAGTATGTTTCGACCACAGCTGCCTAGGTCTCGTGACGCGGATTTAACATTTCCTACAATACTTTTATATTAATTTGCTAATGCTTTGAAAACATTTTACTATACTTTTTTCTAGCTTTATTGGCCTCCCCATGAGAAAACCAACGTAATGCAAAAATTTCACATTTTAAGTTTTTACAATTTTATGGAAATACGATAATTCCACACCGACACCTGCCTTTTTATTTTATAACTTGTTTCACGTGATTTTTTGCAGCAGGAAGGCGCTAAAATTTTAAATAATCACACAACCATTGAATACTTTTTCAATTTCAGAAAAAAAGATTAGGACAAAAAGCAATACGACAGAGAGAAGGTAAGAACTGGTAATATATTATACTGTTCATTGATGCATCTGTCTTTGTGAATTAATAGAAATAATATTTTGTACGACTACTTCTTAAACAATATTTTGTTGTTCAATACGAAGGGTGCGTTACTTATGCAACCTCACCTTGCATTTCTAAATCGTATTGCACGTGTTAGAGTGCTTCTCAAAGGTGAATTCAATGTGGTAAGAGTGTAAAGCAGAACGTGCTATCATGTGGTTTGAGGGAGTGAAGAAGAAAACATGATCAATTTTAGGCCCATAAAATAGTCCTTGCAATTACGTTAGATCTCGGTCTTCAAGTCTTGTCCAGGCATTTTTACGGAATAACAAAGTATCGAGCTCACAAGTCCAGGAAATAAAAGCCCAGCAGTGTTTTACATAAACAAGAGACTGCTCTTTACAATGTTTATATCCCGTTTCTTATTTAAGCCTGTTCCAACCCATCATTTCTGATAAACGTTGCCATGTATCTTCATTAAGAAGGTACCGGTATATCACGGCCAACACAACGTGACATTAAATCTGTTTCAATCACATCGACAAAGCAAATTCGACTTTCCAGATTTACTGTTTGAAGAGGATCTCAACCGTCATTTGTCATTGTGCATTTTCCAAACATAAATGTGCACCTGAGTTTAACCACTAACCTTCCGTAAACTAGCTTTTTACGAGATATCTTGGACATTTTTACTTGTACAGAAAGAATGACGTTTTTCTTTGCAAACATTTATGTCACCACGAAGACTATGAATATATCATAAATATTTTCATGTCTGAAATATAATTTTATTTCCAGTAAAAGTATAACAACAGGGGAATCACAGCAAACAGACGCTGGTAGGTTTCTTACATGATGTCTAAGCCAAATGTTTATTGTATGTATTCAATTTCCGACGAAGGAAATAACTTTTTAATACACCTTTTGATACGATTGTAAAAAAACTGAAATGTAATGGTATCGCACCCGCTGGGCTTCATATGCACGGAGGAGTTTAAAAAATACTTGATACAAATGATCATAATGCGCGCATCTAACTCTAAAGGTAAAAGTTAGCACTTAGAGTTCACAGGGACACACTTGTTCGCAGCAAAACTAATCTTATAAGAGGGATTTTCTTAAAATATATTTTATAATAATTGTTCACCAGAATGAGCTAGAGTTTCGCACTAAATATTTGGGCCCTTTTGACGAAGTTCTCGGTAAATGTAACGGTAATGTCTAGGGTCAGATGAAAATATGAAAATGTATGTAGGTACAATGTTGCAGTCTTGAAGTGAAGCATTATATCACAAATGATCCTGAGACTGAATATCACCAACATAATCTAGGTAAACATTTGTAAGGTCAAGGTCTCCAGAGATGGTTAAATATGAAGATGTTGTACAGAGCATACCTTGCATTGAAGTATCTTAGTTAACTTCTCATTAAATTTCAACATCACGAGACGGAGTGTTGCACATAAGAAGCAGGTCTTATGGCCAGGTCACACTTAATGATAAGAGTAAAACACATGTCTATCTTGAAACTATAACATACATACATACATACATATATACATACGTACGTACGTACGTACGTTACGTACGTACGTCCGTACATACATACCCTAACCCTCTCTGATTTCCTTTCCTGAGGCATTGTTCAATTCAAACAAATAACAAGTTAACTACCTTATAAGAAGCAGGTCAAAAACAATATATAAATAACTGGTCCCTGCAACTTTCTAACTCATCGTGATAAATGTAGACCGCTCCACAAACAAATGAAAACTTCTGTAGCATAAGACGGGCACAGTAAAACCCTATGGTAACTAGATAAACAGACTGACGAAAAAAGATCTGTATCAACCAAAATGTGTCTAATAACTGTAAAGACCGCGAAAAAATGACTGAATTTAGAAAACAACTAAATCAGTGACCCGAAAAATACAAATACATAAAGAATGACCCAACAGGTTAACCAATAAAAATTTCTGTATTGTATCGGTAATTAATAGATTTTAGATAAATCGAAAATACTCTAAATGTTAAACATTCTGAGGTGCATAGTTGTGCGCAAAATTAAGGTCATTTTGGTCAAGGCCTAGGTCGTATGAAAGGTTTCCTGTATATTGATTAAAAAAAGTAATGTTAAAAGATTATCTTTGTCGATTTTTTGATATGCAATTTAAATATCACATTCAGAAAGTATTGTAGGCTCATCTTAAAGGAAATGTTTTAATTATCATTTTCAGATGCTGCAACTAAAATTGAGCCATTTAACACGGTGTTTATTGCGGTAATAGTTACTGTGTCTATTTTTGTTGGAGCGTGTGTGGTGTTCGGTGTTATAGTTTGTCGTAAATTCAAGTAAGTTTACAACAAAAAACCTTATTCAGGCATGTGTTGATCAAATAATATTCTTAATATTGAGATAATTTTGGCCAGATATTCTAATAAATCTTTGCTTTTGAATTGACCCGATATCACTTTGAAATGCTGATTCTTTTGTCCATTTGTTGTTTTCGCTTTGATCACATGAATACTGTATTATTTAAATATTAGCCATGCTTGATTACTGAATACTGGGGATTTCAAGCTTATGGAACAAATAGGTTCGCTTTACTATGTTACATAATGCTTGCTTGTTGTGAGTAGTCGACAAAAGTAGCTTCGTGACACAAAGCGCCCATTGTACGAGAATATCTGAAACAGGGAAAGGTTGTCGAGCTTCTTCGCCCTTCTTATCCGCCAGATCTTTCCCTTTGTGACTTTTTCCTATTTCCGAGGCTCAAAAAACACCTTGCTGGAAGAAAATATCAAACTCGAAAAAAACTCAGTTCGGCTATTTTCAGTGTCTGGACAGTTTACCTCGAAAAGATAATGAAAACGTATTCAAAAATTTGATTAAAGATTTAAAACTTTGTAAACCATATGGTGGTGATTATTTTGAAGGGTTGAGATAATTTTTTGGCACTGTTTGTTATGCACTTCTGGAAATTGACCAGTTGCGCATTCATATTTGAACACCCCTCGTATTATGCTGTGTAAACATAGTTGTTTTCTTAAAATACTATTTCATTAACAATTGCAATGGTTTATTGTTCAAGCTCCATTCAAATCGTTTGTAATTTAGCATTCTATTGTGAATCCTAATGCATATTTTTTATTTCTTGAAATGCAGAAAAATTGAAAAAGTTCGCGAGAAGCAGCGGCCAAATTCCGTTGTTAATCGAGGATATGCCATGGAGGTGTTTTCCAATCAGCCGCAGTTAGACGATGAAGAATACACTTTAATATCAGACATGGAAGTTCAAAATATTTCAGCTGAGCAATTCATTCCTAAACTTCCTGATCGCGTTGTTGAAACTGACAATAGAATGAGAGATAAAAAAGCCGTCAAAGAGTCGGACGTAATAACAATTGCAGAGTACGGTGTTCCTTCAGATAATATTAGAGCCGAGTGTAAGATCTCACAAACTTCAAACTATTACATGACAACGTATGACGATCCTATTCGACTTAAAAGAAAAGAAGAACTTGATAATAATGATAAGTATAGTTGTAAAGATGACAATATGCATTCTAATGGTTCAGAGTTCGACAAAAGGGAAAGTGAAACAAATGTAGTACATTTAAAGAGACATTCTTTCAACAGTAATGTAGTTGATATACATAATGATTCAGCAGCAGATGAAAAAAGGTCCCCAGAAACGCGTGCATTTAGCTTGACAGAGAATAACGTTATCAGTGGTAAACTTGACTCTACACAGTCTGTTAAATCAGTACGTTCAAAACAAGATGAGGATGGGTATGAAGATGGTTTTGCACCGTTGAAACAGATTCCAGTTACTGACGAATCTAAGAATGATGGTGATCTTGAACCTGAATTAGAGAATAATACGAGTAAGTGTGAACAGAACAACGCTCATGATGGCGATGACTATGAAGATCCAGGGCTGATTGATGGTAAATACCGCAGCAACTATCCACCTAGCAAATTATTTGAGGAGCATGTATGCCTATCATGTCTTAAGCCGGAGCATTTGACACAACTTGGTATTAAGATTATTACAGATGATATGTACGAGAAAAGTAAAAACGTGCAAAGGTGTTTATCCGACCCCGTGCCAAGATCCTACTCTCGAGAAATCGACATTGACGGTTCTTGCTTTAGTGAACCCGACCGAAGCAATCATCCTAAACAGAAAGATATTGCTGATGATGAACAAGCAGACACCTTACAACAATTACATGTTGAGAAGAGAAAAAGAACTGGTTTAAATACAAGACGATGTAGCGTCTGTCATACAATATATGACCAGCTCGGAAATGTTAAGCTAAATGTTTGGGCTAAATGTACAGATAATGTGTATGACCAGTTTGGTAATATAAAACATTTCCAACATCGGAAACAAATCGGCGGGAAAAGGATGAATTCAAATTGACGGAAACAAGTTTTAGAGAAATAATACTAACATAATTACTAATTTATCACTTTTATATTATCTAAAATGTTCATGTATTAAAATTGTTGTAAAAAATATACGGTAGGGGATAAACAATGTATGTATCTAAACGTGTCTTGTCTTCATAATATCAAAATCTATTTATGTCAATTAATGTGTTTGCTTCAATTATTTCAGATGTCTTTGTCATTCTGTTATCATTAACATCAGATTCATATATTTTAAATTCATATTTGCAATTGTCATGTTTTTTAACCAGAATAGATATTTGAAATTGTCATATTCTTTTTTAGGAATACACATTTAAAATTGTTACATTTCTTTCCAGAATACACATTTGTAATGGTTACTTTTTTCCGGACTATACGGAATATACATTGTAAAATTATGTGTAAAAACTGACTGCTGTATTTATACCGGAATACTAAGTTGTATAGTTCTACCCTTGTATCAACCACAACTGAGCAATGAGTGTAAAATAACTTGCTCAAGGAAACAACCGCGTGTGCATGACGGGGTTTGTCCACACTTGAATATCGATCCCTAGATTACTAGTCTGATGCACATGATCTAATATTATCCCCTACCTGTCCCTATTACCTTCAAAATTATTATCTAAAGTCAATACCCACATTTGATATTCATTACAACAATAAAATGACACTATTACACAATTTTCATTTTACCTCTACAGTATTAGTTATACAAGGGCAGTAAATCTTTCGCCCTTCTAATGCTTTGATTCTACCCAAGTTTACATTCAATGTCATCACTCAACCAAATCTCTATATATTTTTAAAAACTTGGTCTCGATCAATAGAGTGTAGATATGTATGCAATGACTCTTCCATATTAAGCAGTGTTAAGTATTTTGTTTTATACGAACTCTGAAACAGCCGGTAACATGAAATCTGACAGAATCTGATTCACGTAAACATTGAAATTTTTCACTCACTCACTCGGCCATGCCGACAACTTTTGAACATACACTGTATACATGGTAACATTATTTGCAAAATGTTCACACGTTTAAACCACTAAAAATGTCTAAACGACCACAAAACAAACACACAAATAACACATTTTAAAACTTTATTTATATAGATCTAGATGATTTTTTATGAACCAATAACAACAATCAACAACTGATAAACAACCGGAAGGCATGCGTTTAGTGCAGATGTGGAGGAAAAGATGGAAAAAAAAAGAGTTCGACTTTTCGTCATTTGGAAAAAATTACCACTCGTCATTGATAAAGGAGACAATTTATATATCCGACAATCATTATGAGAAGTAAAGACTATGATGTAAAACAAGAGGACCATGATGGTCCTAGATCGCTCACCTGACCCATCGAGCTCATTCGAACAATTACCTGGACAAGCATTCTGACCAAGTTTCATGACAGGTGAGTCAAAAATGTGACCACTAGAGTGTTAACAAGGATTATCCATATTTGAGCAGTGTGACCTAGTTTTTTACCAAGGTCACCCATATTCAAACTTGACCTAGAAATCATCAAAACAAACTTTCAGACCAATTTCCAGGATACTTGGATCTAAACAGTAGCCACTAGAGTGTTAACAAGATTGTTTTATTTTTAGCTCCGGTGACCTAGTTTTTCATGCGAGATGACCCATGCTGGAACTCATCCGAGCAATTACCTAGACAAGCATCCTGGTCAAGTTTGATGATAATTGAGTCAAAACAGTAGCCACTAGAGTGTTAACAAAGATTTTTCTATTTTTAGATTCGGTGACCTAGTTTTTCATCCGAGATGACCAATGTTCGAACTCATCCGAGCAATGACCTAGACAAGCACCCTGACCAAGTTTGATGATGACTGAGTAAAAAATGTGACCACTAGAATGTTAACAAGGTTTTTCCATATTTGGGCAGTGTGACCTAGTTTTTGACCCCAAGTGACCCATATTCAAAATTGACTTAGAAATAATCAAAACAAACTTTCAGACTAATTTACAGGATATTTGAATTAAAACAGTAGCCACTAGAGTGTTAACAAGATTTTTCTATTTTTAGCTCCGGTGATCTAGTTTTTCATCTGAGATGACCCATGTTCGAACTAATTTGAGCAATTACCTAGACAAGCATTCTGACCAAGTTTGATAACAGTTGAGTAAAAAATGTGACCACTGAGGTGTTAACAAGGTTTTTCTATGTTTAGCTCCTGTGACCTAGTTTTTTTCATTCGAGATGACCCACGTTCGAACATTTATCCGAGCTAACACCTAGACAAGCATCCTGACCAAGTTTGATGATTATTGAGGCAAAAATGTGACCGCTAGAGTGTTAACAAGGTTTTTTTCTATTTTTAGCTTCGTTGACCTTGTTTTTCATCCCAGATGACCCATGTTCGAACTTATCTAAGCTATCACCTAGACAAGCATCCTGACAAAGTTTGATGATGATTGAGACAAATATAGGACCGCTAGAGTGTTAACATGGTTATTCTATTTTTAGCTCCTGTGACCTAGTTTTTCATCCGAGATGACCCATGTTCGAACTCATCCGAGCTATTACCTAGACAAGCATCCTGACCATGTTTGATGATGATTGAGGCAAAAATGTGACCACTAGAGTGTTAACAAGGTTTTTTTATTTTTAGCTCCGGTGACCTAGTTTTCATTCGAGACAACCCATGTTCGAACAAATCCGAGCTATCAACTAGAAAAGCATCCTGACCAAGCTTGATGATGATTGAGGCAAAAATGTAATCGCTAGAGTGTTAACAAGGTTTTTCTTATTTAAGCTCCGGTGACCTAGTTTTTCACCTAGACAAGCATCCTGACCAAGTTTGATGATGACTGAGGCAAAAATGTGACCGCTAGAGTGTTAACGAACAAGTGTGGACGGACGACGGACGACAGACGACGGACATTCAACGATCCTAAAAGCTCACCCTGAGCTAGCTCAGGTGAGCTAAAAAGTAAAAACAATAACGAAAACATTATATTTTAATAATAACTTTCAATTTATGATTTGAGAGGAGCTTAATTCCTTCCCAAATGAAATGAATTATTCACCATTCAGTTAATGCCGAAATATATAAACATATTAGCAAATATTTTAGAATAATTCCTAGAAGTTTTGAAAATCTCTCAATTATGTAAAAATAGAATATAAGAATGCCGTAGCCCATTCATGGTGTAAAAGCCATAAAATATCTGAAAACAGCTTATAGCTCGAATTAGAAATATGTGCATTCCACCAAAATGCTATTTGATGTATCTTACATTTCATTCTTAAAACTTTACAAAAAAGTGAGATGCATATCGAAATAATGAGACTAAAAGTATAATTATTCAGCCTGCCGTATGAAAGTCTTAGTTTGGTGCGCTTTTGACCTTTTACACTTTCACCTTGCCATATGAAAACCTTATTTTAGATAAACTTCCCGAGTTTAAAAATAATTAGACATTATTGAAACAACATTTGGCAGAATATAATTAAAGCAATATTTAAAAACATAACAATATAAAGAAATAAATAATGCGATTTCACTAGACCCCAACATACGCTGAGCAATTACATCATTTCAAGAGTGTGGAGTAGCAATCTTTATTGCATTCATTTCATGAAAATAAAATGTACATGTGTGTGTGTGTGTGTGTGTGCGCGCGCGCACGCGCGTGCGTGCGCGCGTGCTTGCTTGCGTGTGTGTGTGCGCGTGTGCATGTGTGAGCGCGTGATGAGGCAAACTTTTCGTTATCAGCATAGACCCGAAATGAAACATCGTATATTATATTTTGAAGGCTATCATCAATAAATGTTGCAAAATATGGTCAAACAATTTCATTTTACATTTGTGGTTATGCTTTATTTTCGTCGAGCTCTTCGTAGTTGCCAAACACATCCGGTTTTGTGGTGCACTGAAAATATAATAAAGAAAACGAGAAATAAATGACACGCAATTATATTTTCATTTACATTCAAGGTAAAAAATGTGCACACACACTTTTAAATAGTTGTAAAGTATTGTATATAAGATAAACATTGGCTTTAAGTATTGAATATAAGATAAACATTGACATTTAGTATTGAATATAAGATAAACATTGACATTAAGTATTGTATAAAAGATAAACATTGACTTTAAGTATTGTATATAAGATAAACATTGACTTTAAGTATTGAATATAAGATAAACATTGACATTAAGTATTGCATAAAAGATAAACATTGACTTTAAATATTGTATATCAGATAAACATTGACATTAAGTATTGTATATAAGATAAACATTGGCATTAAGTATTGTATATAAGATAAACATTGACATTAAGTATTGTATATAAGATAAACATTGGCATTAAAGTATTGTATAAAAGATAAACATTGACATTAAGTATTGTATATAAGATAAACATTGACTTTAAGTATTGTATATAAGATAAACATTGACTTTAAGTATTGTATATAAGATAAACATTGACTTAAAATATTGTATATAAGATAAACATTGACATTCAGTATTGTATATAAGATAAACATTGACTTAAAGTATTTTTTATAAGATAAACATTGACTTAAAATATTGTATATAAGATAAACATTGACTTAAAGTATTGTATATAAGATAAACATTGACATTAAGTATTGTATATAAGATAAACATTGACTATAAGTATTGTATATAAGATAAACATTGACTATAAGTATTGTATATAAGATAAACATTGGCATTAAGTATTGAATATAAGATAAACATTGACTTTAAGTATTGTATAGAAGATAAACATTGACTATAAGTATTGTATAGAAGATAAACATTGACTATAAGTATTGTATAGAAGATAAACATTGACATTAAGAATTGTATATAAGATAAACATTGGCATTAAGTATTGTATATAAGATAAACATTGACTATAAGTATTGTATATAAGATAAACATTGACTATAAGTATTGTATAGAAGATAAACATTGACTATAAGTATTGTATATAAGATAAACATTGACATTAAGAATTGTATTTAAGATAAACATCGACTTTTAAAGGTTTACTTTAAGCATACTAGCACATTTTAAGCTCGGGCTATGCAACAGATTCTTAAAACTAACCAATATGGTCCTATATGGGGAATCATGGTGGTGAGGTGAGTAGGACTCGAACCTATGGCCACTTGGCTAACAGACTGACGCCTAAACAACTAGCTAATCACTAGTTTGATATTTTATTGTTTGTGTGTCATATTATTGAATACTGAATTATTAAAACGACACTAGAAATAAACTTTTTGATAATGATATATATGTGCCTTAATATATTTGTCTTCTACTGTGTAGATTTGTATGAACTTAATCATACCAAATAAAAAATGAAATTGAATGACATAATAAATAATACAGAAAATATTTTGCTACTTTTTTATATAGAAGTAAACAAAGTACAAATAACACGTCTTGCTTTTAAATGTGACATGAATTTAAATGTAAACACATTAAAACATACAGACAATTTCGTGTTCACTCATCTTTATTTGAACCCAGTAAAATATATTTATGATATTTGGTTCATCGCTTACTTGTATCTTATATGAACAGAGACGTAGACGGATTTTGTGCGTAACAAAAAGTTGGCACGCTAATAACTTATTGGGTTCTTGTGTGAATATATTTTCAAATGTGTTTGAGAATTCTAGTTTTGTAAATGTTCATGTATTTATTTGTGAATTTAGATACTATTAAGTAACAAGAGCTGGTTCGGGGAGCAGTGTGCTATACTTTTCTCATGTATGATAAAAAGAAAAGCACAAAAGGGGGCATAATTCTGATAAACTATTTGGTATTTGTTTTCCCTTGATTTAGTTTGAGTTGGATATCTCTGATAATTTTTTAAAAAAAGATGAAAACAGTAAAGGGAGATAATTTAGCAGAAATGTTCTTCAGAGCCATCTGCACTACAGAAATACATTCCAAATTTTATAGCAAACAAGTATTCAAAGTTTAAAGTGAATATCTTTGATAGTTTTTGAGAAGTAAAAAAGGTTAACCAGGGCAAAAAACTAACTCAAAAAAGAGGCATAACTTTGCAAAATATTACGTAAGGATTATCTGCCCATGTGTTATTACATCCCATGATGATAATGCACAAGTAAACCAAGTGAATTACTTTGAAAGTTTCGAAGAAAATATACCGTAACATTCTATCTATCAAAAGTCACAGTGACGACCTTTGACCTTCTGACCTCAAAATTGATATGACAGTACAGCAGCTCCATATATGAAGTTTCAATGTTAAAGCTTTATTAGCAGTGAAGTTAATGACCATTAACGAAAACTTAACAAAAAAGATTAACCATCGTTAATGCCGACACCGTCGAGTGGGTCATGACAATACCTCGGAAAGGGCCTTTAAAATAGTATAGGAATATTGTAAGCTAAGTCAAAAACTGTTCAAATAACAACTTTTATTGATAAAAAGTTAATTCCACAATTTCTTTATTCAACTCTGTTTAACAATAGAATGTGCCACAAAATGCTCTTGTCACTAGTTTTCACGACTGTCAGGATTTAAAGCCAAAATGCAAACCCAAAACAGCCTGTCATAGCTACTTATATAGACTCTGAAATGACCAGGACTGTCACAATTGGCCAATCATAACATTCCATTTGGCCTGGCAGTCTGGCAGGAAAGACAGGAATTTCTTAAAATGGCAGCCATATTGACAGGAATAATTTAGAAAATGTAAATTAACAAAGTTAACAAATAACAAAATATGCAATAAACATTTGGATTACATGCCTAACTTGATGCACTTAATATCTGTACAAAAAACAATCATGGTTATAGCTTAGAAAATGAACTATTGATATAAAAAGATTCCAAGTGCCAGGAATTTGAATTTTCCCTCCTGACAAACTTAGAGGTCATACTGGTCATCAACATTATTATGAAATACAGCAATGCCAGCTAAATATTTGGAAATTAACTTAAGTCTTAGGTAAATAAAGATTACATTCTTTGTTCTTACATGTAAAATGGTAAGTATTTGTATATGTTTATGAAAATAAGGTCATTTTAAGTTTTGAATCAAGGTAGACAACTCTTATCGGCCATTTTGATGCCAGGATAAACAAAGTAAGTATATAAATCATTTCTTAAAGTGTAAACCTTCTTATAGTGCCTCATATAGTCCTAGAGCCTCAGAATGTCCTATATTATGGTACAAATACCTTCATTTATCAGGAAATTATCTAAGCAAATAAAAGCAGCAAATATGAATAGCTGAGGCAAGTTCAGGAATCCTGACAAGTAAAGTTCGGGAATCCTGGCAGGTAAGTTTGAAGCATTGACTGAACAGTATTACCTCACTTGTCAATAAATTATGCTAGTTTGATGTTCAAATTGTCATAAAACATATTTTGTTTTAAACTGATATATGCATTACAAGGTCCTATAGGTAATTTAGTTGATAAATATTCACAGTCCCTTACACTCTCCCCCTCTTAAAAAAAAAAATACTTTTTAAATGTTTTCTGTCTGGTTTTCTAATTTTTTTCTTCTGTATGGTTGATTCTCTCTGTCACATTTTTTTTACGTTAGGACACCACTAGTAGAAACATCTTTGTTGTCAATAGCATGGATACAATGTCAGCATCATTTCCTTATTAAATGAATTCTTGCAGGCTTTAAAGTTTAGAAAAAGTCTTTTCATTCTTACAGTTTTGTTCGGATAAATAGAAGTTGTTTATAAATCTTCCTCAGATGTGGGTAACTGAATATCTCCTTATCAAGATTTATCTGCATTATTTCTCCAATGACTGTCACAAATTTGTCTAGTAATTCATATAAGCATTCACTCATTGTTAGTTTTAATTTCTTAAAAGTTTTACTTGATTCCAAAGGTATCCTTATTATTATGTTTGATAAAGTGTATTGTTCACAGCATTACAGCAAAATGAGATAACCATTTCCGCTGATAATACTAATTATCGTTTCCGAGTACAGTTCCAAAAGACCTAAGAGATAGATACTGAAACCACTAACCAGGAATTCACTCCTAACCATTGCCTGTCAATGGTTTTGAATTCCAATGGTTAAAGCGATGCAATGTATAATTGCAAAAAGGTTCGCAAATAACCATAATTCACATAGTGAAACATGGTTGATCAGGCCATTTCCAACTATGAATTTCAACAACACCACAGAGAGCTCTGTGATTCACTTCCAAAATTTCACATTAATCTTGTCATTTCAGTATCAATCCCATTGAACCATTGTACATGTATACAGTAATTATGTATTACAGCTAATTCAAATCTTTGCTTTACTTTACCCTGTTTCAATTTCATAGAACCATAGTTTATGTATAATTAGTTTTAATTACCATTGTTTTTGTATTTAAGCTGAATGAATTACTGTTCATGTCTTTCTGATGCTCTACTTTGTATTATTCCTATTGAACCATTGTATCAAAACATAATTAATCACTATTCTTTAATATTAATGTCTTTCTGGAGCTTCTGGTGCTTTTATTTAACAGTCATAAACTTATAACAAATCAACAGTTAACTTCAAAATATAACCAATAATAAAGTTTAACAATTTTAGTAGTCCATAAAATTATGTTTTCACTTCCCACTTGTGTTTTAAGCTTTCTTATCCAAGTTGGGAAAGTTTTCTACTTTAGGACATTACTGATTTATTTCTTTATGACCAGAACCAAAGATACCCTCAAATGTTTCGATTATCCCAACTGCATGCCCAACTGATTTGCAGTTTTCCACAGTACATTTGTACTTCAGGTCTTTACCTAAGCCTCTGTAAATTGTGTGAAGTGTCATCAGCTCCTGGGCGCAAGGGTCAAGATCAGGATATGCTTTCCTTATCATCTGCTGGATAGCATCAGCAAACTGAGATGCACTTTCACCTGGGATTCTAACCCGTGCCTCTAATAGTGACAACCATTTTGACCTTTGATTTATACCACCAAACCTCTGTTCAAGCCTTGATATAAGTGTATGATAGTGTTCCTTCATTTCAGTGGGTAGGTGGCTATAAAATTCAAGTGCCTTCCCTCTAAGAGAGCCTGCCAAAACTAGAGCCTTTGTGCGTTGATTCCAGTTCCCTAACTTTGCACATACTAGTACATCAAACTGAGTGTGAAATATCTCCTAATCATTTTCACCTGTGTAAAGGTCTGGCTTCATAGTTATTGAATTGTTCTCATTTCTATGATGTATAGGAGAGAATGAATAACTTCTATTATTAGGCATTTCAAGATGTCTCTGCCTTTGAGCTTGTGATGGGCTTCTACTATTATTTCTGTCACCCCCTGCTTCTGAGTCATAGTCACTCATTTGGCCTGTTAATTGTATATTTCGATTTTCTTCATCACATGAGGAAGACCTAATATTATTTTCTTCTGTATTTGTAAGAACAATTTCACTTCCAGAGTCTGACATTATTATTATATTCTTTCTTTTGTAATTTCTTAATGGTGATTAACTTTTGGGTAGTTGCAAGTCCTTTTTGGTATTTTATATAAGTCTTCAAGTTCAAGGTCAATTCCAGGAAAAATGTAAACAGTTCTTTTAATCCTCTAATTCTGACACCAATTGTAAGCTAAGTCAAAAACTGTTCAAATAACAACTTTTATTGATAAAAAGTTAATTCCACAATTTCTTTATTCAACTCTGTTTAACAATAGAATGTGCCACAAAATGCTCTTGTCACTAGTTTTCACGACTGTCAGGATTTAAAGCCAAAATGCAAACCCAAAACAGCCTGTCATAGCTACTTATATAGACTCTGAAATGACCAGGACTGTCACAATTGGCCAATCATAACATTCCATTTGGCCTGGCAGTCTGGCAGGAAAGACAGGAATTTCTTAAAATGGCAGCCATATTGACAGGAATAATTTAGAAAATGTAAATTAACAAAGTTAACAAATAACAAAATATGCAATAAACATTTGATTTACATGCCTAACTTGATGCACTTAATATCTGTACAAAAAACAATCATGGTTATAGCTTAGAAAATGAACTATTGATATTAAAAAGATTCCAAGTGCCAGGAATTTGAATTTTCCCTCCTGACAAACTTAGAGGTCATACTGGTCATCAACATTATTATGAAATACAGCAATGCCAGCTAAATATTTGGAAATTAACTTAAGTCATAGGTAAATAAAGATTACATTCTTTGTTCTTACATGTAAAATGGTAAGTATTTGTATATGTTTATGAAAATAAGGTCATTTTAAGTTTTGAATCAAGGTAGACAACTCTTATCGGCCATTTTGATGCCAGGATAAACAAAGTAAGTATATAAATCATTTCTTAAAGTGTAAACCTTCTTATAGTGCCTCATATAGTCCTAGAGCCTCAGAATGTCCTATATTATGGTACAAATACCTTCATTTATCAGGAAATTATCTAAGTAAATAAAAGCAGCAAATATGAATAGCTGAGGCAAGTTCAGGAATCCTGACAAGTAAAGTTCGGGAATCCTGGCAGGTAAGTTTGAAGCATTGACTGAACAGTATTACCTCACTTGTCAATAAATTATGCTAGTTTGATGTTCAAATTGTCATAAAACATATTTTGTTTTAAACTGATATATGCATTACAAGGTCCTATAGGTAATTTAGTTGATAAATATTCACAGTCCCTTACAATATTAAAGAACGAACAAACCAACAAACCAACAAACCAACTAACTAACAAACCAACCAACCAACTAACTAACTAACCAACCAACCAACCAAAAAAAACCAACTAACTAACTACTTGGAACTATTTTATAATATTTCACTTTATTTATCTATACTGATTATTAAATGAATGGGTTATGATTTTAATTGATATTTCATAACATTATCAATACCTATTATTATTTTTATAATCATTATTATTATTATTATTATTATTATTATTATTATTTCTAACATATATGACTTAAAACTTCATGAAAAAGACTATGAAACCATGATATGTTAATTGATGTAGCTTTGTTTGATTGCATTTGCATTTTTTTAAGAAATAGAGCAGTATAGTTAGACTATGCAGTAGGTTGGCGACTTTATAAGGGCATGTTAAATAAGGCCTTACTGGACGCTTCTGTGAATAATTGTATAACGTGTGGACAATATTTAACAACTATTTACATGAACACAAGGATGATGACAACTAAAATATACTGTAACAGTATTCAGTTCGCAATATGGCATTTAAGTTGAATTTGCCATTAATCGTTAACATAAGTATGACAGGTAATTACTTGAATATAAGCATCGTCGCCAGTGTTAAACAAGGAAATGTTCATTGCTACTTAGTTACTTGGCATGGAGAACATGTACAGCACGGTTTCATGTTACTTGCGTTCACCTGTGCTGTAATCCAAAACATCCAAGTATGAAGAGAAGTCAAATAAAGTTAATAAAATATTTCAACATAACTGACCGTTGTCGGTTCGACCCCCCCCCCCCGAATGATTTTAGATTCGCTTTTATATATAATAGTGATGGTATCCAGTGAGCTCGTTTAGTTCTAACAATCTTTACAATACTCGTATTTAAGGAATTTGTTCTTACCTTCTGTACAATAATGAATAAAAGCAAATTGAAAAATGATGCCCCGGCAAATATCCAGAATGTTACACGTGCACCAAGTGTTTCAACAGAAATTCCACCGATCATGTGACCTGTGCCGGACCCGAGACCCCAGTAAACTCCGTGCAGGAACCCTTGTAGGTCGCGCAAGATATCCGACAGGTAAACATTGGCCATAAATACTGTTGATAAAAACTGACCAAATAACCAGCGGAATGCTAAATAACCCGTGGCAGAAAAGAAAAAAATAGAAACTTCATTCAAATGTTCCTTCAATTTCAATTAATGGGAATTGGTCCGTTTATTCACGAAACAGAATTCTGTAGGTGTGTGTCACTGTATGTTGCTTTTAAACCTTTAAGTTATCATACAGGTCTATAGGCAACTTTTGATGTAAATAGCAGATGTTCCGTACTACGTTTGACGTACGTCACAAAATTAGTAAGGTCATCTTCCCATCGCATGGACGCAAGCTTTAGGAAGGTACTAGGATATCCCAAATGCGTTTTTGCTTTGGCTACAAGTCTTTAGGTTGTCAGTCACGGACGTTTGTCCTTGATCTTTACTCACGATTGGCAAAAGTCAACAAGCTCCTATGTGGCTGGTTAAAATTACAGGTCCAGCTAGCAGCGCAGTGGAAATGTTCGCTGTGCCAAGTTACATAAACTTCGAGTAGACAATAACTTTTTCTAAAAAGATCACGTTTTGCAATAATATACATACCTTGTAACATTCCAAAAGTGCAGGTACTAGCACGGGATTATCTATCACAGCAAGACACGATAAACTACAGTTAACCAACGCAGACCTATAGCCAAAATAAGAGACAGCCTGTCTCTCTAATAAGACGAAATACGAAGCAGGAACATACACATTCCTCGAAAAATAAACCAAACGCATTTGCTAAACCCCCACCCAGAAAAAAATAAAATTTGTCCACCTGAAAAAGAAAGGAAAAAACTTCGTCGGCAAGTGTTTTAACTAAATACATTTTACATTACAGTTTGTTGGTTGTTTACGGTCGCTAAACAACACAGTAGAGGTCATATTGCGACTTTCAAGCGTTACTGGTGGAGGGAGACCTCAAGTATTCCCTCGTGCGCTCTTTCAGGCATGAGCGCGAACCGCAGAACTACTGATGGTCAGTAAGCTAGCTGAACAGCTTCCTCACACGAAACAATTCTAAGTCCCTTGCGTGATTCGAACCCACAGAGTTGGGAAGCAGTTTGTTTGAAGTCAACGACTTTAACTATTTGGCCGCCGCCCCATCTAGTAAAAATTACGAACACTATCGATTTGATTTTTTTATAGAATGAGAAGATAACTTTGTTAACTTTTACTTTATTGAACGATAGTTGTTAGTTGTTTACACTAGTCCGCGTCTTTCGGCCAGTATTTAATTTGAACTGTCCATAATTGTATTACTGGCTTTCAACATCAAAATACAGACATTTGGGGCGTGGAACTCAATTTCTCAAACAATTGACCGTTGTATGCCTTTGCTTACATCAAACTAAAATACCGGTAACAAAGTTTATTCACTTAATTGTATCCAGTGTTCTAGATATTATATACATACGATGTATTAACGCTAATTTCATAAACAAAAACATAATAAAAGCAGCGTTCATTAACTTTTTTGACCTTTGGTTCACTAGGAAATATATGATAATGACTAAATTACAGAATAGTTTGGTGAAGGCATATTTCTTGTTGATTTTGTTATCTCATGAACAACTATTAAAGCAGTTAAACTGTACAAGATTTGCATAAGATATGCATTAAAAAGTAATTGCCTTAGGGACATTTTGCATACATGTTGATATAGTGTACATCATGTAAATCCGTTATTTAAGATATCAACACTAAACATGAAAGCAAGCTGGTGCATACTTTCATCATTATAAACATATATCTATATAAATTTCTGTAATGTATGACGATATGAATGTAATATGGTCACATCAAAACATCCGGATTTTTTATGTAATTAAAGTAATTCGATTCCTTACACTTTCGTAATAATTTGGTCAAGTTCGCCAATTTTCGTGTGTAACTGTTTTATGAGCTTAAATAAGTAGGAACACGGGCATTATCAACTTACTGTCTTAGAACTGAAATAAATATAAACATAATCATGACCAACTAACTGTCTTATGAACTCAAGTAAGCATAGACATTATCATGACTTACTTACTGTCTTATGAACTTAAGTAAACATAGACATTATTATACTTACTGCTTTATGAACTATAGTAAGCATAGACATTATCATGACCAACTTACTGTCTTATGTACTAAAGCAAGCATAGACTGTATCATGAACAACTTACTGTCTAATGAACTAATATAAGCATGGACATGGTCATGACCAACTGTTTATCTTATGAACTAAATTAGCATGGACACGGTCATGATCAACATACTGTTTTATGGACTAAAATAAGCATGGACACGGTCATGATAAGCTTACTGTCTTATGAACTAAAATAAGCATGGACACGGTCATGATCAACTTACTGTCTTATGAACTAAAATAAGCATGGACACGGTCATGATCAACTTACTGTCTTATGAACTAAAATAAGCATGGACACGGTCATGATCAACTTACTGTCTTATGAACTTGAATAAGCATGGACACGGTCATGATCAACTTACTGTCTTTTGAACTAAAATAAGCATGGACACGGTCATGATAAACTTACTGTCTTATGAACTAAAATAAGCATGGACACGGTCATGATCAACTTACTGTCTTATGAACTAAAATAAGCATGGACACGATCATGATCAACTTACTGTCTTATGAACTAAAATAAGCATTGACACAATCATTATCAACTTACTGTCTTATGAACTAAAATAAGCATGGACACGGCCATGATCAATTTACTGTCCTATGAACTTAAATAAGCATGAACACGACAATGACAATGACCAACTTACTGTCCTATGAACTTAAATAAGCATTGACACAATCATTATCAACTTACTGTCTTATGAACTAAAATAAGCATGGACACGGTCATGATCAACTTACTGTCTTATGAACTAATCTAAGCATGGACACGGTCATGATCAACTTACTGTCTTATGAACTAACATAAGCATGGACACGGTCATGATCAACTTACTGTCTTATGAACTAAAAAGCATGGACACGCTCATGATCAACTTACTGTCTTGAACAAGCATGGAAATTATCATGCTAAAACAAGCATGGAAATTATCATGACCAACTTAAACTGTCTTATGAACTAAAGAAAGCATTGAAATGGCCAAGGCTAACTTACTGTCTCATGAATTAAAATAAGCATGGACAGTAATAATGTACAAATTCCGTACAATAATACCAAAGATTTGGCTGTTAGAGATCAACATTTTTGACTACATAATGATGCGGGTCGAGTCCAAACTATAGAAATATAAGCATTACATATATATTCTATAAGATATAACGTTCCCAAATATCTATAAAAGGGAATACATGTATATTCAAAATGAATTACATCATTACCTAAATTTTCTAAATGCCAGAACAAAAATCCCCATATAACACCGTTGCAGATTCCCGTAAAGAACATACATAGCAGCCAGGAACCATAGTGTATTGTCAGAAACATTTTAAACACTTTAAACGGGTTGGGTTTCGGCTTGGAATTATTATGATCATCTACCTGTTTCTGTGAAAAGAAATGAGATTTAAAATAATAACAATAATAATAATAATAATATACAATAATAATAATAATAATATACATTTTTTTTGTTGTTAAAAAAAATTATGTGAGCTATTTTCCATATTGCATAAATTATGATTTTTTTGTTAAGTTACAAATTTCAATCGAACTATTCGGACAACTCCCGATGTAATTCATCTGTTGTGGGCGATATTATTTTCCGACCGGTGACTAGGCTTAAAGCACAGGGTATGGTTCAAACATTGACTTATACGCATGTTGAACTTATCACTGTACACCGTTCCCTATTATGTGAAGCAGATTGGCTTACAGAAACAATCTAGTAATCCAGCGTGGTTGTTACCTGGTATAACAATTTAACATAAGACCACTTTGTAAGCAGTGCCAATGGCTCAGTGTTTAGAGCGTCCACTTGAAACAACAAAGGTTAATTCTTAACCATCTATTGGATTTTTTTCTTTGTTTTTAGCTTTATGGACATTCAATTCATCCTTGTTGAAAATCGCAATTGTCAAGATTGATAATTGTATACATCAAGATGGCTAGGCATCATTAAGAAATATGTAAAGATCCGACGATGGTCTCTAGAAGAGATAACTTTAGAAACATGTCTAAGCTCTTGTAAGAAATTAAAAAAATATATCAGTTTGACAATGTTAACAGTAACTAACTAAATTGCTAAGAATTAAACAAATAAACAATAAAAAATAAAGAGAAAAAGAAAAACAACTGAAAACAAACATTCTGATTTATTTGTGAAATCCAAAATAGTTTATGCAAAATGTGGCATCAGACATCTCCACAGTGTTGAGAATGGTGCCTGGCGGATCCATTTTGCGTATCAAATTGAAGTTAATGAATCTCATTTAAAGCCTAAATCAGTCGGCCAGTTTACAAAAAATAATATGCCCATGCTCTTTCCAAAAACGACCCAACTCTTACTTAAACTAAAAAATTAACATCGTGGTGAACTAGACATAGCTTTATACTGAAGATTGTGGAATGTTTTGACAAGTTCTTTTCAACGAAGGATCCGTTTGACATACACATAGGCCTTCTATATGTGTATGTGTGCCCTGTCTATGGGAAATCTTGTCAGAGTATAGTCTTAAGCCCGTATGCAAGTGAAAAAAAATTCAGTTTGATATTTAGCAGTAAATGAAATGTTAACCAGTCAGCCAGACAATGAGAGAAAACCCTAAAATAAGATTTTTAAGATGATTTTATAAGAAATGTTTATATATACATAAACACTAGCAAGAGGTTTTACATTTATTTCAAATTCAACGTAAATAGTTATCGAAATAAACATTAACAAAGTTTGAGATGTTTATTTAAAACAAAATTGAATTATTAAAACTATCAAGATCTTTATTTTGATTTCTTGCGTTGTCCTAAAACTAACAATGGCAAATTGCTTTCTTCGACCTTTTTTTCTCCATATATTCAATCTTGTAACCCATTCTAATAGGTTGGACTCCCATTGACGTTTCCTTTCTCCAAACTGCTTCAGAGCTCCTTTCTTACTTTTCTTTTTCCAGGTGCTCTGATATTAAGTTCATGGTCTCTGAAAATATTTTATAAAAGCGAAAACATTTCAGGTAAGAAGGATACAAATTCAGACAGTGAAATAACAGATTTTTGAAAATTTTATTTTGCACTTCGATGCATAGAATTTGAAATAATTTTCGTCAATAACAAAATAGAAGAGAGAAAATCTGCAGAGTGAATAAAAAACTGATCACAAAATCTAAAGATCAAAGGGATATAATAATTGAGAATAATAAAGTGACGGGCATTATGGAGTATTAAATTAGTAAAGCAAAGAAATCGTCACAACAGAAAGAAGAAAGTTAAACCACCAAAAATTTAAGCAAAGACCTATCCATAAAAGTTAATATGTTATAATTTAAAGTAGTAATTAGCGACGGTAAAATTGTCTTTAATCTTTGTAGCGACAATAATCTGATCGAGACTGTCACCAAATCGTACACATAAGTATCGAGACAAACGCATTTATATTGCTGACAACTCATAATGTGAGTCTCTACGACAAGTTGTAAGTAAATATAGCAACTATCATTCACGATACGGGCTTTTTCACAGACACAAAATTAGTAACTGTCAATTAACCTTCAATAACTTTTCCACTATTGAACCTAAACTTTTATTATATCGAGAAAATATGTGTAGGTCAGAGCACCACATGATTAGTTGTAAAAGTAAATGACTAACATATTTATAAAATATACTCACTCGGGCTTGTGTTTACATCTAAAACAGCCATTACTTCCGAACTACCCATTGCACTCGCTAAAATATAATCGGAACTATTTAATAAACGTCGACCCCCGCTTGATCCAAGCACTTGGTTAAAAATGGTCAGAAACAGGTGTAATTTTGTGAGAAAACCGTTAAATTATGTCAGAATTGGTTACATTGTAGTCAGAAAATGGTTAGACTGCAGTCAAAAAATGGTCGGATTATGACTAAAATAGATGTCAGAAAATGACGTCTAAAAACCTTATATCAGACCACTTTTTCGGCTGTCATCCGATGTCGGAACCCGACTTTAGTCTGACGTTCAGCCGACGTCCATATGGTTGCTGGGTCGTTCTTACGGCAATACGGTATATTGCTCATCGGCGTTAATTTCTGCATTATTTTTACATGTTATTATATACCTATACATTTTCTCCCTAAAATACACGCAAATATTGAAGCGCAAATACGCTTCAACGGATAGAAATTTCCGTATTATGTTAGTGACAAATACGGTACCATATATGGAAGTGCCGGACTATTTTTGACGTTGGTTCCGATCTTAGCTTTGTATAACGTTGCATTTGGAAACGGGAACCAAAATTATTAAAGGCGTGGCCAGTTTGTAAGAATTACGTATTCATCCGTCAGTCATGAATTTATTTCTTGACAACTACATTTCATTTTCTGAATAAAAGGAAAAGGTATATAATAAAAGGAAAATTATGTTGTAGTAGCTTTCTGAGACTATGTATTTTTCTACTCGCATCGTTGGAAAATTGATATCTCGCTCGACCTTCGGTCTCGCAAGATATCAATTTTCCACCGCTGCTCGTAGCAAAATACAAAGCCTCAGAAAGCTACTACAACATAATATTCCGTATATATACACGGTATAATAATGATTTACAGAAAATGCAATTTAATTAAACTGAATAAATCTGTTGGAAATAATATTGCATTACTATCAAATATTTGAGAAATAAAATCTTAATCATTCTTAATTAATATATTAAACAATAATCCTTATACGGTGATTTATTCTATAGAGTATATTGAATACTCAATACTGTTCAATACTGAATTTATTGCACGAGTTGAATAAAAGGCCAGAGGCTCGCATAATATTATTTCATTCAACGAGTGCAATAAATTCAGTAATGAACTTACACGAATTTAATATTCTATTAATCACATACCCAAAACAAAGACCGTTTAATGTGAAATAAGAGGAGCCATTTTTCATTGACGCGCCTTTAGTATAACGCTAACATTTAGCGCGTCTTTACACTAAAATTTATAGATAATGGAATTATTAATGAAGCACAGATTGGGTTTCAACCCAATTCCAGAACATCTGATCACATGTTTGTAGTGAAAACATTAATAGATAAATTTTTCAGCAAGGGAGCTAAATTGTATACATGCTTTGTTGATTTTGCAAAGGCATTTGATAATGTTATTCACTCCCTTCTTTTGTATAAACTATGTAATACTGGTATATCTGGACCTTTTTTCAACGTTGTTAAAAATATGTATTGCTCAAATGTGATGCACATAAAAGTTGGTAATAAGTTAACAGAAACATTCTCTCCCCAGATGGGGGTGCGTCAAGGGGACAATCTTAGCCCAAATCTTTTTTAAGATGTTTATTAATGACTTGCCAGCTGTATTTAATAGTAGTGATGACCAAGTGTGTCTAAATGATGTAAAAATTAGTTGTTTGTTGTATGCAGATGATTTGTTATTGTTGTCAACTTCACCAAAAGGTTTACAGAATTGTTTGAATAAGTTATCAACATTTTGTGACAATAATGGTCTTATAGTAAATCTTAAAAAGACAAGTATTTTGACCTTTTGTAAAAGTGGAAGGCTTTCTAGTGAGAAATTCTACTTTAAGGGAACTGAAGTTAATCATGTTAAAAGTTATAAATATCTCGGAATTATTTTTGCATCATCTGGTACTTTCAGTTACTGCCAAGATGATCTTTATAAAAGAGCACTGAAAGCAAGTTTTAAGATTAGTAAGGTTTTTGGTCAGCTACACCAAAATGTTGACACTATCATCCATCTTTTTGATCATACTATTAAACCCATTCTTCTGTATGGTAGTGAGATTTGGGGTATACCAAATTTAGTAGTTCTATTGTTAAAAAAACAGATTATGTGTTGTTGAAATCCTTTGGAAATATGTCCTGTGATAAGATGCATGTGAAATTTTTAAAATATATTCTGGGTGTACACAAAAAACATCAAATGAGGCAGTATGCGGTGAACTAGGACGGTATCCACTATTTATTGATGTAATATGTAGTTATGTTAAGTTTTATCAAAGACTGCTAAGTGGAAATGTTAGCAAATTACTATCTGCTGCCTTTATTGAAAGTCAAACATTATTTACGGATAATAAAGTTTGCTGGTTTTCTGTGTACAACATTGTTTTAAGCATTTAGGTATATCTGATGCTGGTTTAACCAATAAGAACTCTTAGTAAATTTTGTTAAACTCAAGTTAGTGAAAATGTACCAAACCAACTGGTGTTTGAATATCTCAGGTACTGAAGGGAAACTTAGAACATACTCTTTGTTTAAACAAAGGTTTTGTAGAGAAGTGTACTTTAGACATATTAAGGACAAAGATATAAGAACTTTCTTCACCAAGTTTAGAGTAAGTGCACACAGATTGAATATAGAAACAGGCAGATATAAAAAGATCCCAGTAAATCAAAGATATTGTAACTGTTGCTCTTCCAATCTTGTAGAAGATGAAATTCATTTTTCCATGTGTTGTACAAAATTTGATAGTTATAGAGAAACTACTATTTAGACAAATTGAAATATCAAATAAGAACTTTTGTATGTTGAATAATAAGCAGAAATTTGTTTGGTTAATGTCCTCTGAAGACCCAAGAGTCTTGAATGTCTTTTCTAAATACCTACTCGAAATTTATAATAAAGAAATCTTATGTTAGGTAGTACTATTAGTAATAAAAATTGTCAGACCATTGAATGTATAGTATTGTACTTGAATATCGAATGAGTAATTAGTGTTTTTTGTTGATTGTTTTTGATTTTTTAATACTGTTTTATTTATTTACTTCTTATTTTAACATTACTATGCCTGTGTTATTTGTTTTTCCAATAATACGAATTAAGCTTTAGTTACTTTTTTGTCTTCATTTCTACCATACAATACACAATTTGTTGGTTGATATATTTTGTTTCATGCCTTATGTTTTATGCTTGTGATTATATATGTCATATAGTATGACCCTTGATTGGTGAAATAAAATTATTCTATTCTATTCTATTCTATTCTATTCTATTCCACTAATAACGTCACGTCAAAATATATGCACGGCCGTGCAATACCATTTTTACGGAGTCGCAAAATCGGCACGGGTGTGTGATAAAATTGTTTATGTAATTTGATTCGTTTTTTTTTATTAATCTAACCGGCTATGTGTATAGTTTTTTTCTCTCTAGTGGAAATGAATTTACATAAGTCACATCTTTGACTTGTTTTCCAATCCAATATAATTTCCACTGTATTTTGTATATACTTTTGTTGTACAAAATATATTTTGTAAATTAATAAAAATTAAACGTTTTAAATTATGACTGATCTATTTTCTTTAAACACAATGAATATTTTATAAATATAAATGCATATTAAACCACAAAATAGCAATAAAATCTTTTCGTGAAACACGTGACAATGTATATATTGACTTAACTTTTGCACACAGTTTCTAACAAATTATTGTATCGTTTCAGTGTAATTAAATGTGCAATCATCTGGAAAATAACAAAGATCAACAGAAAATATGTCCCATTTTCCTGTGAAAATTAAACATATACCTGAAATTTGAAGAAAAACGTTGTAATTGTGCAGCAAAACATGCATCCAGCAAAGAAATAAAATGCAATATGATAATTGCTGAAAACAACATCAATATCACAAATTTCTTTCTTCCTTCTCATTGTACTGATAATTCCCCCTACAACCACCGACCTGAAATATACCATTTATATAATATATAAAATATCTGACTCTTTTACACATATAGCGGTTGTCATGACATATATAGGGAATAACTTTTCCTCGTATAAAATCAGCCGACCTGTTAGCTTTGGGCTGTGAATCTGGCGACTCAATTTTGATCTGTAGCGGTGGTCTGTTACACTGGTAGCAATGCATGTTTCACATGTCACAGACTTCTTTTACATGTGTAGCGGTTGTCTGTTACACTGGTAGCAATGCATCTTTCACATGTCTCAGACTTCTTTTACATTTGTAGCGGTTGTCTGTTACACTGGTAGCAATGCATCTTTCACATGTCTCAGATTTCTTTTACATTTGTAGCGGTTGTCTGTTACACTGGTAGCATGCATCTTTCACATGTCTCAGACTTCTTTTACATTTGTAGCGGTTGTCTGTTACACTGGTAGCAATGCATGTTTCACATGTCTCAGACTTCTTTTACATTTGTAGCGGTTGTCTGTTACACTGGTAGCAATGCATGTTTCACATGTCTCAGACTTCTTTTACATTTGTAGCGGTTGTCTGTTACACCGGTAGCAATGCATCTTTTCACATGTCTCAGACTTCTTTTACATTTGTAGCGGTTGTCTGTTACACCGGTAGCAATGCATGTTTCACATGTCTCAGATTTCTTTTACATTTGTAGCGGTTGTCTGTTACACCGGTAGCAATGCATCTTTCACATGTCTCAGATTTTTTTTACATTTGTAGCGGTTGTCTGTTACAACTGGTAGCAATGCATCTTTCACATGTCTCAGATTTCTTTTACATTTGTAGCGGTTGTCTGTTACACTGGTAGCAATGCATCTTTCACATGTCTCAGACTTCTTTTACATTTGTAGCGGTTGTCTGTTACAAACTGGTAGCAAATGCATGTTTCACATGTCTCAGATTTCTTTTACATTTGTAGCGGTTGTCTGTTACAACTGGTAGCAATGCATGTTTCACATGTCTCAGACTTCTTTTACATTTGTAGCGGTTGTCTGTTACACTGGTAGCAATGCATGTTTCACATGTCACAGACTTCTTTTACATTTGTAGCGGTTGTCTGTTTACACTGGTAGCAATGCATGTTTCACATGTCTCAGATTTCTTTTACATTTGTAGCGGTTGTCTGTTACACTGGTAGCAATGCATGTTTCACATGTCTCAGATTTCTTTTACATTTGTAGCGGTTGTCTGTTACACTGGTAGCAATGCATGTTTCACATGTCTCAGATTTCTTTTACATTTGTAGCGGTTGTCTGTTACACTGGTAGCAATGCATGTTTCACATGTCTCAGATTTCTTTTACATTTGTAGCGGTTGTCTGTTACAACACTGGTAGCAATGCATGTTTCACATGTCTCAGATTTCTTTTACATTTGTAGCGGTTGTCTGTTACACTCTTAGCGGATACATGTTTCATATGTCTTGGATGTCTTTTACTTTTGTAGCGGTTGTCTGTTACACTGGTAGCAATGCATGGTTCACATGTCACAGACTTCTTTTACATTTGTAGCGGTTGTCTGTTACACTGGTAGCAATGCATGTTTCACATGTCTCAGATTTCTTTTACATTTGTAGCGGTTGTCTGTTACACTGGTAGCAATGCATGTTTCACATGTCTCAGATTTCTTTTACATTTGTAGCGGTTGTCTGTTACACTGGTAGCAATGCATGTTTCACATGTCTCAGATTTCTTTTACATTTGTAGCGGTTGTCTGTTACACTGGTAGCAATGCATGTTTCACATGTCTCAGATTTCTTTTACATTTGTAGCGGTTGTCTGTTACACTGGTAGCAATGCATGTTTCACATGTCTCAGATTTCTTTTACATTTGTAGCGGTTGTCTGTTACACTGGTAGCAATGCATGTTTCACATGTCTCAGATTTCTTTTACATTTGTAGCGGTTGTCTGTTACACTCTTAGCGGATATATGTTTCATATGTCTTGGATGTCTTTTACTTTTGTAGCGGTTGTCTGTTACACTGGTAGCAATGCATGGTTCACATGTCACAGACTTCTTTTACATTTGTAGCGGTTGTCTGTTACACTGGTAGCAATGCATGTTTCACATGTCTCAGATTTCTTTTACATTTGTAGCGGTTGTCTGTTACACTGGTAGCAATGCATGTTTCACATGTCTCAGATTTCTTTTACATTTGTAGCGGTTGTCTGTTACACTGGTAGCAATGCATGTTTCACATGTCTCAGATTTCTTTTACATTTGTAGCGGTTGTCTGTTACACTCTTAGCGGATATATGTTTCATATGTCTTGGATGTCTTTTACTTTTGTAGCGGTTTTCTATTACACTTGTACCGATTGTATGCTCACATGTCTTGGATATCTTACATTTGTATCGGCTGTTTGTTACATTGATAGCTTACGTACTCATATCGGATATATATTTCACAAGTCTCAGATGTCTGTTTCACATATAACGGCTGTACTTTACAGTGAAGAGGCTGTGTATTACACACACAGTGGATGTATGTTTCACGTGTCTTGCTCATCAGTTACATAAATATATAGCGGTTTTCTGATTTTCTGTGACACATCGATTTGTTTGTTACACCTGTATGTTACCCTAAGCGTTATATGTTTAGATGTTAGCTTTCTTTACTTCCAATATAACACACATGTTACTGCATGTGTCATTCCTTTCAGCGCTGTTCACGGAAACATAATGAACTATACATGGTTTTAATAGTACATAAGTCTATATGGAAAATATGGGGGGGGGGACGTGTAGTGTATGATCGCATGAAACATAATCATATAACACCATTCTGTCATATGTTGCGGTTCAGACCGGAATATCAATCCCGATGGGACCCGCCCATTAGCACTGATATTTCGATCCGAACCGCAACATATGACAGATATTAATATTATTATTTTTTCTATTATTATTATTATTATTATTATTATTATTATTATAGAAGACAATCTATTATCATTAAAGGGACTCCACTGAGGTTTTTTTTACATGAAGGGGCCGGAAATAAACTTGAAGATTAATGCTTCATTTGATGTAGGTCCAGACCAAAAACTTGTGAACAAAATCTCAGATCATTCGCTCACTCTGTTTTGCTAGAATAATTAATTTTATAATTGTGAAAAATGACTTAAAATTGATATAATGCTTTTCGCTGAAATCGGGTTAAATATAGCACAAAAATACGGATAGCAATTAATTTGTGAGTAAATTTCTTAAATATTTTTGTATATCTTTCTGATTTAAGTGCCCCAGCTGATCTATGTATACGAGGTTCAAATTATGTTTTTATGCCTTTTGGACCTCATTTGAGCTATGTGTTAGAAACAAGAATGATCCTTTTTTAATTTTGAAAACAATTAAATTTCAAATAAGCAGTATCCCACAACGTAACATACAAATCACTCGAATGAACCCTTTCAGTAATCTGAGGTACATTACATGAGGGATCTCAGCTCTTATAATAAATTAAAACCTTAATTACAACAAATGTATGAAAATATAAAATTTCTTGGTCTTTTCTTAAACATGTGTAACTTACAATAACAATTATATTTCTATACAGTTTGAGTACAAATCTTGTCAAAAAAGTAGAAAACTGTTGAGTAACCTCGCTGTATTCTTCAACACTTGTTTATGTCTTTGGTCAGAAATGTCTGCTCTTAAAGGTTTATTCATCTACAAAAATTCTTGTGTCATGTTACAGGAAATTAAATCCACAAAACGTATGGTGTCTTGTTACAGTATCAAAAACAGTTACTCTTTGGCATATACTTGAGTCATCTTTTGCTTCCTTTTCTTTTTGGAAATCAGTATAATAATAGTTTTTAAGTATTTTGTATTGAAGTCAAAATATCACCATGCTTTATATCATTTGAACATACATTCGGTGAAATTTTCTTCTGGAGGAAAGCATTTCATATATTTTAAATCCATTATTTCACATCATAAAACACATTTTTTCCATTTCCCATCCAAGGAAACATACATTCATTTTTGAGGCATTGTGTTCATTTTAAATAACAAATGACCATAATTGGACAACACACCAGTCCTGCAGATTATATTGTTATTTAAAATTCATTATAATATTATTTAAAATGTACTCAACAATATACATTCATGGCAATTTCGATAAAAATACAGAACAGTTTAATATATAACTCTATTTAGATTATTCTTTAAATAATCATAAAGGGCCATTATTAAAAAAAAAACCTTCCTTTAGATCAAATTTGATTGTGTAAATCATTTCCTTACTGAATATACACATTCACAACTATAATTAAATCTAGAACATTTATGGGGAAATTCCTTTAAAAAAATCATATGACCATAACTAAACAAGACAAAATGACCTCATGTTGGGCCCAGTCAATTGAACTTTTCGTCATTTTCCGTCAAACTTCGGAAAGAACTATTATGAATAATAACCGAGAAATTCCGACTGGGGCCCAGAAAAGGAACATGACATTTGACTTGTAAAAGAGCAAGATATATAATCAAAATAAAATTAAACTATAATTAGGATTATTGTTTTAAACACAAGGTTTCAATATATTTTCAACTTACATGATTCCTAGACCCAATGATCCCCATGCTCTCTGGTGCCCGTATTTGTGCATGTCTTTATTTCCAAGCGTCTCGATACACCCGGAGTCCGCCAGAGCGCCACATGGTGATTGCACGAGCTCCCCAAGCACTACAAGAATCATGATCACAGTATAAACTCTGTAAAGATCAGCACTATCGTAAATCCAACCACGTGACTCCATAAGACTTTCTTCTGCAGTAACGTCCACACGTAAACGGTGTAAATCATTAAAATCGGCACGTGTGACATCTGTTTCAGTTTTGACTGACACATTTGTTATATTTTTGGTGTTACCAACAAAATCTCTCACATAGGGGCATTGAGCATCTGATATTTCTGCCGGTGGGACAAAACCAATTGCGGTTATAAAAGCTAACCAGCCTAATGCACTAATAAACAACATAATACGTCGAACACGAAACCGGTCAGCAAGTGATCCCCATAAAGGACCACTGAAAAAACCAATGATTGGACGAAGTCCGGATATAATACCAATTTGATTGGGGCTTAATCCTAATTGTTTATAATAAACTGAAAAATAAGGGAACACAGATCCGATCGCGCCACCGAAAAAGAAGAAAAACGACTTGAATTTAATTAAATGCCGCTCAATTTTAAAAAATTCAAAACAAGTTTGTTGGGATTTCAAATCAACTTTTTCTCCTCCCTTATGGATGGGCGAACCCTCATTTTCCTCAGACTGTGTCGGCGTCATTTCTATGTCCGTCGTCGGCAACGGGGCGTTGTACTCGACAATCCCCGGACCAAAGTCAAGATCCATCTTTGCTCTACCCTATTGTCTGCCTAGACTGTTAAATAATCTGAAAAATAATACTTGGAATATTTACTTCATGTAAAACAATAGAATGTCTTCAAACCTATTAAGCAACATTCTAACATCTGCATTACAATATTAAACCGTTATAAATTAATTTCAACACTTTCATAAACACTGTAATTTATTAGTCCATTTATATGCAAATATTATATGCAAATATTTGCTTGAATGAATCCGAACATGACCTCCGTATGTGACACTGTGACCTTTTAACTTTTTGTACTACATGTAATGACTTACCTTTGAACTTTATTCAGAACATTTATGTCGACATGTGTATTGTAAATATACGTGTGTTTTCCATTGCTGATATTTTATATGATATTTTAAATAAGAACACATGAATTTCTGCGGAGTGACACGATTTATATTGCGTGTCGTCAGTAAAATCCAAGTACATAAACATATTCACATCCATCAGCTTTACACTTCGGGACCTATTTCAGATTTCTTGCTTTGTTGCAAAACAATTAATTATTGACATTTCAAATGGTGAGACAACGTTTTCTTATCTCCGTGCAGAAATTATCGACTGTACAACGTCGTGAAAAAATGAATAAATTAAATCATGCGTTAACATGTTGTTTTCTTCGAAAGCTGTTACATAAAAGTTTATAATGGGTTGAATTTTTCATTTATCCATTGGTTTGCCTTAACAGACTTGAAAACATGCTTCGTTTTGAAGAAATACAAATATTTATATATCATTTAAAGTCTTGTATTTTTCTTTTAGATGATTGGGATAGTGCTGTGCGGTCATAGTTCTGACTTCCCCCTTTTATATAGTAAAATGAGGTCAAAAGTGTGCTTTTTAAATTTTGGTTAGATTTGTTAACGAATCCGATGCCTTTAATACTTTAATTAATTAAGACATTACGCTCGAATAACAAACTACCTACAGCTCGTACTTGGTAATCCAATCCACTACCACCAGTAAAGGAGGGAACCTAGTTGGTATTATGCTTTACTTTTGTCAACATTTAAATTTAATGTACTGCAAATGACAATTATGATATTCTGCATGAATGTGAGTGGAGCCCTGTGTGAGTTTTGTGATACATGGTCTGTGAGCCATGTGTGTCAGGTTAGTGTTCTGTGTGTTATGTTCGCAGTGTCCTGTTTGTAAGATCTGTGTTTGAGGAATGTGTGCGTAGTGTGTTGCGAATAGTGTCCTGTATGACAGGTCTGTTTTAGTAGTGTCCTGTGTCTGTGTGTGACTAGTGTGCTATGCCTCTGTCAGTAATGCCTTATGTGTCAGTGGTTACTGTGTTTCCGAAGTGTCCCGTGTGTCATAACAATGTGTCAGTAGTGCCCTGTGTTCTGTGTGGCAGTTTGTTAGTAGTGTCCCGTGTCAGTGATGTCAGTGTGTCAGGATACTATGTCAAAAGTGTGTCCTTTGTCAGGATAGTGTGTCAGTAGTGTCCTGTGTCAGTGTTACAGTAGTGTCCCGTGTTTGTTTGCTTTGTCAGTGTGCCAGTAGTGTCCTGTGTCAGAAGTGTCCTGTGTTAGTAGTGTCCTGTGTCAGTAGTGTGCAGTGTCAGTGTGTCTGTAGTGTTCTGTGTCAGTAGTGTACTCTGTTAGTAGTGTACTCTGTCAGTGTGTCAGTAGTGTGCTGTGTCGTTGCGTCAGTAGTGTGCAGTGTCAGTGTGTCTGAAGTGTTCTGTGTCAGTAGTGTCCTGCGTCAGTAGTGTGATGTGTCATTGTGTCAGTAGTGTGCAGTGTCAGTGTGTCTGAAGTGTTCTGTGTCAGTAGTGTCCTGTGTCAGTAATGTGCTGTGTCAGTGTGTCTGTAGTGTTCTGTGTCAGTAGTGTGCAGTAGTGTTCTGTATCAGGTCAGTGTGTCAGTAGTGTTCTGTGTCAGGACAGTGTGTCAGTAGTGCCCTGTGTCAGGACAGTGTGTCAGTAGTATGTTGTGTGTCAGTAGTGTCCTGTGTGTCAGGTCAATGTTTGAGCAGTATCCTGTGTGCCCATTTGTGAGTAGTGACATGTTATTCATTTCAGCGTTTGAGTATCTCTTTTATTTATTAATTCTAATCTTTATCATTTTAGTACGAATAGTGTAAGTATTTTAGTGGAGTAGCGGGGTAACGAACTCGTAACCCCTGGACTTGTAGTCAGACAGTGTTACCACTGCACCACAGCGCCCGCTGTGATAAATGACTATTTTGAAAGTTCCTTTAAACATTATCACATTAGTAAACAAGAAAATGAGATATGCCATTGAATTTTTACACCTAAGTAGTTAATATAGCTGTGTTTTACATTGGCTGACATTCGTGTCCTTGCTCGAGGGGTTATGACAAAAAAAAACTTTACACAAACGAGTAGTAAAAGGAAAATAAGAAAGACTGTAGACAGGCAATAAAAACTTATTTCATGCTTTCCAGTGTTTTATTGTAATATATCAGATTTTTATATTCTGATAAACCACTAGTGAAATTTGTAAAATATAATTTTCACTGTAGCCGGACTATATCTAAATGCGGATGAAAAGAAAATCATAACTAAATGGAATAACAGGCAGAAATAAATGCCGTCTTGCGTAAATTTTGCTTCTTTAGGAAAAGAAAGTCGATGTCATCATACATCATGTTATAAATGTAACAAAATAAGAAAAATGTAACATACCTATATTCCAAAATTGATAATTTGATGTGATGACGTCACAAGGGAGAATGCACGACGTTACGCGGCAAAATTAGTTAAAAAGTACTGAAAATCACTTAAAAAAAAGCATGAAATAAAAAGAAAATTTATTTCTTTTACATATAAGATTGACATATATTTCATTTGTGAACACCAGCTATTATATTTTCACTTGTGGTTACGCCACTCGTGAAAATATTGCATCTGGTGTTCACTCAGTGAAATTATATTTCAATCTTACATGCAAAACAAACAAATATCCTCTATATAACCAGAAAAAAATATGATCCGTTATTCGAATATTGACAATAAGAAAGCTGAAACTAATACTTGTTGTAAAAGATAAATGATGGTTTGAGACAAGTTTATTTAATCTAGTTTCACTAGTTAAAAATGTTTCTTTTGGCGGAAAATAAGGTGAAAAAAGTATGTTTAAGAAGCAAACCTCATGCTTATTTTCATGAACATTTTGAAAATGTAATGTTAATTAAAGGTAAAATATTGTGAACAAAGAATGTAATTTACATAAATGCAGGCAACACTTTCAATTACAAAATAAACGTCGAAATAAGCAAAAAGTCTTAGTTTTAGTTTATCAAAATCTTAGTAAATTTTATCTAAAGTTGTAGTTCTTTTTTTTCAGAATAAAAGTAACAGATATAAGACAAGATAGATAAATTCTACTAAATGGTATCACCCCGCACTTTACGTCGACCTCGGGAGTCAGTTGGTTATTCGCGTGAATCCCCAACTACCTACCAGTATGTAGTTGGCAATTCGGATATTGCATGTACACGTTAAACAACTGTTACGTTTACATAACAAGATATGTGTTTTCTATAATATGGTAACATCCTCTTCACAATAAATCGACCAAGGGACTCGGATCTTCGCGTGAATCCCCATCTACCTACCAGAAGGTATAGTTTTCCGAAATAAATGTAACAGAAATAATTTTATGAAAAGTAGGATTGATTCTCAAACATAGCAGGGGACTCAGTGGGTGCTGGCGCGAATCCCCAACTATCAACCAGAAGGTAATTGGTAATTCGAATATTGCATGTTTTGACTCGAAACCGAAAGAACTTTAACGGAATAAATATAACGGATATATAACAAGAAAAAACATCAAAACACCCTGTCTTCTGGACTGAGTTTGTTATTAGCGTGAATTCCAACTAAAAGATAGTTGTTTATTCGAATTTAACATGAATTTCTATATCATTATTTTATATAAAAGACATATAAGGCATCAGTTACCATATCTAACTTAAAATAAAGTAGCACACGTGTGACCACGCTTTATTATATAAAAGACAGCCTGAAACCTGAACTATGTCCGCACAGCATTATCACATGCATCTCAAAAGAAACATGCAGCACTTTAAAAGATAACATTCTTCCAAACGAACTAGTTTCTGAAAGTCAAATTCAGTCAGGAAGTGTAAAGCTGGTGCATGTGAATATCTTTATGTACTCAGGTTTTTTTTCTAGGATTTTTTGGAATATGACCCATGGAATTGGGAATTTCAGCGATGTTTTGTTAGAAATCGGGGAAAATTTGCATGACATAAATTTTGCAGTGATTAAATGAATGCCAAGAATCACTGTCTATATAGGACGGCATCTTCAAACATTCAAGCACCATAACAGTAAATAAGTCCTTATTGTCAAAGATTTTAGAATTTGTTATTCAATATTTTTATTTTGTAACTTTCAATTGGAATTTCTTTTCCTGTAGATTTGGAATATAATATACTATTTTCAATTGGGAATATGACCGAATATCGGCTATAAAATAAGGCCAAAAAAAAAAATCCCTGATGTTACTGTACTTGTGTTTTTTTAACGACTCGCAAGCATTCCGAAGTAAATCATGCGTCTTATAAGACTATGGTTAGCTTCCTAACGTCATCGAGTACTTGAGTTTTGAAGTAATGGAATTTCCGAGTCGTAACGCATCCCCTTTCAATTCCATATTCAATCTAAACAGACATTCGTATCGCAGCCATGTTACGCTAGCGACACATATTTGACCTACCAATAAGATGAACTATGATATGCTAATGTATGATCTATGTGTGAATCAATTCAGTACATTGAATTGTTCGAAATATGATACAAACATAGATCATTGAGAGTAAATATTGTTACATGTATAAACTTTTTGTCATATACAGGCAGTTCTGTATGTATTTGCCTCTTGGACTTAAACGTAATGGATTTGAATGAAATAAAGGTTATAACTTTTAAACTTATGTTTTGAACATTTTAATAAACACTGTTAAAGTGTTTGCACTCAACCATCAACGTACGTATAGCTAAACTTTCAGCACGTTTTAATAATAAAATAAAAGAACAAAAGTCAAATGTTCCCTTTAACAAAAACAACTTTTGAGGCAGGCAATATTTACTTTACTATATTAAACAATGTGCGCCCGCGGTATTAATGTTTTAACTATTTACTTCAAGATTATTGTTATTTTTTTAATTTGAAGAAAGTGTATGTCGCAAAAATTCAACAGTAACCTAGAAGAATAATGTTGTACGTGGTGTCCTTCATTAGTGCGAGATGTTTGTTTTACCTTTATAATAAGATGTTGTTAGTCAAAATCATTAAACAAACGATTGCCTTTTCGTTAGATTTAAGAAATGTTTATTTACTACCATTCTTTAAAAAGATAGAAAAATAAGCGTTTACCTTTCTAGTAAAATATGTAATCCCAACTTTCGTCATAGTTTTAATCTTAAAGACATGAAAAAAGAAAACAGTCCATTTTGATTATACAGTATGTATGCCTATGTCATAAACATGTGTGGAAACCCGAGTGTGACGAGATGTCAAATCGTGCGCGACCTATTCGCATACGGTCACAAAAACATAATATTTACAAATAGCTGAGCCATTAACCTTGAGGGTTTAACATATAAAAAACTTATCGGTGACATAGTGAGGGGGAAAAGGTCATTAAAGATCTTAAATACAATAACATTTAGATTTGCGTATCTTATTATAACACATTATGCCTCAGAAACAAATGAATTTTTACTTCTTTAGAAAGGTAAAACATGATTTTCATACTGTTTAAAAATTGTTTTAAAGAATACAGAAAAAGGCAATTAATGTGAAACGATTTGTCATGAGTAGAAAAATGTAAGCAAGGTGGTATTTTGAATTCCATACAAAAAACGAATTCAATATAACTGCCAGTCTTCTTTCGTACAGATTCGAATCAAATGAACACATTCAGACTTTGAACGTGAAGTATATAAGCTACAAGTTGATGTATGAATATAAACTTCTAATAAATAACTTCTCAATAAGTGTTGATGGGAAAACCTTTCATCACATTAAATACACATATAAAGTCTATTTGGGAAATTCCGTGTGCCACTACTACCAGAACAAATGTACCTTGCTTTTCCTTATAAATGTATAATACATGTTCTTCCATTATACACGTATATAATGAGGACTACATCTGCGAGAATGTCTTATTGTATCTGTTATTCAAAATAGCATGTAACTAAGAGTCAGGAAAAAAGATTTTTGACATTTCAATTAATTACATGTAGATATAAAAGGAAACAGAAAAGATACTGATTTCTTGCGTTTGATTTCAACCTTTTTGTGTAATGGCAAATGGTTGTAACGTGTATCAATTTTTAATTTGAATCAATCAACTTGACAAAGCAATACATTTCGCTGAGTTAAATTACCACAAACAGTGAAACCAGAATTCTGCAATCAAGCGTGTAACACATTAATACATTATTGTAAACAAGTCAAATCTAGAATTACACTATATATTCAAGTAAAAGAATGTTGCATCAAGGTAATAATTGCATATATATAGTGTGAGGAGAAAAACGATAACAAACCTTAGGTAGAAAATCTATATCCTAGATTCCTCATATATGTAAATGTCGGAGATCAATATATCAATGTGTACCTTGTAAAGGTATTCTTCCAATAGTATCATTCCTAAGGTAAATGCTTTGAAAGTAACACACTTTGACTGTTGTTCACTGAGACGCGCTTGTAACTCGAAAGTCCTTTATAGTATAGTGATATATGTTTGATACAAATCTATATTCTTACTAACAATTATATTTTTTCCCCAGCTGTGACATGGAGAAATGCAATAACCAGTTGTTGTATATTATAACAAATATATAATGAACGAGATTACATGCTCAACAAATTGCCTTTCCGTTAGCCAGTTAGTTGAACCAATTTCAGAATAATGAAACGAAATTGACTACAAAATTATATATATTATTCCGACAAATTTTCTGATAATATGTTGATATTAGTATATTATTATAACAGTTCCTGTTTCGCTCCATTATCCACTTTATTGTAACTTTTATGTTATAGTATAGGGCACGTCTGATTTATTTCTATCAATTGATGACCCAGGTATTATGACAGACGTGGCAAATAGCAATAAAGAAATAGAAAAAACAATGATATTTTACTGTTTAAAGCTAGAAATAGTAAAATAAATTAATCACAAGCGGTTGCTTCTACGCGACTTAATACTCGTTAAGCTTAAATTGACTGCAATAAAATGAGTGAAATGTGTGGACACATACCATGGTACATTACAGCATTTTGTGCGACAGCTGGACGCATTACTTTCCCAGTTATCAGAGTTAAAAACACAGTCTGATGTAAACAGTCAGAACGTGACTCCGTTATTTCTATGGTAGTCATTATTACAAACGTAACGAGGTATAATGCAGTGCCGCCTGGTTAACGCAGTAGATAAAGCGTTGGACCGCGAATCGAGCGAGCCAGATTCGATTCCTTAATGAAACAGGTCACATTCGTAAAAATCCTTTCTAAAGCTACAGTGTCACTAACAACCCGGCAGAGCCACAGCAGAGCCCCGGTAGACATCCAGGGTGGTCCTGGAACGACCGGTGTACGACCGGGAACAACCGGAGTACATCCGTAACTCTGCCGGCAACGTCCGGGATGATCCGGGAACATCCGTCATTCGACCCCAAATGGAATAAAATATTTAATATCACCGACGTGGTCCGGGATGATCCGGGAAGGTATAGCTTTGCCGGCTTCATCCTTAGCTCTGCCGGGAACGACCGGGGTTATACCAGGGAAGCACCGTATCTCAGCCGGCACAAACCGGGGATGATCCGGGGTATGATTCAGCCGGTAGAGCTACGGTAGAGCCCCGGTATATGCCGCCAGAGCATCGGTTGATCCCGGTAGAGCTCCGGCAAAGCCCGGATCATTTCAAAAGAAAAACGACAATTTGCGATGATTGCACTTGTTTGTATTAAAACCCTTCCCATTTCCCTTCTATCCAGTATGGCATAAGGATTTTTCAGAAAATCATCATGAATTCCGGAACAATATATTATATTAAATAAAAATTATTTATCAGTGTTATCATTTTCGGGCGTTTTCAATCCACCGGGGTTCTCCCGGGGCTCTGCCTTGATCGTCCTGGGCTCTGCCGGGGCTCTGTCAAGGTCAAACGGGGCTCTTCCGGTGTCATCCGGGAACGACCGGGGAAGCACCGGCATAAACTGTAGTTTCACCTGGGCTCTGCCTGGATGATCCGGAGCGCATCCTTGGTGGTAAGTTTGGAACTACCGTAGTGCTGCCGGGGTAAGTGTGACCGCAACAATAATTTCACCCCGGATCATCCCGGTAACTTACGAATGGTCCTGGGCTCTGCCGGGAGTAAGTGAAACCGCAGCTTAAGGCCGTACCTTTGCTCCAACTAATTACAATTACATTAAACTTTGTGTAACATTTTACTTCAAACAGAGGGTGAGGGCTACTCAGAAAACGCAGATATTTACTCAAGGAGTGCCAAAAGAGCACTAGTCAGATATACAGCGAGTTAGAGGAAATCAAAGAATTAGGTTTTAAAGCACGATTCATGTATCGTGCTATCAATTATAAATGTGCAGGGATATGGCTACCCAAAAGTTTCAGAGTAAAGCTAGTTTCAATATAAGCGCGCTTCATTTCATATTTTCGATACTGTATAAGCAAATTTCATTACATTATTCGTAAAGATCATTTCGATATAAGTGCGTCAAAGCATAATCTTTATTTTTCCTAAAATAGCCTTAGCAAATACATAGCCAATATAAACAATTATAATTACATTTGAAAAAGGAAGATAATTATGTAACAAGAACAAAATACAATTAAATATTGAAACAGACATAAGACGAATGGCACATTTCAGAACTACAAAGTAATTTAAATAAAGTTTACAATATTACTGGTGCATATTTCTCTTGATATCTATGATACGGATGTCACTACTTTATTAATATATTTCTGTTTAATAGATGTCACTGTCAAAAATTGATATAGAATTTTTTCTGTTGATAGTAATAAAATAAAGACTTCGTTATTCAAATGATTATAAACATAGCACTTGAAACTAATCAAAATTTCAAAAATGTCCGATGTTTTTTACCTGTATAAAAATTTCAATAAGTCGTTTAACTTATATTCCAGTTTAAGTCCCCACTCAATGTCTTTTTTCTGAAATGAAAGGAATTTATTTTAGATAAACTTGTCAGTCGGACTGGAGACATGTGTAAATAGATTTCTTCTAATTTAAAAGGAAGTGCCGGTTTATCTAAATTTATTAAGTCTATTGATACTAGTACCATAACCACGATAACGCTAGGTGGACGCATTAAGTACGGTGTTCTGATGGGGTCATTGTTTCTAATCTAGGCGATCTATTACAAACACAGAATACCAAAGCGACGAGACGATACACGGAAGCGACAAGACAATACACGGAAGCGACGAGACGATACACGGAAGCGACGAGACGATACACGGAAGCGACGAGATGATACACGGAAGCGACGAGAATATACACCGAAGCGACGATGAAAAACACCGAAGCGACGAGACGATAAACGGAAGCGACCAGACGATTCAGAGAAGCGACGAGACGATCCACGGAAGCGACCAAACGATACACGGAAGCGACCAAACGATACACAGAAGCGACGAGACGATACACGGAAGCAACCAGACGATACACAGAAGCGACAAAACGATACACCGAAGCGACGAGACGAAACGTAAACACAAACTCGCATCGTCTAATGGTATATCATATCTTTTTTCTGATGTAAAGAAAGACAGAGGGTGTAATCTTTCACTAACAAATACCGAATGCACTTTTTGACATCCAAAGGAAAGTAAAGTCTTTTACGTTTAAATCATTATTGAGGCATATGCATGACAGAGAATAAATTTGAAAATGCCATTTGGAGTACAATTATCGTCATAAGTAAAACACTTCCTACAAAAAGAATAATAAACATAAAGATAATACATTGTATATTGTTTACTATGGTAGCTGATTTTGTACGCTTTTATGTGTTTTGTTGGCGCTAGCGTTGTCGCCCTGTCTCAAGCGCAGTGTGATGCGGCTTGTTGTCGCGATGTCATATTGTTGCTCGGTTAGAGACAGGACGACAAGACAGCGCACCATTTGGCGCTTTATCGTGTTTTTGCTAGCGACAGGACGACAATACGAAAGTCCGACAACGCGCCGTTGGCGCTTTGTCGCTAACACCAACACGACACACCAAAGCGTATCAAATCAGCCGTTATAGTTTACCCTATATTGAATTTAATTAAATAAACTTAGTTTACAATCAGTATTACTATTGTTTAGGTTAGTAGCGTACGTTAGAACTAAATATCTGTTCTGTGTCTTCATAATTTTGTGAAAGAGGTCCTTCTCCGAAGATTGGCGGAAAGAGCAGCGAATTTGCGATTGTTAGACACTTTGTCCCATCGCGTTATTGAGTTATAATTTCTTCGCGTAAGAGCATCATCATATCATATTCTCACATTAATTTGTCGTGGCTTCATAGCATCGTCATGTCGTGTTCTCATATTATATTGTCGTCGCCTCGGAGTATCGTCATCTCGTGTTCTCATGATAACAGTTGTTTGTGTTGTTTCATAAGAGGATGGGAAAAATTGAAAAATGCGAGCCTCGTTTCAGGGAACTCGCAGTCATTGGGTGTTTTGGTCCTTGAATTCATTAAAATTATCGTAGCGGGTAGGTCTACAAAGGTTATCATTCACTGTTGGCTGATTACTTTTTGTCTCTCGTTTACCTGGCACTTTCAGCTCTCCTGAAATCTGACTGGATCATTGATTTCTTCTATTGTTTGTTCAACTCAACTGCACAGAAGTGTCTTAGTGACACCAATACCTTGATGTTTTTTAGCAGTTATTGCAATAATGTATTTGTACTTCAGTGAACACTTTGCATAGCCTACAATCTCCATTGCTGACATTTTCTTATATATCGGCACGGATTACAACCCCTCTTCACGTAAAAATTCACCTAAAGCCCCAGTCACATTAGAGCTTACGACCAGTGAAGACCAGTTCACGATCACCAGTGACCTCTGGTCGCGGACAATCTTTAAAACGTCTTACGACGGTCATCGATGATCTTTGACAGTCGCAGGTTATCTTATTTAGGTCCCACGACCAATTTCAGTCGTAGAGAGGTTTTTGAGCTTGCATAAAAACCTCCTTGCGACCAAACAGGTCGCTAGTGATCTTATAAGGTCTTAAGGCTTTCGCACGATGGTCGTTCGGAGGTGCGACAATCTAACGACAGTCTTGACAAATTGCCACTAGTCACTGATAATCTTAAGTAGTCTTTAGTTATCGTGTGATGGTCGCACGACAAGTTGTAGGTGATCGCATGTTAAGTCACGGGTAGTTGTAAGTAATCCCAGGCAATCTTGAGACCATCGCACGTTTACTTATGACCTGTCGTGCGATTGTCAATGATGACTTGTCTTACGATACTCGCGAAAGTACATTTATATGTGCAAAAATGGTTTCGGTCGCAGACAATCGCTGATGATCGTCAGTTTTACAAGTCGCCGGTGGTCGCAAGTAATCGTAAGCTCTAATGTGACTGGGGTTTAAGGGAAACACATAGTTAATACAAGTCCTATCTTGGCTTTCTTGCATTCCTCTACATATGAAAGCAGTGAGAGCTGTAATTCGTTGCTCTTCGATCGACGGATAAAGAAAAATTGAGACGTACAAGAAAGTGTTACAATAAAAAAAATTCAATCAGACAGGCACACCGTATTAAAGGAAATACCAAAATACACAAGCCACAGGGCAGATACCGAAATTAAAGGGTCAAGGTAGGTTGTTAGGGGCTGGGTTGACGCAAATGGAAAACAATGGGGTTTACAAAGATACTACAAATCGATGACGAAAAATACCAACATCTATAGGGCATCATCATAACACAACATATAACAATACATAAGACAAACGCAGAAGAAAGACAAACGGACACTTCCTCGGAACTGCCAGTTCATGTTCATGAGGTTTGAACCACTCTGCCGCCAGTTCCGTCTTGATTATATGTGATCTGGAGTTGGCTACATTGTACATGCATGTGCTTTCAAATTGAAGGTGTCAGGAAATCCACGGTAAGATGGTTGATAAATTGCTGAGAAACCAGGAACTTCTCCTGCATGGGCTGAGGTGTTGATGTCTTTCATGTTGAGAGACCGGTGTTAATATTGTTTGGACAGCACAAACGTTAAGCAGCTAGATTGTGAGAAAATGGTTGACGGTTTGGAGTTCGTTTTTTAATATTTCTTGTTCTTATTGTTACGCTTCTCGAACATATACTTTCTTCCAGACTTATTTGAGGATATATACTTTTGCTTAGAACATAATTTTTTGCGATTGCCGCTTTATTTTTATTCAATTTAGAACTGATCAAAAGTTAAATCGGTCAGCGCACCAAACATAACTGACATGATAACTGCTATTATTACCCCTCACTTTTTTCGTAATGCTAATTTCCCATAGGCATCTGAGAGTTATTTTTCCTGTTAATGCAAGTGTACCACGTGACTAAGGATTTTGTACTGTTACATAGGTAACAGTATTTTAAACAGTATAAAATCTGGTCACGTGGTCTATTTTCTAAATGAAATGAAATAAAATGGCCGCCATTTTTTTTCTCGATTTCAACGTTAACCCCGATAGGACATCAATTTCTTCTCTGAAGTAAGTATGAAACTCATAAAATTTAGTTGTTTGCAACCTGGTGTGCTTTTCGGGTATAAAATATCTTTTTATTGAATAGTCAAAAAGTGAACATCCGTTTTCAACAGAACTAATTGCAATGTAAATAATTATGTGTCAAATTGGAACATGCAGACGATTTAAGCATGCAACAAAGGATTATTTAACAATTTTAATCAGTGAAACGTTACAGATATGATGGACAGACACAGAATATCATATTTTTGTTACAGTTAGATTTAGTTGACAATTTCAGATCATCACAGTATTTTTGTTCGGGGTAATAAAATAAATAGCACATGGGTTTGTGAGTACGAGTAACAGTAAAAATATCAAAAGGGATGATATATACTGCAGTTCTAAAGCTATAACCTTATAATATACTAAGAATTGTTTCTTTTAATTTTGAAGATACATTATTGCTTAAAGTATACTTAGCTATCAACAAGATATAATAATTTGGAATTTTAGAAAGTGTAGCACGTTAAAATCGAAAAAGTTTTTTTTTCATGAGGTTACATCTTAAAACGATTGCCTTGTGTTGATTTCGAAATTTCCTTAATTTAAATGAATTTCGAGAGCCTAATTAAAGGGAAGTAAACGAAAATAAAAGAATTATACTAAATATCGTGAAGTTATAACACTTAACATAGTATTTTTATTTTTATTGTTGACTTTCAACTTAAAGCTGTCGTTTCATCTTCGGAACTGATGCTGCGATCTTTTAGGCGTATATACTGTAGTACATTTTTTACGAAGGAAGTGAGACGAATAAAGTTTTTTTTCTACTTTATATGGCATATGCATTAAAAAAAATATATATTTGAAAATATGAGAGTGGAGTTCTGAACGCTGTGTTTGTTTGTTTGTTTCAAAAATTGAAGAACTGACCTTCTGTGACATCAAATGTGATATTAATGGAGTCATATTAAGACTTCTAAGTGAATAAGTAAAAGAGAGAGCATCTAAACACAAAGCTATGTGATTTGTACGAGGGGGCATAGCTTCGAGTATGAATCAGATTGCCAAGTGTTTTGATGTTCTTTCTCTTTTGTATCATAGTCAAACATAAAAACATGTTCCCTGTAGTCACAATAGGAAACCCAAGAAAAAAGGAACCAATGATAGAGCATCTGAAAATGATATTTCTGTCGCTTTCCCACAATAAGTAAACCCCAGCAAAAATGAGCCAATCAATGGGCGTGCTCTGGAGTGCGGGTAACTAATACCTGCACTCCAGTTAACGCACCGTGCATGTATATGTATACGATTTAACTGACACATTTTCAACAGAAAGGTCCCTAAACTTTGATACAACAATCATTATATTCAATTCATTCTTTACATTGTTCTTGCACACTCATTGAAAGGCTTTACACCATGTGTCCAGTTGAAAAAACAATCCTGTGATTTTTTTACTTGAAAGACTTCCCTCTAACTTCCTCCCTGGCTTTTACTGCACATAAAATAAACAGTCTGCTGACAGCTTATATGACGAGTGCATGTTGGTTCATGAAACTAATCATGGCCAGCACTTTTACTCTTTAGCCCGTACTTGTCCCTAACAATAATGAATGGTTTTGTCCAGATTAAAGACTGGACAAGTCCATGTAAGACATAAAGTGTGAATAGGTTGTAAATAATGACAACTTTAATCATATGGGAAAATGTACTACAAATGTTTCTTTGATATTTTCACACAAACATGGAAATACACTATAAAATGATCAGGTCAAAATACGAACTGACCACACCACGCAAACACATTGAAAATAATGATGATGATAATGATAATAGTAAAATAAAGATAAAAAAAAAACAATGCCAACAGTTTGTCACATATAAAATTGTGATAGTAAAACATTAGCTTTTCGCATATGCCAGGGAAAAAACTGACATTAAAATTAAGTAGAATAGCACATTAAAATTTAAAAAAAAAACAACTGCGAAAGATCAAAAATACAATTTTCATCCCACAATTTTTTTGACAGTTTTTTCTTCGATTTTTTTAAGTGATTTTAAAATTGTTTTCCTTTGCTGTCTGGTGAATCATGTATAGAAATGTTTTGGCAGTTTTTTGTCTTTCTAAAAGTTCAACATACACTTTCATAAAAGTTCAAGATACAATACACCCACGTTCTTCATTTTTCTTCAGCTCCTCAATTTTATCAGATGCAAAGTACATGATTTGTCTGAGGGCAATTAAGATATGCGTGCTTGCTGCGTCATCAATCTCTATGTCCACTTCATAATTTCTGACCGGATGTATGTTTCCTTCCGGAATTCCAAACATGTTCGCTGCTGATATAACAGCATAGTGAACTTTGACGCTCCAAAATGTTTTCTCGGCGTCCTCGCGCACTTCTTGACAGAGTTCATCAATCTTGGTCAGAATCAAATTACACGGTATATCTAATAAAATAAATTACTCAAAATAAATCGATTATCCTAATTTATCCTATTCATAACATTTAAAATAGCTTTTAAAATCGATAAACCTTTAACTGTACATAATATTAGTTGTTTTGTTGACAAAGATTCGTTTCGCTACCCGTGGTCATACTTTATACTGCAGTAATACGATTTCCAATGCCACTGAAAGTGATGTATTCAAAGTTCATGAAATCAGAATGGATGTGAAAGAAATAAATATAAACCTAACCCTTGAAATGACAAAATAATTTCTTGAATAAAACATACAATGTAATCGACTCAGCAATTCACAAGCCAACCATATTTCATACAGACGGACGGGTGAACTGATAATCCAATTATAGATTTCCCATTTCTATGGTCAGTTTTCAAATGTGGTTTTACGTGTAAAAAATAATTCACATTTTAAAATTAAAAGCAAAATCAGAGATGGATTGTAAAAATAGGCGAAAAACAGATTTTTTTTGCACTTTGATTTTTTTATAACGTCACGTAAAGAGATCAACCAGTATTCGCTTAAACAGTCAGCAAGGATTTCTATAACTGTGGTTCTCTGTGACAAACACAGCTAAAAATGAAAAGAATCACTTACTGAGAGAATGTGCTCGTTCCTGGAGAGATGCGATCTTTGACATGTATGGCTTCATAATGGCTTCATCAACCATGCCAGCGTCTAGGACAAACACAACACAATGTATCTGGTCTTCTATTCGAGGCTTGGTGCGAAAGAACGGATCAGTCTCGGATATTTTCGATCGTGGATTGAACTGGAACAAGAGTGATCCGTCATGGAAACAATATAGAACTGTGACAAACATACAAATGAGGTATTTTAGATGGAATATTTAATTGTGATTAATCTATTCTATTTTAAGATTCTTATCACAGAACTAATAGTTTGTATTGCAGTTCGCGGTTCGTGCCCGAAATACTGGTAATGCGCGGAGGGGATAGTATAATAAAGTGCAACCACACTATATATTATGGTCTTGATGTTTCTATACTGCTTATTCAACATTTATGTTTGAGATACCTTGTATCCCCTTTTTATATGACCTTTAAGTAGATATACAAGGTCGTCGAGTAAAAGTCCACCTTCCAGCACGTGTTCTATACCCATACTGTCCCATAAACAACAATGTTGTACAATACCTTCGTCCATATACCTTTCGTACTAAAATAAAAAATAAGTGTGTTTTAGTCTTTATCAAACACAAAAATATACATTTGTTTAGACCTATCGGTGCACGTCAAGGGATATATATATAATCTTTTTTATTTTCATGTAGAATCGAACATAATTTTCTAAGACACAACAAGAATTTTCAGGATTCCTGATTCATTTACGTACTTTTTGTGTTATCTCTGGTACGGTTACATGTTTATAAAAATATTACTGTTTAACTTACGGTTGTAGTAAAACTTGTCTCTTTGTTTCCAGTGTACGCCTTGTTCACACGACGTCCCTTGGCGGTTGTAAGTATTGAGTTTATGAAGGAAGACTTACCAGCCCCGGTAGGACCAAGTAACAACACATTAGCCGGACATTGGGGCTTTATACTAATTATTTCGTCGACAAGGTTTTGGTAAGTCTGAAAAAAAAATATAAAAGAATAAGAATTCGTTTCAATTGATACATCTGATGTTACGATGACGAACAACAGTCATAAATGTGAGAGGCATTTCTCTAAAACATTCTCGGTAAGTCAGAGACCATTTATTCAAATGAAGTTATCAGAGTCTATTCGACCTATTGGGCTAACATCTATATCAAAACTGATTATATAAAAATACTGCTACAACAATATGACTGACAACACCCAGTTTAAATGCGACTGTAAAAGCATACAGTATCTAATTAAATGAAAAGAAAATGAATCTCTTAAAATAAATACCAATGGAAACTTTAACATTAATTTAAATTAACTCGATATATTAATAAGTAAAGAATGTTTATTGTTAAATACAAGATTTTTTTCAATAAAAGGGGGCGTTCACAATTTGACTGACAACACCCAGTTTAAATGCGACTGTAAAAGCATACAGTATCTAATTAAATGAAAAGAAAATGAATCTCTTAAAATAAATACCAATGGAAACTTTAACATTAATTTAAATTAACTCGATATATTAATAAGTAAAGAATGTTTATTGTTAAATACAAGATTTTTTTCAATAAAAGGGGGCGTTCACAATTTGAAGATCACCTCTTTAAAATAATGCCAGCTTCATAAATGAAAGAAATGCTACTTCAACAATTGAAAAGTTCATTTTAATTACTACCGTCAACGAATCTGAACGTTTATTCCTACATATTCAAAGTAATAAATAGAGGATATGCAAGATTTTTCTATAAATACATGGTTTATTTTCATCGAGTGGTATGAAAATAAATATTTCATGAGTGGCGGTAGCCACGAGTGAAATATGGTAATTTCCATGCCACAAGATGAAAATAAATCGTGTATTTATAGAAAAAACTTGAATTTTCTGTTTATTATATACATTTTTCTCTTTTTTGACATTAAAATTTGAAAGACTTTCCCTTAAATTTCGTGTACTGGCAGAATTTAAAAGAAAGTAGTCCAGCAAGACACCAGTGAAAATATGGAAAATATGTTTCACTGCAGTGAAAAATAAATTTTTACAGTGAAAATACGGAAAATGAAAATATGCATTTTATTTCATCAATATTTCTAAATATTTCATTTATAAGTATATAATAAACAAGTTGAATTATTTTAACATAATTTCGTGCTGAAATATCTTAAATAAATGTTGAGCGTAAAGAAAAATGTGGATTATATTTTTTTTCTTTTTATCTTCCTTTGTTTTCAAATTTCACAAATGTCGACAGCACGCTTCTTCTTTTCGGTAAAACTTCACAATTTCAATAATTAAAATGGCGCATATCTTTTATGAATCATGTAAGCCTAGATTATTCTACCAGGATCCTGAATACGTACAAATTGAGTTTTTCTCCATGGACTTTTGGTCAACGTTGGAGCGGACAGGTTGTTTGGTGTCCTAGATGATGAGGAACTAGCCGCTTGCGTTCCTGTATATTTAAATAAATTTATAGATAAAAACGCTTTATCTATCACAAACTGACAGTATTTTACATCTTAACCATTTCGTTTATTTAAAAAGGCAATTAGTTATTAGTATTTAATTCAGTCGAATATACTAGTATTATAGCTTCATCATGATATGCGCTACATATGTAGTAATTATGTAACTTAAAATAGAAAATGGAAATAACCCCGTTTTATTAATTGAAGTGAAAGTAGATTTTCTGGTCTAATTCCATGCAAGTATGCGTGCTTTACTTTTTTCTCTGTCCAAAATATATATTCATGGCTTTGTTTTTCATTTTCATAAAATCATACTTTCATCTTTATTAACTACCATATTATAACCTAGATCTGTTAATACAGTTTTGCAGTTTCGCCTTTAAATAGCCACGTAGGATTTTCTTTGATAGTACTGCATGCCGTAAAGCAAAGTAATTTAATCGATTCATGAGTATATATATGTAGAACTTAGTCAATAACCATTCTATCGAAGCCTTATTAAGCAATTAATTTTAAAAAAAAGTTAAATAAATTTAAACATAACTTTACCTTGAGCGATCCCCATGTTTTGAAATTGGTGTATCGTTCAATTCTGCATTTCCGGTTAATGATTTCCGTATGTGTAACAAGGTTAGCTTTTAAAAAAGCTAGTAGCGACTCGCTTCGTAATTTTTTTCAAGGGGTGTGTTTAAATGTAAAAATGACAGTTCTGTTAGCTGAAGAGACTTCAGCGAACATCAAAATAAAAGTGAAGTCAACACTGGCCCGGTGCCCGATGGCCAGTGTATATAAGTTCAGGCCAGTGTAAATTTAAGAAAATGTTGTTAATTATTTAGTAGAATAAATTCAAAACTGGAATTTGGGCCAGTAAATTCAAAATCTTAAACTCATTGACTGAAAGTGACATATAAAGTTCTCTCAGTTTAAACAAGATGAGTATGAGTATATATGAAGGTGCATGTAAACAGATAGAATGAAGAACCTATGTCTATGCACATTTACTATATGGCCTGTTGACCTTGACCACAAAATGTTAGATAGGTAGATTTCATAAAGATGTCTCTTTATACAAAATTAAGTTGTAATACATGTATGTTATTTAGTATTGGAATGAGAGGCACAAGTCCTAAAGTAAACACAAGGTGTCAATCAATTCAGCCAGAAAAGCCGGGATCCTATTAAAAAAATATAGGGATCCCGGAAATTGACCAGTCTAAGAAGATGTTTTTCAGATAAGCCGGGATCCTATTAAAACATATAGGGATCCCGGGAATTGACCAGTTCAAGAATATAGTTTTCAGAAAAGCCGGGATCGTATTAAAATGTAAATAGATCTCACGGATTGGCCAGTTCAAGTATATAGTTTTCAGAAAAGCTGGGATCGTTTTAAAACAAATAGGGATCCCGGGATTTGACCAATTCAAGAAAATAGTCTTTGATTTTTCCAATTAATTAGGCATATAATTATAAGTATTGTGATTTCCGCATTTTAAGTTTGTTAATAAATAGCTCTAAATATATCTATATTCTAAGTTAAATTAATTTAACGTTCATTATATACAATAAAAAAATTAACGTTTAATGGCCTTTCATTACGACAACAATCAACACAAATATAGTTCATTAGGTTTTTCCTCCATATCTTATACGATCCCGGATCCCGGGCGTTCCGGATCCCGGCCAGTAAATACATACACTAAATACAGGAAAGGATAAAATGACCGGAAAAAGGGAAAAATAAAAAATGCACAGAACCAGATGTACACTTATGTTAATTAACCAAACGAAAACTTACTACAGAGAAAACAGGTGAAATCGCTAAATCAGAAGTCAGTGTAAATATGATTTATTGAAAAGAATTCATAAAGACAAACATTTTAATCATCATTATATCTTTGCGCTCAAAACAATACTTGCTGATTTTTAAAAATGGCGTGAAAATTGAAGGTTTTTTGACGCTATGTAAGATTAAATTTGATTGGCTAAATAATTTTGGATCCTAGCCCTGATAGATAAATTTTGTAGAACGCTGGAAGCCAAGCGTCGATTAAATCTTTGGATGGCTTCGGAGTTTTAGGTTGTTTCTCAGTAAAATCCTACCGTAATACCGGCTCGCCGTGGCGAGCCGGCAAAATGATTGTATCATGGTAAATGGCATATTAAGATATATATAATTCTGAGTAATATAATATTATATATCAAATATAAATGCACCTTAGACGTCTTAAAACACCACTTTAAGTCAGAATTAACCTTATTCATAATTGGAATACAACGTATGAACTGAACAGTACAATATTTATATATGTAAATTACATCATTCATTTTCAGAAAACTTTGAATCGAAAGTAGGGTACCTATATTGTTGGACTTCCTGGCAAAATAATTATTTACACAAATGGATAAAAACTATGAAGATATTTTAGAGACTTTGAAGGTATGTAGGTTTAAGAACTTCCATAAACCAAATGATTCATTTATTGTTATTGCATTGACCTATAAATTTACTTTAGTTTTTACTAAAACTTTTCGTAAACTATGTCAGGTGATTGGAGTAGATCAATGTACTAGAAAAATATAACTATTTCTGGTGCTACATATAAAAACGTATTTACGTGTATACATACATACGAGAATACCATATAATAATGATAGGCTAGCAAAGAAGAAAATTAAAACCGGAAGTAAGTCAAACTACAATGTACTTTTACTACGAGTTGAGTGAGATATTGTGGTATTTTGTGTACTGTACTGTATGGCTATATATAGCCCAACAAAGTGGGCTTTTTTAGATAGACGATGGTCGCCCTTCGCGCCAGTATATTACATGTATGTGATCATGTATACTAGTATTTCATTGCATTTATGTGCTCCAATATACTGGTATTTCATTAATTGCACCATGTTCTCCTGTATGCTGGTACTTCAGTACACGTATGTTCTCCATTAAGCTGCTATTTTATTGCACGTTTTTACACCAGTATACTGGTATCTCAATGCATGTTCGTTGCCATACGAACTGACACTGCATTGTTCGTATGTGCTCTAGTAAACTGGACCTGATTGCACTTATTTGCCGTGCTCAAATATACAGGCATTGTATTGCACGTACTAGTATGTGCACCAGTATAACAGACAGACACTGCATAGTCTGCATTGTACTTATGTGCTCCTGTATACTGGCATTTCATTGCAAGTATGCACTCCAGTATACCGGCACAACATTGCACGTATGTCTTCAAATGCACTACAGTACACTAACACTACATTGCTCGTACGTGCTGCAGTAAACTGGCTTTTCATTGCACATATCGTCACCTTAGTGCAATAACTAGTTAACTCCTATTAAATTAAGAAGGACTTAACCCTACTGCACTAAGGTGACGGTATGTGCTCCAGTATACTGACATTGCATTACACGTATGTGCTTCAGTATATTGATATTTCATTGCACGTATACACTCTAGTATACTGGCCCTGCATTGCACGTATGTGCTTCAGTATATTGGTATGTCATTGCACTTATGCAATCTAGTATACTGGCCCTTCATTGTGCACGTATGTGCTTCAGTATATTGGTATTTCATTGCACGTATACACTCTAGTATACTGGCCCTGCATTACACGTATGTGCTTCAGTATACTAATGCAGTATTGCAGGTATGTGCTCAAGTATTCTGGCATTACATTGTATGTTTGTGCTCTGGTATTCTGGCATTGCAATGCATGTATGTGCCCTCACATATCCTTGCACATTTATGTATCCCCACACTGCATGTAATGCGCTTCCATATACACTGGCATAGCACTTCATGTATGTGCGTATAACATTTCAGGAATATTTATAACGAATTTATAATACTGCAAACTTCATTTGAAAAGAAAAAGGTGAGATGTCTTTATAAATTGACAGCAGTCGTGCATATTATTTATTATTAGTTATAAAGATTATTACCAAGTTATATGGCCCTATATAAACGGTTGTTTGGAAATATAACCCGAGCCGCTAGGATTATCATGTCGTTTATATAGTTTTTTTATAATACTGCACTTTGACCTTTCAACATATATTTAACAATGAACACAAAAGTGTTTCAAAGTGTTTACTAGTAGTAGTATATATATATATATATAATTGGACCGCTAAGATAAATTAATACATTTTTACATGCACGGAAACAGAATAATATTAAGCTCACTGAACAAGAGTTCGATTTGAAAATATAAATTTTGCTAAATCCTGTTGATAATTGTGAACCAGTTTCTGTAAATGAAGGTATAATGCAAGTGACTGGGCAATGGGACTTAGGGTTTGAACTTTTGAAGTTAAGTATGAACTGGGGAAACATTTTCCCAGATAGCCTAGGGTTCACTGAAATAGAGCCCACTTATGATCTGTAGATCTTTAAAAAATTACAGATAATGATTAGGCTCCATATTCCAGTAAGTTCTGGTATGGATTACTACTATCGTGTCATTTAAAAGAAATGTTTAATTATGATCACTTTAAAAAAATAAGTGATTTTCAGCTTACTGTACACTTTTTTTGTTTAAAAGGAAATATCCCATAGATTGTTGTAAATTAAATATTTTGTTAAGTTTTGTATGCATTACAAGTAGGGTAGATCTACCTTCAAATGATTTCATTTTTAAAAATAAAAAGTTGCTCCAAGTCCATGACAGGATGTGTAATATCCAAATTTATTGTTTCCAATTTTTACACTGAAATGTCCGATTCTTTTCTTCTCTGTGTGTATTGATTTTTTTTTAAGTTTTGACATCTGTCACATCAAAGGCACTCACCGCATACAGCAGTCATCTAGACTACAGTAGTTCAGAACACTGATTGGCTGAAAGAACTGTCAGATGAAATATACGTCATTTGGTGTATGTTTCACCTAAGGATTTTTCTATTTTTTGTCGGTAAATTATGCGTGACCTTGATTGACCTTAGAACACTTCAGACTTTAGTTAGACAATATTTTTTAGCATTTTAAAGGCTGTAGAGTTTCAAAAAGGATTTTAAACTGAAAAGTATGGATTATTTGTATTCTGTTTATTAATCATACTTTTGCTGTACTGCAGGGAGAAAAAATAATACATCAGTAATATTTTTTTTTTTTCACTATCTTTTACGAAAATTTACAATGATCACAAATACCGAATTTTGGCACAAAATAAAACAACAAACACTTGTTGACTTTGTAGCTATCGCCGGCAACGCCAATCAGCACATATTTGAAGTACACACCGCTGGTGTAATAATTATACGATAATTGCATTTCTTTTTTGAATTTTCACAACTTAATACTATGAAGTCAATGCATGATATAAAATTATTCAAGAATGTTTCTTCAGCCAAAATATTTTTCATTATATATCGCAAATGAGTTGATAGCAGTCACTGCACAAAGGAAAACTGGCGTACATGATACAAGAGCGTAGATTTTACCGGCGTGATTATTCTTTTCTTTCTTGAACCTTGCAGTTGTGCCAGTCTTTTTTAACACTTTTCTTGAATATTAAGTGATTCAATGATATTAATTCAGACAATTAAAAAAATTTACACAGCAATTTTTCAAGGATCCCAACGGAATCCCCAGCTAGGAATCACAGAGATTCCTCCCGACTTTTTGGGATCCTCGGAATCCCGGGATCCCGTTAATGTCGAACCCTGACTTCAACATATCATTATTTATGTAATGCTGTGTTAGATTAAATATAATTTTATTCATATATAATTCCAGAGTCACTCAGAAAGGAACAGTCATTTCATTACACAACTTAAGCAGCTGGATCCTAGTAACCAAGGTTATATGCGCTATTGGAATAGTATACAGAATAGATTGGGTAGACCAAAAAAGCCGACATTAAAACAGCATGATACATCGACAAACCCTGATTCTCCTCAATCCAATCAGACTGAGGAAGTAAATACTGTTCATGACATCATCCAGGTAGTGTTTTGTATTTTAAAAGTTTTCTTTCGAAATGAATGTTATAGTCTGAAAAAAGATATAACACAGGTCGGACTTGTATTTGTTACTAGACGGAAAAATATCGGTTTTGAGGATTTGGTATTAATATCATTAAATGTTAGGTGATACTGACTGTCGTAGGAACAAGCCTTGCTTTAATATATACTATACTGAATCTATTTAGAAAATGCAGGGTAAACTTAATACACGACCAAATTTTAACTTTACACCCAGACCATTTATGACATAATTTTTTGGTTTGATGTTTATATTCATATGTAATTATGTATACATGCACCTTTTATAAAGACTATTTGTTAAGCTTATAGTTTATATTCATATTTGTATTGCCAAAGGATATAAGACAAAGAATACAGATTCTTGATACGGAAACAGAACAAGTGGTTCAAAGGTTATCAGATTATGCACGTGTTGTATCAGAGAAAGCTGGAGGTAAGTGTTGAGCTTATTTTTGAATGATGTGTGAATATTTAAATACATAGCTGTAAAACAATTGATTCAACAAGAAGATTGTATTATTATTCTAGCTCGACTTTTTTGAAGAAAAAAAATCTATTGCAATAGTCATTGTATCGTTGACGTTTAAAAACTTTTTTTTTTTTGTTTTGTTTTGGGTTTTACGTCACATCGACACAGTATAGGTCATATCGCGACGTTCCAGCTTTACTGGTGGAGGAAGACCTCAGGTGCCCTTCCGTGCATTATTTCAGGCACGAACGGGCACCTGAGTAGAACCACCGACGTTCCGTAAGCTAGCTGGATAGCTTCCTCACATGAAAGAATCCAAAGTCCCTGTCGGGATTCGAACCCACAGCGGTGAGGGGCAAGTGGTTTGAAGTCAACGACCTTAACCACTCGGCCACGGACGCCCCTTTAAAAACTTTAACGTTGGTCAAATTTTGTTATTTCTATAGACTGCCTTTATACTTTTTTTGTTATTTCTATAGACTGCCTTTATACATGAACATAACAATCCTTGGATTGGAGCGAAAGTTAGACCAGACTGAACTTGACCTTCACTCTCAAATGAACTTGGCCTTCATGGTCATATATTTGAATTTTTCTTGATTTTAGCTATAATTGGTTTTATGAATGAGGTGTCTTCATACTGGAACACAACAATCCTTTGGACAAGACCTTCAACTAGACTAAAATGATTATGAGCCTTACCTAGCAATGATCTTAACTTGAAGGTCAGATAATTGAAATCTGCTGAATGTTTTGCTATAATTCGCTATAACTTTATTATTTGTGAATGGATTGACTTCATATTTGAAAGACAATGTCTTTAAGAAAATCAACTCCGTTTGACCTTTACTCTTTTTGACTTAAGAAGTAAGAAAAAGTCCAACGTGGTCACCGCTTTGTTAACTATTCCACTGAAGATTAAATTTTTAAGACTTAAACACAAATGCTAGTATTACTCCTGTTTTTATTTGATGATCTAGAGTCTACAGTCGTACAAGTGTATGAACGAGATGGGAATACGGCAGAATTTGTAACTGCATTGAAAAATAGACTACCTAAAAGATGTATACCTGATGTGATAGAGAAAGTGTCTGAAATTGACGTCAATAAACCGCTAATAATATTATGTCAGAGAAGATCTAGATTGATGCCAGATATAAACTACTCACTGGAACTTTTTGATGGTAAATTATAATATTCTGGTCGATTTGGTCTTAAAGGCACATTATGTCTCAGAAATGCTTTTATTTCTATTTTTTATGTCGGGTTATATTTTCTTAAATGTTACTCATTAGCCAGTTTACTGAGCCATCTTTTTCTTCCGTTGCTTTTTGGCAATAAGTACAGTAACAGTGATTTAGTATTTTATGGAAGTCAGAATACTACTTTGTTTACATTTTGCTACTTTCTTTACCAATAATTTAATCAGCACTACTTTTTCCAGGAAATATGCATCTCACATGCTTTTAAACCATTACCTAGACGTTATAAAACACATTTATGACCTTTTTACAAAAGGAAACTATTTATTCGTTTCTGATGCATAATGTGTCTTTAATATAACTGTCCTATTACTTGTTTTACTCTTGGTCTGTTTTAAAGGTCAGTTAAAGTAATTTTTTTCGTGTGATTCACTGTTTAAATGATCGTGTTTTTTCCACAGTCATTCTCATTCTAGAGGCTCATGTTTTATATACATGTACACAGTTCAAAATGAAAGAATTTAATTCATGGAAATTCTTATGAGCATTTTCAGAGGCCTTTATTGCATATACATTTTGTAGTTCTCATTTTAAACCATCCATAAACTTTGCTAAACGCCATCATATTAATACTCATATTTTATTATTGCCTATTTTGTCTCGAAATTGAATTAATTAGTTGATGTTTAATTGGATCTATTTCAGACCTGAATTCCTTTACTCGACTGGCTATTGTGATTATACACAGTAAAGAAGGGCACGCATTACCTACAAATTCGTCGCAGGGTAAACTCGACGATGACGAAAAGTTCAAGAATATATGGATTATAGACGTTGCATTCACGAATGTTTTGAAATTTTATGATTGTAAGATGAACAATGAGGCTATTACTGCGTTAGAAAACTTTATTAAAAATGATACACCCATTTAACTGTGATTTAGTGATTATGATAGCTTTCTTATTAAAATAGTGTTTATTGTCAGAGATAGTCAAACAAAACTACAATCAGAAATGAATGAATAATGTAGATCTTCAAAGTGTTGAGTAGAATATTGGTCTGGATTGTATATTGATAGATAATTAGTAAATGGATTTTAATTGGAATGATAAGCCACCGAAAGTGTGCACATATTGTACTTACAACGGTCGTCCATCTAGATAACCATTATCCACTCGCTGTTTATTTTAATTAAACTAACGCCTGTTTGTAATTGCAATTTTAGAAATGACTTTGAAATTTACAAAAATATCAGGCAAAGCGGATATAAAGAATAAATCTTTCATAGACTTGAAAGAAAAAACTTAAGATAGTAGTACTGAAAAAACTAAGATAGTAGCACTGAAAAAACTAAGATAGTAGTATCAAAGTTTTGTCTTTTTCTTTTGTTGTTACAAATAAAAATTGGTTGACGGTAGAGCCCGACTTGTCTTATAACATTTGCAGCGTCGGCGTGATTTAGAAACATACCTGAAAATTGTAAGCACCACTTCGAAGAAAAAAATACAGTTATTGTGGGGATCCTGTCAGTTTACATTTTTATGCCCCCCCGGGCATATAGTAATTGAACCGTCTGTCCGTCCGTCTGTCCGTACGAGGTTAACCTAGAACGGCAAGTTGGATTTTTCTTAAGTTCTACCTGTACCAATGGCTTCATATTTTACACACTTACTAATCCATACAAAGTATATGATCTGGGCAAGTTACATAACTATGGCTTTCATTTGCACCAAGTTATGGCCCTTTTCAGCACTTAGAAAATGAATAATGGTTAACCTTAACCGGCAAGTTGGAAATATCTTATGTTCTATCTGAACTAATGGCTTAATAATTTTCACACTTACTTATCAATACAATGTACATGATATTGCCAAGTTATATAAATGTGCCATCCTTTTTCCAAGTAATTTCCCTTTTTATCACTTTGAAAATAGGGCCTTGTATGGTTAACCTATTCCGCCAAGTTGGATTTATCAAAAAATTAACCTAATTACTTAATTTATTTAATGATATCTTTCATATTTGGTTGGTTGATACCTTTAACGGTCCTCTATTTTTTGTGGCGTTAGGCGTCTCTAGGTCAAGGTCAAGGTCACTTGTGTAAAAAAAATAAATCTAAACATTTCTGCTCATACAGCCTTTATTTTTAAGTTAATGTCTTTCATGTTTATAATAGTCATACCAAGGGAGGTCCTCTTCCTTTTCCTTTAGTAAGGGGTCATTTGGGTCAAGGTCAACAATGTCAAAAATATTATTTTACACTTTTACAGGTGTATTAACCTTATTCTATCGACAGATGTCTTGTATATTTTGTAGGAACATAAAATTGAGGTATTCTCATTTGGATTGAGGTAGGTGTCAGTTGGGTCAAGGTCACTAGTGCTAAAAATAGATTTTTACACTTTTGCTCATACAGCCTTTATTTATTGACAGGTTTGTATTATAATTGGTAGGAAGATAACTTACATGGTATTATTCCTTTGGATGGAGTTAGGGGTCAGTTGGGTCAAGGTCACCAGTGCTAAATAAGATTTTTTACACTTTTGCCCATACAGCCTTTATTTATTGACATATTTATTTAATATTTGGTAGGAAAATAACTTGCATGATATTCTTCCTTTTGATAGAGGTAGGGGTCAGTTGGTCAAGGGTGCCAATTACAGATTTCTACACATGATTGGTCTTCTTCATGAACTGCGATAATTTGCTTCCATCTGTTAGTAACAAATTGTTCTTTCTTATCATTTAAAAGTGTTAACAATTAATGAAGGCATTTACTTACCGAGTTTAATAGCTAAAGGCTTTTGAGAGAAATAATCAAGATGGAAAGGCTAAGATGGAAAAGAAACTGAAGGATTGAGTAAAACATGCTCAGGTGAGGAGACACATACAAATTAGCTACTTCACTCTCTAAAGTTAAATTATTGACAACAGTGAGCGCGGGGGCATTTGTGTTAATCAAACACAGATTCTTGTTTAATTTTTTTTGTTAAGGTCCTTTATCTCAGAAACTATAAAAGCTTTTTTAAACTTGATATATTTATGTTTATTGTCATTAAAGGAAGCCGTTCTAAACGGGCAAACAATCCTAAAATTATTTTTTTTTATTTTATAAGTGATGCTTATATTTTTTGTCCTGTTAAACCGTTTTGTTGAGGTCGATTTCCACAGAAACAGATGTCGATTTCCACAGAAACAGACGTTAAATTCACTTCCAACTTTGTATACATGTCTCGCACTATTTCAGAATAATCCTGAAATTTATTTTGCATATCTTGCTTACTTTTTTAAACGTCATTTTATCAAAGACTGTATGTCAAAGTTAATCGCAATAATTACAATAGACTTCGAGTACAATTGTACTTCAATTTTTTAAGTGTAATTCATTCCGTAAGGGCGAGTGAACTTAGTATGTAATTTATTTTTGCTATGAAAGATGTTATTTTGAAATTAGAGTTCTTGTTCACTATCAAATTTGGAATGCGGGTCAGACTTTGCATAATTATTTCCGTTTTTCGATTCAGAATATTCGCCGTTTTCAAAAACCATAAAAGCATTAATGCAACCTTGAAATAGAATCTGTGTTGAATACCAAGGGCATGTAAAGTCTTTCAAACACTTTTGCTTTGCTTAATTATTCCCCTTTTCTTTGTTGCTTTCATGTAAATTCCAGCACTGAGAAAAGCGCAGTTTGATGTCTGCAGGACATGTCTAAATTATCTATTTCATCTTTCAAGAAATAGATATAAAGAAGTGTATACATACAAATAAATATAAGAATTAAAACAATACCATCTAGATCTAGGTGGCTTTTATAAACAAAATAGATGTGATTATTTGGCAGTTTGTTTACAATATCAATAAAAACTCAACAAAGATCTACATGGGTTAATGGATCTACAGATCTATATAAAGAACATGAATCACAAAAGATACATACTATAGTATTCATATCTAGAAGTACACCTGTAATATCATCTATTAAAGCACCATATATTTACATCTAGATAAAATATCTTGTTGATTAATGAAGATAATGTTTTAGATTTTACAGTATTAAATTTTCTTAAGACGAATAGATATGATCTTAGGATGAAAATAAACATAGATCTACATTCAATAATCTAGATTAGTCAAGATTAAGAGTCTAGATATGTAAGTTAGATCTACTAAATTTTTTATGAGTAGGCATACTATATTCACACTCAAGTTTTGCTGTCCATTTCAGCGTCAAACTTGCAGTAAGTTGATTAATCACTATATAAGGTAGAGTATGTAACCAGATTATTACCATACTGTAGTCTTCATAAGTACATATAGATCTATATTCTAAAATGTCTTTGACAAAGCTTTCCTATCGCCATAAGGCGCACGGGTTTCATAAAACATTGTAAACTTCATTCCTCCTTTTTCTGGAATGAAAACTGCATCATCCGGATATGACGTAATTGATAACGAATTGGGTGACGTCATTTTACGGTGAGAAGACAGCGAAGTTGGTAACGACCTTTGACAGTGGCAAGTCTCAGAATACCTTCTCCTATGTGATGTCTTTCGTCGTGCACGGCGTGATTTTGGTATCTTACTTGGCACAACAAAGTCTGGATTTCGTTTAACTGTCTTTCCGTCAGTTGGCAAGGGTCTGGATTTTGGTGGATGGTAAATATCATCATCTATATAACTATAAAATACGTAAAACAAACACTCATTACTGTAATTTTAGGACTAAAACTACATATTTTTTGGTAGATCTTTATTAATATAGATATTGGTGCTACTTAAATTTATCAAACTTTATATTAAGTCATCTTGAGAAAACTATTAAAAATCTGTCGCGTAAATGTCTCATAATCGGTCTAGATCGAGATACAAGCAACAAAAGCTGTCCTCATATACCTGATTTCTGGCACATTCTAAGAGATAGTTGGACAGGTATTAGAATATAAGTAGAATCTATTAGATATGTCTAGATTTCTTTTCTTCCCTCTTTCATTCGTAAATATTGCACTGGATGAAATATAACATGATGCATATCCATAGAACCTAGATCTAATATATTAAGACTACGAGCTGGAGAGGTATGTGGCTTTTAAGTTGAAATGAAATCATAAAAATTTGTGTTCACATTCATTTATATTATCTAAATTTAGTCTGACATTTCCAATACGTGTTAATTAAATGACATAAAATTCAACAGAATATATTTCATTACTGTGGCGGTTAAAGCTGTCTTAATTGGTTACATTTACAAGAATAGTACATTGCTATGAATGAATGAATGATTGATTGATTGATTGATTGATTGATGTACTTAACAGAATTGACAGAATAAAGCATCTAAAAGCACCTAGACTGATGGCCTAAAATACAGTAGATCTACTTAAAAAATAAAATAAAAAAATGAGAGAAAATCGAAAAATGCAGATTAATTGTTAATAATTTAAAACATAACATGGGTTCTAATTTATAAAATAGAAAGTAAAGTGCATGTAAATATATACCGACACAATATTATAGATATAACAAATGTCCAGTGCATAGTATATTATCGAAAGATGAAAATAAAAGTTCTATATGAGAGAAATCGTCAGGTCTTGGCAATTTTAATGGTCAGTTATTTCCTTTCTTCCCCAATAATACTGATGGTCTGGTAAAACGCAACTTACATAATTGGTTCTTTTTCCACATAACGGCGTTTCCTGCTTTTAAAGGACTGTTCCATCGCTGCGTCTGTGTACTGTCGTAAACTAAAATAAACCATATGATAAATATTACAGATAAATAGCTAACTATACTCATAGTTAAATGACCTATCTTGTCGAAGCTAGCTTGAAGAAATGTCTCATCAATGTGTATATGTGTCCACACATCTGTGAAATAACTTCCCATAGAATGTTACTTCGTGGAAGGACCAACTCGCGAATGGACCTATAGAACAAAGAAAAAGCTGGTCTATGTCTTTTACAAATTAAATTATAACGATTTATACAGTTCATTAAGTCCAGAGCAACTTCCATCTTATATTGACAAATTTTAAATATTGTAAAACAATAAATCTGCCAAACACAGATAATATACCTTTCCGGTGTTGTATAAATGTCCGGGAAATACGGGAGCACCTGCTCTTCCCTGTTTCCTATGTACCCTGAAAATAATATAAGAGACAATGGTTGAGCAAACTTTTCAAACTATATACACATACATAATTACGGAGACATAATTATTATACTGTTACATTTGTATTTAAATCATTAATTTCTAGTCCTTGACAAGAAAGCATTTTAATAGTTACATAATTATGATATACACTGACAAGATTTAAACAGTAATATACCAATCTAGCATAATTATTTACCTTTTTGGTAAAGAATACACAGAACTACGGTCATAACAATAAGTATTAGCAATAAACACCCTAGTATGATAGCGGCCACAGCTCCGTCGTCTAATCCGCCCTCATCATCTTGTGCCGGTGGCCTAGTTAGCGTCCCTAACAATAGAAAAAAATTGACATTTTTTTAGTATTATGACGTGAAAGTGTTTAAAATAATCTTTTGGGGGCAATGAATTGTAATTCAGTGTTTGTGCATGAATTTATCCATGGTTTGACAAAAAAAATGTTCTCTCCTCAACGTAACATAATTCGCAAGATAAATATTCAAGTCACGACTTTGGACAATCTGTTTAAGTATAGCATGGTACCGGGCAAATTCATTGTTTACATTTACCAAAAACAAAATATTTGAGCCGCGTCACGACAAAACCAACATAATGGGTTTGCGACCGGCATGGATCAATACCAGCCTGCGCGTCCGCGCAGTCTGATCAGGATCCATGCTGTTCGCTTACAAACCCTATAACAAGTTGAGAAACTAATAGCGAACAGCATGGATCCTGATCAGACTGCGCGGACGCGCAGGCTGGTCTGGATCCATGCTGGTCGCAAACCCATTATGTTGGTTTTATCATGACGCGGCTCATTTTTCTTTTATATGTATATTTTTTACAAAATAGACCTCTAAAAGAACTAAAGGAATACGAATTAATTAACAAGTGAAGCCGACATTCATGATGTTTATATCAAAAGTATTTTTGAAGGCTTGTGAACTTTTTAAAGTGAATAAAACAAATGTATTAAAAAGGCAACATGAGGAAACAGGAAGTGGTATATAGCGTTTTAAATATTCACCTTCTGTCGTTGTTGCAGACTGACATATAGACGCGAGTGACGTCAGAATCATCAACGCCAACAACGGATACATTATGTGCCGTCTTACTCTGTCATCGGAGAGTTCTGAAGATATACACGGTACATGTTTGAATATTATTCAATTTCAGGAACCCCACTGAGGGTTTTATTGTTTTTTACATAAGGGGGTTCAAATGTGACTTCTGTATGTCTGTATGTAGGTCTGGTCTAATATGTGCAAATTTTTAGATCATTGCCCTACTCCGTTTTCCCAGAATAATTATTTGTTTTGCAATGACTAAAATTTATAAACGTTACAAAGCTTTTCACTCAAACCGGGCAAGATAAATCATGCAAAACATGGACTTTAAATTAAACTCTGAGTATATTTCTTTATTATCTATTGCAATCTTCTCCATTTAAAGGCATCACTTGAACTATGCAATAATTTGACCTCAGTGAGGCTCCGTTGAAACATATTTGAGCCGCGTCACGACAAAACCAACATAGTGCGTTTGCGACCAGCATGGATCCAGACCAGCCGGCGCATCCGCGCAGTCTGATCAGGATCCATGCTGTTCGCTATCAGTTTATCTACTTGTAATAGGGTTGGCAGATGCGCAGACTGGTCTGGATCGATGCTGGTCGCAAACCCATTATGTTGGTTTTGTCATGGCACGGCTCATTTTTTTTTATTAATTTATCAAAAGTTTGAAATCATACTATAATAATAAAGCATTTTTGAATATTTTTTATAGAGTAATAATTATTTTCTGTAATTTCTACAAATATTGAAGGCCATTCGTTCATTACAAGTTCGTAAACAGTTACTATAGTTCGCTATTTTCCTTAGGCAACTGTTAAGGAACAATACAAAATAATGTACGCGATATTCAAGGTTAATATACATGAGTTAACTTCGGTGTTTTGCCATTTTCCTCACCAAATAGATAATTTTTCTGTCGGGAACTTCACAATGTATACGATAACGTACGGAAACTTGCAAAGTTTGTCGAAAATTTACGATCAAAGTGCTTATTTTTTAAGACAGAATCACAAGATTACTTTATAGGAAGAGGACAGTTTTGAAAAGATACACCCAATAAATTTTCCTTAATAACAGTGAAGTGTATTATTAAAAAACAGTGAATTGTGTTAAATGAAATATCATTGAAACAGTGAATTGTTTTAAATGAAATTTTAAAATGGACTTATTCACCTGTATGATATTCGAGAGTACACTTACCAGATTTCATATTACCGACATATATAATATTTTATATGTCAGAAAGAAAATTAAATCAATCAATTTTCAGTGGAACCTATTCCATGTTTTCTAAACTCAATTTCTACTTATTCAGTCATTCAACAAAGGAACAAAAAAATATACTTACAAACTTATTGTTTTTTTCTCGGAAACACACACAAGACACGTCAAATTTTAAATTTTATCCGTCTACGGTTCTTTATCCTTTTGGTTTAATCTTGACGTTCCTTTTTTCGCAGACGCTATCGTATTTAAATATTTCTATCACTTTAAAATCCATTTAAAGTTCATTCCAACTGCAGTTGATATGATAGATCCGTATCTTATACCGTCAGTTTAACCACTCTAATAAATTTGCATAGACACTTTATAAGTTATTGAATACTTATACAATTTTAAAAAGACAATACATCGGCCATACTACAATTGAAAATATCATTATTGGTAATTCAAACCTTAAGTCACGTGGCTAACTTAATATATTTTAAACAAAAAGGGCGCGATTAAATTTTGGCAATGGTAGGTATTTTATTATATAAGATCGCCTTTAACTTTATCTCTGTATTAGAGTGATGCCCTGACTATACGGAATACCGTTAGGGCCATCGTGGTTATACTTTATTTTCCAAAGGGCGACAGTGCGATAGCGCGATGACGACAATACGACAGTGCAATGACGACATTCAAATAGTTCGATGGCGACAATACGACAGTGCGATGACGACATTTAAACAGTGCGATGGCGACAATACGACAGTTCGATGACGACAATGCGATGGTGACAGTACGATAATGTGACAGTGTGATGACGACAATACGATAGTGTGGTGACGACAATGTGATAATGCGATGGCGACAGTGCAATAACACTATCGCCGTGTCGTCATCCCACTATCACTTTATCACATTGTCGCCATCGCATGATCGTCATCGCACTATCGTATTGTCGTCATCGCACTGTTGCATTGTCGTCATATCACTATCGGATTGTCGTCATCGCACTGTCGCATTATCGCATTGTCGCACTCTATATTTTAATGTATAACCACGATGGCCCTAACGGTAGTCCGTACCTGACTGCTTGTTACATAAGATGTAACTAATTGCAAGTGATGATGAACAGTTCGTATGTTTGCGTTTATTTAGTCAAAAAAGTAAATTTACGAGTAAAAGTGGCTAAGCTGATGTAAACTTCGAAACACTCTTCGTAAATGTGAAAAAACAAATCTAACAAACACAGGTCTTGCATTTTCTTTTTTTTTTCATTTTCATCAAAATTTCGTTATTACACAATTATATAATCAACCTAGTTTACTTGACTGCTTAGATATATATCTATAATAAATAAAAAAAAAGACTGTATGATTAAAAATGGGTAATCTTGATGTTGAATAAGATGCACATAACATAACTATTCTAGATTCACTTTATTTCAGTCAATTCTAATAATTATGATAATTGTTTTCCTGATCATTTTTTTCAATCATTATAAAACAGTAGTTGTTGTAGTTTTTTAATATGTGAATTAGGAGAAAACGATTAAAGATATAGACAAAAGATAACAACAATGGTTTTCTGTATTACTCATCAAAATTCATATTAGATAATAAATTTAAAGTAAATCACAGGTAACGCGTTTATCTTGCTTACATTTTAAAGATATATATATATATTTATGTATAGTATGAATTCCCTGGTAATGAAGAATGTACATAATTATATATAGGAAAAACAGCTGCTCGACGGGAATATTGTACTCGTGTATCGATTTGTCTTTACATATAAACATGTACATCCTAGATTTATATAGATATATATATATATATTATGATAGATTTGTTCTCAATAAACATTTCAAAAACGGCAACTAAAATAATTAAAAATATTGACAAACTTTCATAGATTTTTACTTGCGCATGAGAGATAAGGTTTTAATAAAAAAAATAATGGAAATAATATATGTATATTTCAATGAAAGAAAAACAATGGAACAGAAGTACAGAAAAAATGTTGTTTTAATGTATTTACGATACACATGTATATTTGAAAACTTAAAAGTAATTTAACTGCAGATCATTATGTATATAAATATAATGCAAGCATTGATTTGATTTAACGATACGGTTGCCTCCCTTTAATCAATGCGGTTTAAAAATTTCAAAAAAGTTTTAGCGGCAGGAATTAAATGGTTTTATGGTTTATTAACAATTATAAGAGTAGTTATATACATGGACATTCAATATTCATTCATGAAACACGAATCAAATGACATAAATAATTTTACTAAATGTATTATAAATATGCTGTTATAGGTCTTCAATTTGTAATAGTTTTCATTTAAATAAACCAGTTGTCTCAGAAACGAATAATTTGCTCTGCGGTACAGCGCTTGTCTGTGAATCTGGCGACCTGAGTTTGATTCCTGGACGACGAAGGTCCATTTCGTTGTGATTGATCATGAAATCCTATCTACGGTCATTCGCATTGTACCTCTGCTCTGGCATGTACAGAATTAAACAGTTCCTTGCAAAAGTGCAATCAACTAGTACTGGTACTGGTAAACAGCTTAACAGTCTGCCCAGGAAACGATGCAGAGGCTGAACTGTGCTCTGGTAAATTTAATGTGGCTTACTGCCGTGATCCGGAGTGAAAGCTACAAACACAAAATTAATAATTTTATACTAAAAAGGGCAAAAATGAGTTTATAACGTTAACATAAAGGTTTTAGAGCATATTAGATGCTTATCACATGAAAAAGTAGCGCAAATGTGAAAGTATTTGTCATTAAAGTAGCAAAATGTAAGTATTTTGACTTCCATATAAAATACTAAATCACTATAACTGTACTAATAACCAAAAGCAACAGAAGCAAAAGATGATTCAGGTAATTGGCCAATGAGTAACTTTCGGAAAACTATAAGTAGACACCAAAACCAAAAACTTTTGAGAAATAAAAGCATTTCTGGGGCATAATAGGCATTTAATAGCAATCGTAAGGAGTTAGTTAAATTATCAGATATGACCAGGATTGACCCATAAATATTCGGACTTTTTCTAGTGTGTCTTCATCCTGCTATAGCTATGTATCCACGTGCCATTTCTTATGCAGGTCTTCGTTGACTGCCAGGGACGAGTCCGTATAGTGGCTTTAGAACTCGTGCGCTTTCTGTATACGTGTCTGTGTCGCGCAGGATTTTTAACATTTTCATGTGTTTCTTAAACATCACGTGCATTTTACATTCACACCAGAAACTAACTGACCAAGTCACAGACAATTGTTTTCATTGAACTATTGTATGCTTTGTTAACAACTTAACACTTTTGTTGTCCCTATCGAGACTCCGGAATGATCAGAAAACACGTGCGTGTTTATGCTCCAGTCTCGACTTGTGCATCTCATTTGCATACCACAGTATACATTGTCGTTCAACGTTGACATGCATAATTATTCGATTTTCTATTCTAGCTAAAGGTCTATTCTCGCCAGATAACAATCATTTTGCCGACATATACATTGAATATATTTATTAAAGTATGCAATACACTCTTATAATAGAAAGAATGTTATATATCATTTGTGAAGATATTCGACAGGGTTTCTAGGTTAAGTTAACTGCTGATGGTAAATGATTATTCCCAATGCAGACCTAGATCCTCCGACTTCTCCCTCTGCACTGTTCGCTATGCAGTCCGAACTTATTTGAAAATTTCCTTAAAATCATGAATGGTTTGTCAATAAACAAGCCCACTTAAAGATGCACGCCTCCAGATGAGCAAAAGTATTACGATAAAATCAATCCTGAGAAAAATGTACTAAGACTTTAGGAAAAGCATGAAGATTCAAAATTCTGGTAATAATTTACATGTTATGTGCCATTAATGACCGATTTTTCAGTATTTATAACTACATTTCTATTGCATTACTAACGCAGTAAGGGCTATTTCTGCATATTTTGACCTCTTTATGGTAATTTACATAGGCTGAAAGTGCCATTGATAATGTGTAAATTGCATTCTTTTGATAACTCCACAATATTATACTTTTAAATACATTTTCAAATTTTCATGAAAATTAGTATCAACCTGGAGGCGTGCTGCTTTAAAGTGAGAGTAGAAAAAAAATACGACAAAAGTATCAAACACTATGGTTTAGTTTATTTGTTTTGGGGTTACAGTAAAATTAGTACAAATTTTAAGACCCCATTTATTGAACAGTAAGAAGTTATTTTTACTTTACTTCACCAAATTAGATCTTAAACAAGTTGATGTAAAGTGAACGTCAATAAACGTAAATATCCGGGTATATATATTTATCCATTTTATACACGATACGCATGAATGAAGAAGAAAGAAATATTTCGATAAAGTAGTAAGATTTCAGTGTATATACTCTTCACTGTTAAAAGGGAAATATATTATAAACAATATATTTACATGACAAGATTTTATACTGATTGGACTTAAACAGCCATATGTTTCAGCTGTGTCGTCTGTACATGTTAGTATAAATTTTCTATCTCTTGTTTAAATGAATATAATGTATGAATTATAACAATTTTCAACAATTTTCAGTCATTTGTTGTTGTAATGGCAGGAGATAAAAGTGGATATCGAGGATAAAGTCATTTTAGGGGTATGTATTCATGTATAATGTTTTCAACTATAGTTGTCGGATAAACATGTATATAAATATAAAACTTTGTGGTTATTTATGCTTTTGCGTTCATGTTTTTGTCTGTTTATATGTTCTTATACATATATATTTCATTGTGTCCGTCTGTCTTTCTGTATGTTTGTCTGTCCGACTAGTTCAGTATTTGTCTTGTAATATAGACATCCGGCTTAAATACAAAGTACAACAATACAGTCAAACAATAGAGAGATAAATTGCAAATACACTTGTTGCTAAATGTGATGGATTGAATTATCAAATGATAATACAGTAATAAGCTCCTCCTTTCTTGTACTGATTGCATAATGTAACTATTTAGCTATTGACATTACTTTATCTGTTATTGTTGATGACACGAGGGAATGAAATAAATGATGGGAATGTCGATATAACCATTATCTTAAAAAAACAGCTATAATATTGTTATATAGGGAACAAAAAGAAAATGATAAGGCTTTCCGTAATTGTATCTGACTTTTTCAAGTTTGCTGATCCTCTTCTAGAGCATATATACTAGCGCAGATAACTCAAAATCAAGCAAATCGATACCTTACTTAATTTCAAATTATTTTTGTTATTTCAGACATCAACTATTTTTGTTATTTCAGTCCTCATAAACAACTCTCTCTACAGAATACAGTTTGCTATGCTTAAATGAGCAAATTTTCTTCAAAAACTTGTTCCAACATTTCACATCATTTACCCCGGGGTTCTATGATATCACGGTACTTAACGTTTTTATTCGAAAAATATTCAAATATAAACATCATACATGAATGAGATTTTTCTTCTTTTGGGTAATATCAGAGGAGGTTACTATGGTATTACGGTTATCCCCAAAAAATGCAAGTATGGAAGGATAGACGGGTCAAAATCTTATAATAAAGTTGTACAAAACTTCCAACAGTTAACTTGCTATAAAATTCAAACTAAATGAACAGACGATATGTCAGTATATGTGATTATAACATATTTTAATTGACTGTGTAAAACAATTACGGGAAATAGTAGTCAAATATTAAGTTTTATAAAATAGTTTTCTTGCCACAAATACATTCATTATTCCCCAAATTAAATTTATGGCAGATGAAAATGAATTTAGTGTGCCAGTTTTAAAAATATTAGCATCATCGTGTGTTGCTTTTACTCGCAGTCACATACCGTGATATCATAGATAGGAACTGGGTATACTATAATGGAATGTGTTGCATAAAATTTTAGTAAATTTTGCCCCATGACATCTTCACTGAAGTAATAAATAGAAATTTGCAATCAAATCAGGTGTTGCTTGCTAAAGCTTTATCTGCTCTTGACAAAGACCTAAAAAAATCACTTTCATGGCTGCTAGCTCAAAAAGTAGGAAGTTAAACCTCCCCCCCCCCCCCCCCCCCCCCCCCACGCAGAAGAAAATATTATAATAAAAAGATCAACATTTGCTTAAGTTATGATTATATGATTCCATTTAATCATGCAAAGTTTAAGAAAATTAAATTCATTAGTTTCGAATTTTATTCGTTGTCTATGAAACTAAAGGGAACAACCACAACATTAATGTTTATTTCAGTCATATCCGCTATTGCGCTGTTGATTGCAGTTTCTGTATTTGTAATAATTAAAGTTCGGAATAATATGAAGCAAACATTAACATAATAATATATAATTACAATTCATTCCTTTTTATTTGTCAGTATATATTTTTACAAAGGTACTTATGCGATTTTTTTTTACTTATTTGATAAAACACGGTTTAGATATTTCTTCGTGACATTTATATTTATAAATATGTTAAACCTAATTTAACTTTTTTACATGAATAAGTGCGTCTCATTTTTCTGTGACGTTTTACAATCAATAAATTGTTAACAAAACAATTCCTGAAAGACCGTTATCAAAATATTTATACGGAAGCGTGAACGGGACATGGTATTATTAATTTTGTCACGAGAATTCTTAATATTCTCAGATTTTCATTTAAAAGCTTCGGGTTTGTTCTGATGACAAGGAATTCGTGTTCTGATGAAGGATACTGGACCATACTGGCAATAAAGTAATAATTACAGATGTTTTGTCGTAGATTTGCTTACATTTCTATGTTAAATTAGCTCAATATAGACAAAACAAACATTACTCGCCAATTTACATAGTGAAAAGTTTTGTTAATACTTTCTTTCTTTCTTTCTGTACACAATGGCCCGAAAATGAAGCGTTGAAAGCTTTTCGCTCAAATCTGAAGAAAAAATCGATATTCAATTTAATTCTGATTATATTCCTTTTTCATTTGAAGATTTTTCAGTTTTAAGTGCTTAACATGATCTGTGTAAGAATTTCAAACTTTTTTAGGCTTTTTGAACTCAGTTGAGCTCCTTTAAGAAAATAAAATGTTATGACAGAGTTTGCTTGTTTCAAGCCTCTCTTAAAACATTTTTTACGAATATTTGAACGAGCATGTATCCATGGCGTTACGTGTTACGTCATTGTGAGATGTTCACGTGATTCATGTTATTCTTTGATATATTTTTTTTTTCAAGAAATGTTGTAAAGAAAAGATAAACTGGTTAAATGTAGGTGATAATGCCGAAATGTTATATAACAATATTCTATATTTGTACGAAGAATTTAAAAATTTGAATATTAACATAGAAGTAGTCCACATCTCACCAGAGGGTTTCGTAACAAACATAAACCATGAGTTTTTTCCCCTTTAAAATAGCAGTAGGAATTGCCTTAGGTTCTAAAAAAATGTTGGCATGGAAAATGTTAAGGACTTCATTCGGATAACAAATCTATAGATAAACTGTTATCATAGCGATGCCCTGTGATAATGCAGAGTTTTAAAATATCTAATATTTACAATATCATTGTTACAGGCTGCATCCCCACAGAGACGTATTATCTCAGCACATGTCGCCTTATTTTTCCGTTCAAAAAATTAGTTGTAAAATAACTTTTCAGGTGACTAGGAATAAAATGATTACGAAGGATGCAGGACCACGGCTTCTCTATATGGCGGCGGCCCTAGCATTATTTGTCAGAGGGGTCAATACCAAGGGTCATGATTTTGACGCACGTGCAATGATCGAGAAAATGAGCGCGCTACAGACTTACATGGAAGACCTCGAATTCATTGAAGCAAAAGAAGAGAGTCACGGTATAAGAGGTAACATATAACTTCTGTAATTTCTTATAAATGCTAAAAATACTCAAGATGATGCTAATTACGATCCTATGCGATATGAGTGTAAAAAGTTTTCTTTACAAGGCACTATATACAATATGATTTTTTTTCCGTTTATATTATTGTCGTTATGGTCTAGTAAAGTGCGGTGTAATGTAAAAAATGGCACACAGTACTTTGGATAGAAACCTCCCCAGTCAGCCCCAAACATTAAGCCGACTTGGCCCTCGGCTTCGGTGCGGTAAATGTTTGCGGTCAGACTGATCGATCACTTTATACCCGTAATGCTACGAGGACTTCAATGCTGTGTAGTATTTCTTAAAATGATTAACTCGGACCTTTTAAATTATATCAAGCTTTAAGCATACGTCATTTGAAATCTAAATGCCAGTAATTTTAGAAGTGTGCTTTCATTAAAATTTTGTTTTGTCAACATAAACCACTTATTGTCAGCTGAATCCTCATTTTCTGCAACGAAAGAAAAAAAAAAAGAAAATTTGGGATGAGGCATAATTTACTAACAGGCAGGTGATATGTCTGGTAACCATTATTTCTCACTGTACGTTCATGTATGGATACATCAGGCATCCTAATTAACATGTTAATTAATGTTGTTGTTTTACGTTTTCCTTTTGGTTGATTTAAAGGTACAGAGTCGGTTGCAGAAGAAACGCAGCGCAAAATTTGTATGAAGTTAAATGAGGATGGAATAAAGGTCAACAGCTTTGACGACTATCATGGGGAAGTCAAGGTCGACGTCCAAAACTGGGACAACTGTCTACGATTGTTGACCAATAGACTGACCATTGCTGACTGGAATTTTCAGACAGACATAACGGAAAAGAACGAAAAAAATGTCAGTACATCCTTTAACATTACTTTAAGGTTATTTTCTCTTCAGGAGCGTCCAAGTGGTTAAGGTTGTTGACTTCAAACCATTTGCCCCTCACCCATGTGGGTCCAAATCCCAACAGGAAATTTGGATTCTTTCATGTCATAAAGCTGTCCAGGTAGCTAACGGAACGTCGTTGGTTCTACTCCGGTGCCCATTTGTGCCTGAAATATTTCATGAAAGGGCACCTGAGGTCTTCCTCCACCATTAAACCTGGAAAGTTGTCATATGACATATAATGTATTCATAGTGTATAAACGAAATCTCTGTACCATGTCTTCCGGACCTATACAATTCGACATGTAGTAAGAGCGCCTTGTAGGAGCACATTTGTCTCGGAGCACATTTGTCTCACGAAGTGTGACCGATGTGTTCGTAAACATTCATATTTGCGACAAATTGGAAATGAGACAGATGTGTTCGACACACAATAGAAAGGACACTCGAAGCACATTTGTCTCACATTTATCCATAAAATTCTTAAAAGGTAATAATTATGCCCATCTGTATACCGGCTACCAGCCATTGTTCTGTGTTTTCTGTATTTATAATACCGTTTTTAGGTCACTTCCGGTCAGTCAAAAACTTCATGCCGCTGCATAGGAGTCATGTATTAAATTTAAGAATATCCATTTTCTGCATTTTCTACAAGTGCAGCATCTAGAACCTTAACACACATGCAGCAAGTCTATTCTTATCGTTATTAATTGTGATACGTTTATTTTCAATGCTTAAAGATTTATAAATAATTTATGGCACTAGAAATATTCTTAGCAAAAACAAGGTAGTATCTACGGTGGCATAAATGGGACATAGAATTTTCTTATTTATTGCGTGCGCACACGATAGCTTTTACGTGGCCACGCGATACTATTACGTGCGCACTCGATAGCTATTACGTTCGCACGCGTATATATGTATTCCGACTTTTGACCCTGACCGGGATCCTCACATGAATAGTTCGACGCCCCTTGTATGTGTCGAACCTACAGCGGTTAGGGGCAAGTGGTTTTTGAAATCACTCGACCACGGAGGCCCTTAAATGATCTACGAAAGAAAATAAGAAGACCATTTCACACGTATTTTGTTTTCATCAGAAATGTATGTATAATCAAAGTGCTGCAGCACTGAATGCGACGGACATGCAACTGGAGAGACATTTAGGCTTTTTTTAGAAAAAAACAAACAAAAATAAAACACAAAATATATAACAGAGAAAATTTGTTCCATACAAGTTCGAGATTTTTAGAGCAATATATTTTGTGTCCCAATCTGATATAATTCAGACTTTCTACTTTCAAGCATTTAAATACAGAATGAAATTTATGCCTAAAAACTCTGGTCAAACTTGTAAATCAGTGTCCTTATCGATTTATTCCAAGAAATGATATGTAAATAGAAAAAAAAACTGTCAACGAAATATTTCTAAAATAAAACCATGCAAATAAACTTCAAGCATAATATATTATACATGTGAGAATGTTATTTAGAATTGCTTCGTGTTATAACATAGTGGGCATATAGACAATAAAATATAAGTCATTTGTTTTTTTTTTATTTCTCTTGGATATGTCTCATTAAAAATATTTTTGGTTAAAATCATCAGCAATTAATAGTGTATTTTTAAAAAAAAAATGTATTTACAAGGGCCAGCTAGAGCACATCGTTTTTATTTTAATTAAATGTCACTTGTATTGCATGTAAACAAAGTAAGTATCCGCTGGTTTATTACATGCACTAATCGCCTGTCCGAAAATCAGCACAGGTGCAGCAGAATCTATTTTTAGAATAGCGAAGGTTAACTCATATCGTGACCTAGAAAAATATGTAAACAAACCACAAGAATCGGAAGTAGAACTGATATTATAACTTCCTTCATGAAAGACTACATGGTGGTAAAGTGTTGAAAAACCCTCTTGTTACATGCATTTTCAAAAATAGATATTTATACTAACCATTGTACTGTATCTAATTTATTAATAACTGCTGAATATTCAGCTAAACCCGCGGTATGAGTCACGAAAATAGTTCTTCTTTTATTAATGCGCGAGTTATTCTAGAGTCACGAAAAACTTTTGATTTGTTAATAATAATGTTTTGTATAATGTAGAAATATTTATTTCCTACTAATAATTTCTTGGAACTCAGAGCTTACACCTTTATTATAGTATAATTTGCTGTCCTACTTTTTCGACAGCGGTAAATCGTTTCGGCAGTAATTTGCATATTGCGCAATAATACTACGGGACTACAACGTTTTTATCAATCATTTGCGTTCATATTTTAACTTGGATAACTTAATTTGAAATTGAAAAGGCTAAATATGGAAGATTTTAAGATATCCCGACAAAGTATGGGAGTTTTAAAGGATAAAATTCATGTACTTTTTCTTGGGCTGTTAATCGGTTGAGGACACTGCGCGATTGTAGCAGACGAAATCCCATGTGTAGATGACTTAGCTCTGAACGCGCCTGAGGGCGCGTCCGTCGCAAAAAATCGTCATTTTCCAAGAATTTACAGATCCGCAATTGCAAAAGCACTTACAACATGCATGAATTCCTAAAATAATCCGGGTAATGACATAATTATGTAAAATCGGGCCACTCAGAATCGGGCGAGACGCGACATTCCGATGAGACACTAAGCGAGGCACGATAATGTAACACGAGATCTCACAATGTCGAAGAATTCTATACCATGAGATTTCAGAAAGGAATAAATTTTTACTTCTTTAGATAGGGCAAGTATGAATTTATTAATATTCAAATAATGATTTCTGAGGAAGTTAGATGCTTGTAACCTTTTGACTTCATACAAAATTCTAAATCACAATCTAAACTGTACAATCTGCAAAAAGCAGCAGATGAAAAATGCTTCAGGTACTTAGCCAATGAATAACTTTTTGGAGCTATAAACGTGTCATCAAAAGTTTTGTATCATCGAGCCTTCGTTGTTGCACCATCGTACAATCTTTGTTTCACCATCGTACAATCGTTGTTTCACGTTCGCACCATCGCGTTTTCATCAACGTATCATCGTGCCATCGCGCTGTCACCATTGTACCATCGAGAACGGGATTAAGTATGTTTCAGCGTTCGTCTTTAGGTTAAGCCAATCAATTTCTTGAATTAGAGATTATATAATTTATAAGTTCACTTTAGGTTTTCATAAAGAAAGTATAAGCAAACCTATTGATGATTACACTTGACATGAGTTAAAACGGCGAACCTCGATTCTAAAACGGAATTTCTGCCGCGGGGAAATATGTGACAAATAATTCATAAAAAATGACATGAGACAAATGTGCTTTCTTGTCCCTTAAAAACACATGAGACAAATGTGCTTTCATGTCCCTTAAAAAACTTGATCGGAGCACATTTGTCACACAAATGAGTTTTTTGGGGTAGACATTTGAGGTCCCATTTGTCTCATGTGGGACAAATGCGACCGCATCGGTCTAACGTAAGACAAATGTGCTCCGAGACAAATGTGCTCCTACAGCGCCTGCTACTTCCTGTCGCTGCAAGCCTATATATTTAAATAGTGTATCCTTGCGAAAACAGGAGATGGACTCGTTTATGTTTATATACTTTGATGTTGGTGCGACGTTAAACCCAACAATTATTTTCTCCTTTCATGTGTATCTCTAGATATTTGCGTAGTCTGTTCTCATCTACAACTTGTAGTTATATAATATACTTGTTATTTATGTAAACGGAATTAAGTTTATACTGGACTTTATTGTGAAATGGTCGTAGAACAAGATCCGTGTAAAAACCATACTTTACATACAGTCGGCATAATGTATGATTGTTAAACGTACACATATCAGGGCTAACCATATAAAGAAAGCAAGAAAATCCAAAAATATTCTTAATTCCTATATCTATCACCTTATGGTTGTCTATATTATAAATGTAATCAATAGTTTATCTGTTTTGTTTTTTTCTGTTTCAGTTAAAAGATGAAACTTTAGAATATTCAAAATGGAGCAAAGGCCTGGCCCGAGATGCCCAGCGTTATATCAATGACAAAAGATATTCATCTTTGAACCATGACCTTCAAAGAAAGCTCCGTTTCATGGCTTTTAATACGGACCCCATTGATGAAGATGAGATGAAGTTAGTACCTCACATTTTGGAAAATGAAAGTTCATACATGAACATGTAAAAATTAGACACATCAATTGTATAAAAAAAATATTAATATGAATTATTTTTTTATTTACAATAACTTTATTTTTATTGATTTAAAAAAAAATACTCTAAACGGTAAGCCAAACCACTGTTATTTCAAGTCAGGTGTTAGCAACTAATATGTGGGCGATTCTATGTAAATCAAATCATGTATCACATTTAGCTTTTTGTGCCCCCACGTTAGTGGCGGGCATTTAGATTTACCCTTGTCCGTCCGTGTCCGTCCGTCTGTCCGTCCGTCCTTCCGTCCGTCCGTCCTTCCGTCCGTCCGTCCGTCCGTTCACTTTTATGTCGCACGTAACTCAAAAAGTATTTGACCTAGAGTCATGAAACTTTACAGGAATGTTGATCAGCATGTGTAGTTGTGCACCTGGGTATTTTCGTCTGGATATTTTTAGTATTTTCAGAGTTATTGCCCTTGACTTAGTAAAATTTTGCAATTTTCAACTTGTGTCGCACGTAACTCAAAAAGTATTTGACCTACAGTCATGAAACTTTACAGGAATGTTGATCAGCATGTGTAGTTGTGCACCTGGGTATTTTCGTCTGGATATTTTTAGTATTTTCAGAGTTATTGCCCTTGAGTTAGTAAATTTGGCAATTTTCAACATGTGTCGCACGTAACTCAAAAAGTATTTGACCTAGAGTCATGTAACTTTACAGGAATATTGATCAGCATGTGCAGTTGTGCACCAGGTATTTTCGTCTGGATTATTTAGTATTTTTTAGAGTTATTGCCCTTCACTTAGAAAATTTTTGCAATTTTCAACTTAAGTCGCAAGTTTCTCAAAAAGGATTTGACATAGTCATTAAACCTTATGGGCAGGTTGCTCAGCATATTTTAGATTTGCACCTGGGGTTTCGCTTGTGGATTTATCTAGTATTTGTAGAGTTATTTCCCTTGACTTAGTAAAAAGATTGACAGAACAGTGGCGCGGTGGGGGCACCCGTGTCCTATGGACACATTTCTAGTTTATACAAAGATGATAAGATTTTCTGATTTTATCATTTTAGAGAACATGTTGACGCTCAATCAAACCTTCAACAGATTTACAGCAAAGCAACGGTTGAAGCTGATCAAAATGGTGCAGGTGTAAAGAAACTTAATCTAGAGCCAGAGTTAACAGAAATAATGGCGAAGTCGAGAGACTCGAACTTGTTGTTAGCGGCATGGTGGGGTTGGCGTAATGCTACTGGGCCATCAATGAGGGATGATTACTCCACTTTAGTTCGTTTGTTGAACAAAGGAGCTAGAGACCACAGTAAGTAATCTTAAGAACAATTCAATTTGTCTTATAAACGTTTATGTATGTCTTACAAGTATTAGCAACATATTATCTTATACAATAAGCAAACAGCATCCAGTAACGCCTTATTTTAACGTCATTATTAATATCAGAATAAAAATATTAATTTTGATAAAGAAAGGAAACGGATTTAAATGCAAGTCATGTCTTCACAGTCACCTCTCTTTATTGACTTTATAAAGATATCATAGAACTTCGTACGAGAGTTTTATTAGACATTATAATGATGCCACGTTACAGAGTTCAAGAATTACGCCGAGGCATGGATACAATCTCAATTCGATGATACTCCACACCTTGAGTCAATCACAGAAGAACTCTGGACCAGCATGCTTCCTTTGTACGAACAACTTCACGCGTACATACGAACAAAACTGCAGCAGAAGTACCCGGAATACAATCACATTTTTGAAAAAGGCGGTATTCCTGCCCATCTTTCCGGTAAGGAATACAGTTTATCAATAATTTGTAACACTCTGTATACCTTATGTTAGTTCCTTTTGATAGTATTTGATCTAACACTCGTGTTTCATATTACCTTCTATATTTGGAAATCACGTAAAACTAAACCTTGCTGAACTAAATGTGAAACATCTTAGGTCTTTACTGAGCGCATTTAACTTGAAATTGTGGCACAAGTAATGTATCAAACTTAAAAAACATCAAGAACAACTATAACTGAATTTTAAGAAGATGTCATCGGTGTCTATTATGCAGTAAGCCACATTGAATTTACCAGAGCACAGTTCAGCCACTGCATTGTTCCTGGGCAGGCTGTCAAGCAGTTTCCCAGTACTAGTTGCCTTCACTTTCGCAAGGAACTGGTACTTCTCATACACTCAATTTTTTTCTTTATTAATTTTAGGAAACATGTGGGCACAGAATTGGGAAAACATTTATGACCTTGTTGCACCATTTCCAGAGATGGAAGAACCTGATTACGACGCCGAATTAAAATCTCAGGGATATACTGTCGACAAAATGTTCCAAACTGCGGAGCAATTCTACAAATCTATCGGCCTTTACCCTATGTCACGTGAATTTAATGAGTTATCAATGAAGGAACGACCTGAAAACAAAGATGTAGTTTGTCATGCTTCAGCTAGTGATTTCTTCTCTGAGAAACCGAAGAAAGATTTTAGGTAAAATATAACTTTCTTGGACAAGAACCGATGAAAGCATTAAAACGAGAAAATTTTGCATTTGTTAAACTGAGCTTGTAAGCCAGTATATGCCCATTATGCCTCCGAAATGGTTTTATTTGTATTTCTCAAAAACTATTTTATTTTTTGATGCCCTTTTATAGTTTCCAAAAAGTTGCCCATTGGCCAATTGTTTCTGTTGCTTTCTGGAAATAAGTACAATTATAGTGATTTATATTAATATTCACGGAAGTCAAACTGCTATTTTGCAACTATAATGTGTATATAAGTGACGAATAAGTTCACTGTCATTTTTATTTTTTTCAGGTTATAAGCATCTTACATGCTCTAACCATTGTTTAAACATTATGGTCCCCATGTAAGCTTTTACTAAAGAAGAATGAATGTATTCGTTTCTGAGACAAATTACCGTCATGCCTCAGAAGAAGAAAGGGCTTTTAAGTATTTATATACAAAACTGTATTTGTACTCTTGTGTATATTTTCTGTTTGCCTGAGTGTATTTATAAGAAAGCATAAAATGTTCTCTATTTTGTTGTGTCAGGATAAAAATGTGCACGGTGATAGACATGGACTCGTTTGAGACGATTCACCACGAGATGGGTCATATAGAATACTTCATGGCTTATCAGGACCAACCGGCTATTTATAGAAATGGCGCTAATTCGGCGTTTCATGAAGCAATTGGTGATACAATCAGTTTGTCTGTCAGGTCAACAAAACATCTTAAAGCTATAGGTCTTTACGGAAATAAGGGCAAAAGTAGACGGTCGATATATAAAAATGAACGGAAAAGATTGATACATCTATTACGAGAACTAGAAGATAAAGAAAAAAGTTAGTGATTTTGAATTTGGTTACTTTCAATATAAACTTCTATGTTAGTGCTTTTGGTGTAATTTCCGTTATTGCTGATATATTCTTTATAAATATGTTATTTTCCATGTGTATATAATACGTCGTGATGATAATATATAAGTGATTCAAAATATGATAAAAAATCAAGAAATATTGAGAGAAAAAAAGGTTCATCAAGATTCTAGCCTTGAACGTTTAACATGAAACTGTAAGTCTAAATCCTTGTAAATGAGGCTAATGAGGTTAGTAAGGCAAGTTCAATGCTAGTATTTTGAAGTTATACAAATACCGTTATGCCATACTTTAAAGACCGGTTTTTATCGATTAAAGTTATTGAATATTCAAATGTCTCGGGTCAATATTGCCAAATAATACTGTCCGAATTGATAGGTCCCTACTCTGACCTTTGATTTGAATAACAATAGATTTAACCGAAAACATGAACACACAAATATGTTGTGGTGAAATTCTTAAGGATCTATGTATTGAAATTTCCGTTATTATTCGTATTGAAATTTCCGTTATTGCTCGTATTATAATTTCCGTTATTGTTCCTAGTATAATATTCGTGCTGTTCGTATGATAATTTCCACTTGTGCTATATTGATGGTCTAGTAACATTGCTCGTTATTTTGTCTAAGGCCTTCGTCGTCAATTCTTACGGCCGGTGAAATAGCCGATATACAACGCTGAAACCGATATTTTTTCTTAATTACACCATTGCTACCATGCAAATTCCCCTTTCGCCCCATTTCTATTTTTTCCTTTACATTTATAGTAATTTTCGTAATATTTTTTACTCAGTTTATTACAGACATGAACAGAATTATAACACCCTCATTTACATGGAAGATTTAAGGAAGACTTAATTGCTTTCAATTTCATTCAACTAATTTGCATAATAAATTTTACCATTTATATTTCCAGGAAACATTAAAATACTTTCTCAAAAAAGGCTTTATTTAAAATCAAAGTTTCTCCGTTTGGGATATATTTATAGACAAATGGGTTTGGGGGGTTTTTTTGAGGAAAAAAATTCGGGAAAAAAAATTTTCAACCAACAATGGTTGGGGAAAATTTTAGGTTAATTTTAATTTTTTTTTTCAAAGGGGATTTTTAATCATCTAAATGGCGCATATATGAATCAATTTAGCTTATCAAAACATTAGGTTATTACTGCCGCATGACTGATATAGATCTCTTTTAAAGGTAATGTTTTGAAATATTATATCAACTTCTTTTTATTAACATCCACTACGAGAACTGTTGTTTCAATTATATATGTATTGAGAGGAGTGAGATGTTGTGTAAAAGACATTCTTGACTGGGACATTGTTGTTATCTTAATGTTAGAACACGCTCGACTGTGTATGCCTAAGACATTTGAAGTTTATAAGTCGCTATGTCTCCGTGTATGGCGGTCCCAGTGTTCCGTTATCACGGGTTCGGAAATTGCGGTCCCGGGCATGGCACCGTTGAACACTGTAATTATATATATAAATAGACTTCACTGAATTTTGTTGTATTAAACTTATTTGCGGATAGTTGACAGGTATAACTTGATTCTTGTGATTATTTTATCGTTCAGATTGAAGTATCAGGGGATTGTTGCACCAGTAACACGTAGTGAGGCAGATTTTGATCCGGGGGCAAAATATCATATACCGTCGAACAGTCCATATATCTGGTTTGTATAGTTAACTTTTTACCGAATTGTTTACATTTAAATTGACATCTATTGTCTAGTATACATAAACTTGTTTTCAGAAGGAATACATGATGTACGATGTATGAATATGGAAACAATTTTTTTATACAGTGCGAATTTACAAATAGTAAGTATAGGGATAGCGATATGAAATTTATAATTTCTCGGTGTTCATATAATATTGATTTCCACCACATGTCGTCATTTTCTATGTGACTTGTTATACGTAACATTACTTTTTAAAAAGATCTCAGACATTTGTATTCAGTTAGAAAAAAATTATTAAAAAGTGTTTGTCTGGTTTGTTTGTGTATGCACCCATTTATTTATTTACCCATTGTGTTGTTAAAATATGATATTTTAATGAGATATTTAGAAAAATATCAAGTGCAGCACAAAAAGCATTTAAATATTTTTTTGTATATGAACGTACTAGTTAGCGACGGTAATATTCATGCCAACAGTATTGTGTACGATTATCCTGCACACCTTACTTACATAGTCCACTCACATTATTGAAAGTTCTAGAAGTAACAATGTATACAATGGTGGCTTCCGAGGCAGAGTGCTTATAGTTAATGACTTTGAACTACTGGTCCAGTTCAAATCCCGCCAGGCGGTACTTTGTGTAATTACATATAAATATTATAAGCTATCCAGCAAACTTAGGAAATACCGGTCACTTTACTCAGGTGTTCGCCTGTGCCTTAAAATAATAAATGGAGGGACGCCTGGGATCTTCGACCAGTAAACTTGAAAGTCTAGAAGTTTACAGTGTTTATATGCCTTTAAACACAACCAAGAACAACAAAAGGAAGAATAGGCAAACAAACAATGTGCAATTTAATTTTCAAAACGAGACAATCTGTCCGTAAATATAGAATAAGGAACATTTACATCTTACATAATCATATATTGCTTTCGTTTGATGTAGTATGTATATATATACTGGGCTGATAATATGTTTGAAGAAAATCTTTGATTTTGTAAACTTTATAGTGTTTTGTTTTACATTTGCAGTTATTTTATAAGCTTCGTAGTACAGTTCCAGTTTTACAAGGCAATGTGCGAGGAAAGTGGACATGAAGGACCATTGTTTGAGTGTGATTTCTATAACTCCGAGAGAGCTGGCAGGAAATTACTGTACGAAGAAACTCAAAGATAACTCTGTTCATTAATATTATTTCTAAGTTTACCTAAGTTGCGTCCCTTGAAAGCAAAATTTATTGTCATACACATTAATGTTTATGAAATTTACTTAGAAGCTAAAACAAATTAATGAATGCAATAATTTCTACAAAGCGTTACAAATTTAATAAGAGACAAGAAATAGCTTACGGTTTTCAATATAACTTTAAAGATGTCATTTTTATGTCGGAATACATGTTTAACTTATTATTCTCTTCATATTATACGTTGTTATACTTTTTTTCTTTGCAATAGTATGTTACTGTCGGACCAGCGGAACATTTAAGATCTTCATGTCACCTATATTTGCATAGGTTATTCAAACCATGCTTCACCATTCTACACTAATCTAAATAAAGGTGACAGAGTCGTACAAAGGATTTTGTTTATTAATGTTTTACGACAAACTATGATTTTTTTTCTTTTAGAGAAATGATGAAACTGGGTAATTCTAAACCTTGGCCGGAAGCGATGAAAAAACTCACAGGAAGTGAGACAATTAAACCGGATGCCATTTTGGAATACTTCGAACCTCTAAGGCAATGGCTGGAAAAAGAAAACCGACGTACAGGTGCACAAATAGGATGGAAAAATGCGGAAATAAATTGGAAAAGCGGATCATAGTGCTACTCACATAAATTCATAGGAACTTTTTTTCAGTACTTTTCTGTCTTGTTTTACTCCAATTATGTCATTATACTCAACACTTCCGGTTAAGTGATTGAAAATATAGAATAGAATAGCGTATTTTATTTTTCTATTTTGTAAATCCATGAAGATATCTCTGATAATTCCAAATATGTTTTATGATAATTCTACACATTGTCTTCAATGCAACACTATAAACATGATGTTTAAATAGTATAGCATTAATAAGACGGGCTTTCATAATTGTTTGATAGGTGGTGGGTATTTGCCTTTTGATAACAGTTCTGTAAAAATAGCATACATTCTATCCCTTTTTCTGTTCTTTTTAGTACATATATTTTAAAACGATACAATCTGAATTGGTATTAGATAATAACCTTTTGTGAAAATGTTAACATCTCGGTTTAACCATCATATCAGCATTGTAACGTTATAAGCATTGTGAAAATATTTGACTTCGGTAAATATATATAGTGGTCGATTTTAATTGAATTGCACCTCATCAAAAGACTTTTGATTAAAATTGAAAATATGTCTGAATTTTCAGCATGAGTGTTAGACCATATATGATGGGATGATTTTGTTACTGATATATGCATGTAGAAATGTTGTGAAGAGCACATATTTTGTCATTTTTTTGTTGAAATCAAATCCGTGCATTGCGATTTAATATAATTATGCATTTTTCTAGTTATTATTTATTAACTTATCATTTTATTACATGTATATGCGATTTGTTAGTTGTTATAAAGTTTAAGTTTACAGATAAAACTACACATGATTCTTAAGTCAAAAATTATACCGTCGTTGAAATAAACTTCTTACACTGACCTAGTTGTGTCTTATTAAATAATAAAGATGATGAACCGAGACACATCAGTGTCGCTCACATAAGCCGTGCAAATAATACACACTGATTGACCATGCCTCGGACAAATTGCTGAAAAGGGCAATGAAATAGTGATGTGCAAAAATTTGCCATTCTTTAAACCTGTCTTGTGTGGAAGAGAAATGCTGAAGCAAAGAATGTTATGGTTTAGTTTTCTATCAGTGCAAAAATTCGAAAACGAGAAAGATCGAACATAACATGTGTCCATGACTAATGGTGAAGCTCGTACTTGACTGCAAAACTGTCTGGTGAGCGGATAAGCGATGACAAACGTAAGCAGGGGGGCGTCCGTGTGGTTTAGGCCGTTTGCTGCAGTCTACTTGTCAAACCTCATCGCTGTGGGTTCGAATCCAGACAGGGACTTTGGATTCTTTCATGTAAGGAAGCTATCCAGCTAGCTTACGGAACGTCGGTAGTTCTACTCAGGCGCCTGTTCGTGCCTGAAATAATGCACGGAAGGGCATCTGGCCCCGTGTTCACAAAGATTTAAGGATCAGGATCAAGATCAGGATCAAATTTAAAAACTCTAATATTCTTCATTGTTAACCCTCATAGATAAAATATATAATATTAATTTGATAAAGCTTGACTTGAAATAGCAAGTTTATGAAATTTTAGAATAAATTTATAGTTATTTTTGCAAGATACAGGCATTTTACAGTTGATCCAAATATTGATCCTGATCCTAAAATTGATCCTTATTTTGATCAGATTATTTTTGCATTTGTTTTGTTATTTGTTGATTTTATCCCAAAATTGTTTGGTTTCTATGCAAATCAGCAGTTTTTTACATTTTGAATATTTACAATTTAATTCAACAAAACACAATTAATTTTAGTAACATTAAGCAATGAAAATAAAATCAGGATCACTCGATCCTGATCCTGATCTTTTCTTAGTGAACACGGGGCCTGAGGTCTTCCTCCACCAGTAAAGATGGAACGTCGCAATATGACATATATTCTGTGTCGGTATGACGTAAAACCCAAACAAACAAACAAACAAAACCTTCGCGGAGCCAGGTGAACTGGTTGAATTCCTTCAGAATATCAAGCGTTTTATTATTTATATACAAACTAGCTGTTATTAAATATCAGCATCGTATTTATTTACTTTATATGGTGTAAGAAAAAATACAATCCTAAACTTTATACTATTTAAGGAATTCCGAAATTTGTGTTTTTTTGTCTGATAACCTGTAAGTTATCAAAATACACAGAAAACTATTTTACTGGGGTAATCTTTGGATGTTAAAATGTGTAAAATATCTGTACCCACGTTTATATTACTCTGATCAGAAACAAAAACATTCCTGTAAATGTGCTGAAATGAGCACATGTATACATGTTTGGTATTTCCCACACATGTTAGTTTGATGAATTCATTAAAACATTCCCTTTCATTAAACTAAGACCGGCAGCTGTTAGAGGTCACGTGGAGAGGGGTCAAGACTGGCCATAGGGGTCATTAAAATGTCCATCATCATTAGACCAGCACGCTTCATCAAACATTAATGATACGCCCGGTAAACTGACCGAAATAAATACCCCACGGAATACAAAACTGTTGCTATAGAAAGTCACCCAAATTCGGATAAAGATTTTCATTAAGCATTATAACAATCAATGATGGATATTTTGATGTGAAAAATTGGATTTAAAAAAGAGCGTGGTTTTGATTTTATGTTTTGATATATACCAATGGAAACTGAATGGTTTAAAAGTACAAAATGACGAACACATTTCGGATTCTTTTGCAACATCTGTAACTGTTGAAACTTAATTTACGTGCCTTGCGTGTTTTAAACTTCTGTATTGACGAGGATGTAGTTTTAAACATTTTGTCGAGAAACGAAGGAAAAAAACGGAGCGGAAGACAAAAACACAGTCAACCGCCTCCCGTTGATTGAATGTAACTTAGTTAAACATTAGACGTGATTGTTATTAAACCTCCAAACCTAAAGTCAAAAGTATTGTGTTTCGTTATCGTAAAGAGAGCGCGAAAGAAAGAAAATTGAAACAAAAAACCGCACGCAAATATAACACATTGTTATAGTTGTAACTCCTAAATACTTTCATTATAAAAAGGTGTTTCAAGGCCGTTGTTTCATGTGTACATAGTATTATAATAAGACGTAATTTGTTCAAGTTTCGGACTTTCTATTGTTAAATATTTGAAGAATTCAACAACTCTTACTTCTTCATTTATTTGGATTTACACAACGTGTTATTGCGTTGACTTATATAGACTTAATAAAGAATCACTCCACTCAACCAAAAGTGTAATTTGTATCAGAAGATGAACCGTTCAACAGCTCATGTGTTTGAAGGTTGGACTTTCTACATCTTTTTCACTAGTTCTTTTGAAGTTTTCGTTTAAGTGCGCAGTTTTCGTATTTTGGTGGAGTTTATTTAATTCCGTATTATACTGTGTTTTATTTTCGTACCGTTTTTCCACGTGGTTGCAAAAATGTAGCTAATCCTACAGATTACAGGACTAATCTGAAATAGGTCATAGAAATTGTTGGTGTATTGCACATTGTTTTCAAATGAGATTAACGCATTTACAATAGAGAAAAGATAACAAAATACGCATTAGATAAAAGACAAAGAATTCTTTCTTCTTACGAATTCCACATTATGATACAGCGATGACATTTTAAGAATTTTAATCATGCTTTAGAAAAATGTCCCTTTATTCGACAAAATACTTTGAAATATCTGCTGATCATTTAAATATCTACCTGGGAGCTTATTAAATGCCGGAGATGTGAAATTGATAGGGAAACTAATGAGCACGTGTTTTATTTATCTTACTAGACAAATCGTGTACACTAAATCATAAATATTTGTTTCGCTGTTCACGTGGTTAAGACTAAATTCATTTTGTGCAAATTAATTTTACCATTTGTTGTTTTCACTGACGCGGATCGCTAATCAAGGCGCGTTCCTGGTTTACCTTATACAAATAATTGCTGTACAGGGTCACTGTAAAAGAACAACAACCAAACACAGCTTTGATGTTAAGACAAAATAAAACAAAAGTGAAAGTATGTTGACGACATTTATGGATTTAAAATTATGACATGTATCCGTATAAATTGAGAATGTTGACAATTCATAGATGTTAAACTGGATTATATTTTCTTCAATTAAACAATGGCAACAACAACAAATATGAGTAATCAGTTTATAATGAACAATCTAAACAATGGTCGCTCTCGGCAGGATCACAACACATCCATGGTTGCTGGTAAACCACCTTCGCGGCTCTCACCCAGGGTCATGGTGGGATTCGAACTCAATATTTTGAAATCGCAAAGTGGTTCGAGTAGTGCAGGGTCATCTAGACATGTTTCCCCGGTGTTATCAATGTCGGGACTGGCGAGTTTGAGATCACCTACATACGGATCGGATACATCATTGTCTCCTCCAAGACTCAGTTCCGGAAGTCGATCCGGAAAGATTTCATCAAGAATTGAGGTAATGTTTAAAATTACAAACAACATATTTATGATAAGTGCGTGACGAAGTGGAACGGACTTTTTTGAGTACCAATGAGTCTGGGTTCTATATGAGTTTGTTAATAAAAATATGCAGTAATATACTGACATAAAGAGTAAATACGGATTCTAATTCTTATATACTGAAGACCTGAATACGATCACTTATTCTTATATACTGACATAAAGACCAGGATACGATCACTTATTCTTATATATACTGGCATAAAAACCAGGATACTATCACTTATTCTTATATACCGAAATAAAGACCAGAATACGATCACTTATTCTTATATACGGACATAAAGACCGGGATACGATCATTTATTCTTATATACTGGCATAAAAACCAGGATACGATCACTTATTCTTATATACCGACATAAAGACCAGAATACGATCACTTATTCTTATATATACTGACATATAAACCAGGATACATGTACTATCACTTATTCTTATATACTGACATAAAGACCAGAATACGATCACTTATTCTTATATACAGACATAAAGACCAGGATATGATCATATACTGACATAAAGACCAGGATACGATCACTTATTCTTATATACTGACATAAAGACCAGGATACTATCACTTATTCTTATATATACTGGCATATAAACCAGGATACATGTACTATCACTTATTCTTATATACTGACATAAAGACCAGAATACGATCACTTATTCTTATATACAGACATAAAGACCAGGATACGATCACTCATTCTTGTATACAGACATAAAAACCAGGATACGATCACTTATTCTTATATACTGACATAAAAACCAGGATACGATCACTTTTTGTTTTTTACTGGCATAAAAACCAGAATACGATCACTAGCTTATTCTTATATACTGGCATAAAAAACAACAGAAAACGATCACTTATTCTTATAAACTGGCATAAAGACCAGAATACGATCACTTATTCTTATATACTGGCATAAAAACCAGAATACGATTACTTATTCTTATATACTGGCATAAAGACCAGAATTCGATTACTTATTCTTATGGCATAATAACCAGAATACAATCACTTATTCACAAAGTCACAAAGTCATTATAAACTTTAAAACGTACGGTTAGATATATAGCCATCCAAGTTAATACATTTATGGGTAAAATGCTATTTTAATTTAATTAATGAATTATATTAAAATTAAATATGGTAAGTATAATTAATTCAATGGTGATTAACCGCACTACAAGGACAACGAAGTGTGTAGGAGGGTTATTAAAGTCGTTATTTATATAATGGGATTAAAAGTTGTTAAATTTCATTAAAGTAATTAATCGTATTCGGAATGTAATTCTTTTTTGTTCTTCTGAAAAACATGATTAAAATACTGTGTTGTTCTATAGTACCTACACTGTACAATCCTTTTCTAAGGAAATGTTCGATTCTTGTCGAGTCATACTTGTATGTTTCCTTGATAAAGACGGTATAATATTAATGTCATTTTCTGTGTGAAATATGGCTCTGGAGTTTCAGCTACCTAGCTGGCTGAGATCAAGCTATTTAGTTTTGATAATGTGATATAACTTAATTAGCATGTTTCAATAAAGTCAAGTATCCGTTTTACCATAAACATAAATTCGATAGTCCGGTTAATAGGGGGTCGTAACTAAAAAAAGAATGAAATTTGCTTTCCCGATAAGTGAAAATTGCAGGGTATAGTGAATAATTGATGGTTGCGTTTCGGTAGCCTTTAATTCAACTATTTGAACTCGTAATTGGACAGGTGGCGTTTGTTACAGAATGTAATTAATATTGTTTACATTGACAATGACTAAATTAATTACCTAGGAAATGTAACCTCTTGATAACACTATAAAGTAGTGTACATGCATCATGTTTTTATGTGACCTCTCACAAGAGCACGAGACAGGTTTAAACGGATGTATATCCATCAACACGGAAAAAACATAAACGAGAAATAAATAAAAACAACAGTAAAAAATCAACAACAAAGTAATCATTTTACAGGCTTTTTGCAATTAGAGGTAAATAATATATATATTATTATCAACAACTATTGTTCAATGTATTTCTAACCAAAATTCTTCGGACATAAATAGACTTAAATATCTTTTAAAAAAATGAATCCTTACAGAAACAGCTATATTCGCCTTCCCAGATTTCATTTAACTTTTGTTTATTCTTTTAATGATATTTGGCATAATGTCTGTCTGAAATCATCGTGCATAATGAACATTTTTTTAATGCGTTTATTTAAGGTCGCCGCCGGAAAGCCCATATGGGCGACCGTACACTCAAGTCGGGCCATCCTAGAGCGTCCCGCCGAGATTTTTTCGTCGATTTTTTTCCAGCTTTATTGGTGGAGGAAGACCCCAGGTGCCCCTTCGGGCATTATTTCAGGCACGAGCGGGCACTTGGGTAGAACCACCGACCTTCCGTAAGCCATCTGGATGGCTTTCTTACATGAAAGATTTCGACCCGAGTGAAAATTTAACCTACAACGGTGTGGGACCTCTGTAGGTTCGATAATGAACATGCAGACTATGCCGATATTTATATCTTGTCGTAATTTGTTTAGTCAGGACTTCTAGCTCGAGCAGAAACTTAATACTACACCGATGTAGTCTCAAATACAAACTGATATTTGATATATGTATTCCGATTTCTTAAAGAAACCTACATTCAAGAGTACAAAAATCAACTTTGATATTGATATCAAATATCACAAAGTGCTTATCTATGAAATTTTTTATGTATATGAAAACAAAAATTATATCTTGTTTTAAGATTAGAGATTAAACTTCGCCGTAATGGTTCCGTTTGTGCAAATATTTCCTGAATTTCCAAATATTTTGGCTAATTACAGAAAGATGATAATATCTATGGTGATAAAACAGTGATGGTGAATAATTTGCATTTAATTACGTTGAATTTGCATTTTTAATGCTTGTTTATATATTTTATTTCTAACTTTTTAGCCGTTACCAATGTCAACTTTATATTCAACAAGTTGTTTCTTCATAATTAAATTATTGGCAAGTAAGGTTAGGAATAATGTTAAAACAATATCAGTAATAATGTCAATATTGAAGGTTAGTAACTTTAATAAGCTTATTTTGATATACGGCATATGCAATAATTGTAAGCTAGTAAATATGTTGCACCCTACATTATAATTAATTATTTTAATTTAATTTGATTTATAAATCTATATGGTTTGTATCTTCAACACAGGCAATGGCATCATCACCAGTAAAATCACCTGACACAGATAGCTCAAGTCACTCAAGCGGGTCTTGGGTGTCATGGAATGTAAGGAATTAATCTAAAACATTTTTTTCTACCAATTCTCCTCACTTATCACACCAGTACCCTTCTGCAAACTTGGAATTTGCAAATGTACTTTTGCAGTGACCTGGTACTTTTACCAAAGTGCCTGAATCTGAATGTATACACTGCAGAACCTTCCGGTATGTACGCAGCGGGAGAGAGGAGCTAAGTAATTTAGTAGCACTGTTGGAGAGCTGTTTAAAAGCTCTGTACTGACTCTGCGCACACAACGGCACTGTCTAAGTTATTCCAATCACTAATAGTCTTAGGAAAGAATGAATGTTCAAATTGGTCACTTTTTGAGATAATAGGTTTATAGCACTTATGATGGTTTATAGCTTGGTTTTCTACAATGTTTTTAGTTATGTAATTGTCTAGTTTCTGACATCTTAGGTTTAATTAGGCGTTTACCACGAATAGGGGTCAGATAGGTATCGGTGGGCATAGCTGGCCTCTTACCACTTTTAGTTTGAATCTCACTTAGGACGTAGATTCTTTCATATGAGGAAGCTTATTGATGTTTTTCTGTTTAGGTATAGTAAATTAGTATACTACTGTACTGTAAATTGTAAAAATTAATGGGAATGCTACAGTTTGTATTCAATTTTATATAAAATAAAGCACTAGAAAAAACCCAAATTAATCATTATCATAATATGAAATTAGGTGCTACCAATGGCGCGGAAAGCTCTTATGAATTATGATGTTTACTTTAGTGTACATGTAAACCAGATCTTTCTTACAGGTATTTTGTACCGTAAACAAAACGAATAAATTGGTGGTGTTCGACCTATCATCAGAGCGCTCAGAATATTCCCTAAATCTCCGAACGTAAAAGGGGATCACTGAGCATGCGTAGGCATTTGGAAAATCCCGTCCGCCATTTTTGTTAATCTCTTATCACAGTTGTTGTTTTAACGTTATTTTTTAAATTAATGTGCTAATTTATCAAAAAGGATATGTTAAAGTAACTTTTAAATTTATAAATTAATTAATTGTTACTATAGTTTTTATCAATAAAATGCATGTTTATATTCTGATTTTGTACATCATTCTTTCACCGGAAGTGTTATTTAGCATGCGTCTGCTAGCAATAGTCTGGATTATGTAGACGCTCATTAAAAGCGCTCTGATATCTATATTTAGCTCAAAAGGATTTCAAAATGGCGGCGCCCACTTAACTAAGGATTTTTTCATAATCATTTACTTTAAATTTGATTCATTTGAATTGATACGCGTCATACATGTTATCTAAGAGTGCTACAGCCCGCGGGGCCTTTGGCCCCCCTCAGACTTTCCGCGTATAATTAGATTATAGAAACATGGACAAAATGTTTTAATTTCTTAATATCTAAGTGTATGATCAAATTATTTCTGTCTTGGTGCATAATTAAAGAATATATGAAAGACCTGACAGTGACAGTACTTAGCACTTAACTGACCAGTAGGCGTTTCAAAGGATATACATGCAGAACTCTTTCTACATTTATTATGTATTGATATCTTTAGTTTATCCAAGAACAAATATGTGAATGGTACTCTAATGAACTTGTCAGTTATAAGCATAATAACATGTATATACATTTAAATTGTTACTTGTTTAATTATTTTGATATTTATTTTTAACCCTTACACTAAAATTTGTCTCTGTCAAATTAGTCTGACCAGGGTCTGTTCTGTTGGCTGACTGAATTCAATTTTTTATCCCCTGCCAGTAAAATTGGAAGGGGAATAATGAAATGATGTTGTCTGACAGTCGGTAGAAACATGTAGATATCAAATTAATTTCCTCTCATTTTCTGAGGTAAAAAATTCTAAGAAGTTTCCATCAAGTGAATTGTATTACACAGCAGGAGTAATTTGCTTGTTTATCTTGATATCACTAAAGTTCATAACAAACAGAAACTGTGCAAGTTCATTTAAGAAATTTAGCAGGTTTTGGGTGAAGTACTGATTTGTTAATTTTCACAAGGAGAAGGCAAAATTTAATTGTTATTAATATAATATTAATGTTAATTTGTAAAAAAATTTATATACCTTTTTCAAGTTATTAATCACAAGTTTAAATTGACAGAATCAACTAGATGCCTATATGAAATGGATAAATTCACAGTTGAAGAAGAAGCCTGGGGCAAGATTAGTAGAGGACCTCCGTTATGACACACGGGATGGTGTTGCTTTTATACACTTAATTAGTGTTATAGGTATGTAGACTTTTTAAATTTTATTTGATTTAAACATGCATATACCCAAAGTATATATATATGTATATTTTCATATTTGTGAACATACATAATTTAACTGTAACATATTGTAATAAAAATCTAAAATTTTTTTTAAAAAAAAAAAGGTTTTTTTTTTTGGTTTTTTTAAATTCCTTTTAAAAAAATTTAAAAATTTTAAAAAAAAACGTTTTTCTAAAAATTTTTTTAAAAAAAAAATTTTTTATTTAAAAATTTTTTTAAGAAAAAGGCCAAAAAATGAATTTTAAATAAACCCCTAATGATTTTTAAATGAAGCCGTTTAAAATAATACCTTGGTAAATCTTAAAACCTTTAGGGAAAACTTTTTTTTTGGAAAAAGGGACCATTTTTGGGGAAATTTTTTTTTCTTACAAAATTTACAAATTTTAAATGTTTTTTTTTTAAGGTGTGAAAAGGCGTTCGGAAAAAAAAATTTGAAGCCCCTTTTAAAAACCACAGTCATATACCTAAATAGCGTAAAAAGGGGGGGTCTAAAAGTTTATTCGCATTTTCACGGGAGTGAATAAACCAAATTTTAAAAAAATCTCTTTTTAACCTGGTGCTTTTTTAAGTTAAATTTTTAAATACTCCCCCCTAAATTTTTTTTGTAAAAATTTTTGTCGCAAAATCCTAATCCTTTTAAAAAAACCCCGGGTGGAAGTAATTGTCAGTGGACTGGGGTTTAAATTTAAAATTAAAAAACTTTTAAATCTAAGATTTTTAAAAAATAATTTTTTTAAAAATTTTAAAATTTAAAAGAAAATAGGCCTTTTTTTAAAATGGGTTTTAAAAAGTTTTTTTAAAAAAACATATAAGAAATTTTGTTTAAAAATAAATTTTTGAAAATTTTTAAAAATTTGAAAATTTTAAGTTTTAAATTTAAAAAAAAATTTTTTTTGGTAATATTTGTTGTTATTATGAATTTAAAAAAAAGGAACCGGAAAAAAAATTTTATATTGAAACCAAAAATGTTTAATTTTTTTTAATTTTTATGGGAGAAATATTTTTTGTTAAAAACTACCTTTTTGGGTAAGAAAATTAAGAACCTTTTTTTCAAGAAAATAGATGGTATATAAGGCCAAAGGGGTATTTTTTTTAAGGATTTAGTTATTCGAAAAATTTTTTTTTAGGGTTTTTTTTTTAAAAGTTATAACTTTATAATTGATTTTTTTTTTAAAAATTTAAAAGCCGATTAAAAAATTTTCAAATTTCAAAAAATTGATAAAAAGAAAGGGTTTTTTTTTTGGAATTTTTAATTTTTTTAAAATTTATTTATAAAAAAGATTTCTTAAAAGGGTTTTTTCACTGGGGTTTTTTTTATTTATTAGAAATTAAAATATTTTATTTTTTTTAAATTAAATTTTAAAACCAATTTTAAAAAGGGAGTTTTTTTTGGATTTTTTTTAATATTTTAAAGGAATTAAAAATTTATGGGGGAATTTTTTGGGGCCCCTATAAGGGGGTTAAAAAATTCCCCTTAAAAAAAGGGGTTTTATTAAAACAGGATCAAAATTTTGGAAAAGGGGCTAAAAATTTCCCTTTTTAATTAAAATTCTTTTGGGATTTAAAGAAAGCTTTTTCTGTTTCAAAATAGGTTTTAACCTTTTAAAATTTTCAATTAAAAAACTTAAAAAGAAAATAATAGTTTAAAAACAAAAATGTTTACTTTAAAACTTTTTCCCTTAAAAAAAAAAATTACTTTCAAATTTTTTTAGAAAAAAAAACATGGTTTTAATTTTTTAAAAAATTTTTTAACTTTATTTTATATTTTGTATAAAAGATGGCTTTTGCGTAAACCCATTTTATCCAGGGTTTTTTTAATAGGGGTTAATAAAAGGCTAAAAAGGTCACCCGTAAAAATTTTAAATTATGGGAGATACCTTAAAAATTTGAAAAATTTTTTTTAAAAAAAATTAAAAAAGATTTACTTAATAAAAAAAATACCATTATCATTTGGAAAGTTGTAAGGTTTTTTAAATTTTAGTTTAGTTCTGTTTTTTTTGAGAAAGATTTTTAAATGTTTTTTTTTTTGCAAGGTTTTTTAAAAATGTTAAAATTAAATTTATTTAAAATTTTCTTTAAAAAGAAAATTCCCTAAAATATTTTTATACGGATAAAATTTAAAATTTACCCCCCCCATTTTTACAGGGGTTGGTTAGTAAATTTTAGAGGAAATCCAATTTTTAATTTTTTCCCCCCAAAAAATTTCTTTCCCCATGAAATTTGTTTATTTATTTCCCTTTTCTACTTAAAAAATAGGTTATGATGGGCAAAAAACGAATTTTTTTTTTTCAATGGGTTTATATAAAATAAGTTTAGTTTACCCCTTTAATTTTTTTTTTACTTTTTAAAAATTTTAATTTGCAACCAAAAGTTTTAAAAAGGTTTTATTTTTTTTTAAATTCAAAATTTTTTAAAAAAGAAGCCGGGGGTTTCTATTTTAAGAAATTCAGCCATTTATGGGTAAATTATGTGGTATAGAATCTCATAGTATTCAATTCATTGTATTGCCACCTGTGAAAGTAAGATATGAAAACTGATATGTCATACATATCTTGTTCTTGTTTAAGTTAGTAAATGAGGCACCACAAGTTCATACATTTCATCAGCTTTGTTAAAACTGATATTTTTGACATAATGTTACATATCAGCACATAGAATTGAATGATATATGTTTTACAGATAAAGATAGTGGTACAGAGTTAGAAGACACTGTGTTTACCCCAGGGCGTGGGGACATGGTTAAGAAGGCACAGTATGATGATCTAATGTCAGAATATTTAAAACTTGCGGAGGATATGACTGTGATAAAAAAAGATTTGTCCCAATTACAGGACCTGGTAAGATTAATAAAACTGATAAACTAGGTCTGATAGTCCAGTGATTAAAATATTTCTCCTGTATGTCAAAGGTCGTATATTTGTACCTCATAACACAGAAAAATAGATGCAGCTTTTAATGATATAACCAAAAGTTACTAGTTTTTATGCCCCGATAACTTCGGGGGGAAAAGGGATGAATATAGATTTAGCCTCATCTGTCAAGCTTTCTTTTGTAAACTGATAAAATAGTGAATTGTTAGTGTATCAGTGACCTTTGGAAATATTTCTAGTTATTATTGTTCTAACACGAAGTTTAGGTGATGTTTAACTTTACTTGTTATTTACTTGTGAAAATGGGGGAAAAAAACATACACATACTTGTTGAAAAGTATTTAAAAGTTAAAAAAGTATATTATATGTGATAAATACAAATTCTAACACATGTTCACCGGTAATGATACTTGTGTTGAATATTTCAGTTATTGAGTGGTCAACCACCGGTAATGATACTTGTGGTGAATATTTCAGTTATTGAGTGGTCCACCACCAGTAATGATACTTGTGGTGAATATTTCAGTTATTGAGTGGTCCACCACCAGTAATGATACTTGTGGTTCAGATATTGAGTGGTCAACCACCAGTAATGATACTTGTGGTGACTATTTCAGTTATTGAGTGGTCAACCACCTGTAATGATACTTGTGGTGAATATTTCAGTTATTGAGTGGTCAACCACCAGTAATGATACTTGTGGTGAATATTTCAGTTATTGAGTGGTCAACCACTGGTTATGATATTTGTGGTGAATATTTCAGTTATTGAGTGGTCAACCACCAGTAATGATACTTGTGGTGAATATTTCAGTTATTGAGTGGTCCACCACCAGTAATGATACTTGTGGTTCAGATATTGAGTGGTCAACCACCAGTAATGATACTTGTGGTGAATATTTCAGTTATTGAGTGGTCAACCACCGGTAATGATACTTGTGGTGACTATTTCAGTTATTGAGTGGTCAACCACTGGTTATGATATTTGTAGTGAATATTTCAGTTATTGAGTGGTCAACCACTGGTAATGATACTTGTGGTGACTATTTCAGTTATTGAGTGGTCCACCACCAGTAATGATACTTGTGGTGAATATTTCAGTTATTGAGTGGTCCACCACCAGTAATGATACTTGTGGTTCAGATATTGACAACCACCAGTAATTATTCAGTTATGAGTGTTATGATATATATTTCAGTTATTGAGTGGTCAACCACGGTAATGATACTTGTGGTGACTATTTCAGTTATTGATGGTCAACCACCGAATGATACTTGTGGTGAATTTCAGTTATTGAGTGGTCACCACCAGTATAGTAATGATACTTGTGGTGACTATTTCAGTTATTGAGTGGTCAACCCACCAGTAATGATACTTGTGGTGACTATTTCAGATATTGAGTGGTCAAAATATTTCACCAGTAATGATACTTGTGTGGTTATTTCAGATATTGAGTGGTCAAACCACCAGTAATGATACTTGTGGGTGATATTTCAAGTTATTGAGTGGTCAACCACCGGTAATGATACTTGTGGTGAATATTTCAGTTATTGAGTGGTCAACCACCAGTAATGATACTTGTGGTGAATATTTCAGTTATTGAGTGGTCAACCACCAGTAATGATACTTGTGGTTCAGATATTGAGTGGTCAACCACCAGTAATGATACTTGTGGTGAATATTTCAGATATTGAGTGGTCAACCACCAGTAATGATACTTGTGGTGAATATTTCAGTTATTGAGTGGCCAGCCACCAGATGGGGAGGAATCTTCTACACCTGTTGATATTGTTGAAGGAACTACATTAGAGCAACAAATTGTGAGTTACCAACATTATAGTGCAATATACAGCACAGCTGAAAAATAATTTCATAATTTTGCAACTGGACTTTTGAGAAAGTAGAAATTTATTCTAAGTTGAAGAATTTTTGGACATCTATGATATGTCTGTTGGAAACTAACCAATGAAAATGATAAAATACTTCAGAAAAAAAATATTGTGAAAATGTTTATTTTTCCGTATTTCAATGTGATTATTTACAGAATGGGGAAATATTTACTGTGAAGTCATACTTTAAATTTAAACTTTGAATAGATTTTGACTGACAAATAGGTTAGTAAGACCTGTTGTAATGATAAAAAAATTACAGACCGTTAATCAAAAGTATTCAGAATGTAAAGATGGTTTATTTCTTTATTTCTTTTATAGGTGATATTACGCAGTCAGTTACAGCAAACCAAAGAAGTCAATAGTAGTTTACGAGAAGAATTATCTAAAAATAAATTAGACTTGATGCAGATACAAGGTGTCAAGGTATGGCATTGTTTTTTCTACGTAACAAAAAAAAATTGTCATCCATAGCTAGCCTTTATTTACCTGTGTAAGCCATTGAAGAAATAATGGCTTTCTTTGCCATTGATCACTTGCCAGATCATCTTGCATATTCTTGTTGTTTGACCAGACGCAATATATAGATGGCTAAATAATCTTTGTATATTGAAATTTCTTCATTTTATCAAGTACAGTTCCTCTCACTTATTTATTATTTCATTGACAGGCTGGCCTTCAGCAGAGAATAACTGATCAGGAAACTACCATCTCCCAGTTAAAAGCAGAATTATTACGCAGAGATTTCCAGAAACAAAATTTTGATTCTGAACAGGTATTTTTGTTATACAATAGCTTTACAAATGTAATTTTCACTAATGATATTCAAATAATACAAGAAAAAGCAGTTTTCAGGATTTCACATTAAATATTTATCCCCCGTTTTTGCCTCCTAAAAGAAGACATGATAAAAAAAATCCACCTATTTGATAAGATACAGTCCGTTCAGATATAACATCAATTTATGTGACATAAAGGGTACATAAATATAGATATAGATCAAAATGATTTCTATACTGAAATACAATAATTTTTATTTTTACAATCCTATTTATTTACTATACATTTATACTTTTATATTTCAGACTAATGTATCTAAACAGTTGCGAGACAAAGACAAGATAATCTCAGACCTTAAAGTAAGTTGTTCTTCCCATGTTTACCCGTACCCTGCTGGAACTTTAAGTAAAAAATAGCCTTTGCCACAAGTATAAACAGGTCATCCTGCACATCCATCCTGTCTAACCAGGCTCTATACTGGTGGCTGATCAACTTCAAAATTTCATCAAGACTTACTTTAAATTTTCATCTTGTTATCCCCAAATTTGCAGTGAACAGTTCCATAAATGGAAGCTGGACAAGTTCATTCACATTCAAGAAATTAAGTAGGTTTGGGGTTGAAGTAACCAATCTTATGTTGGACGTTTTAAACAAATTCAGCAGATCTTTTCATGTGGGGTTTGTTAGATAATATTTGATATGATTCTAATATTTAAATTTAGTGATATCCACTTTCAGGAATACTGCTTAGAAATAAGTCACCATGTCCTGTTTTCTTATACCTTTTTCTTCTAGAAACATTTGTAACTGTCATGAAATAGACATCTCTTGTTAAAACACATTTGTGAAAGCAAAAAAAGAAAACCTGGGCTGCGTTTCATGGAGAGTCTTAAGTTAATCCTAAATCCTAGGACTTATGACCAACTTTAGGAGAAAAAGTTTTTGCACTTAAGACCGTTTCAAGTAACTGTCCTATCTTTTGTCTTAAACTTAAGACTTATGACCAATTCGCTCTCCTGAAAAAAGTTACAAAATACAATGGCACGCGCATAATCCCGGATTGGATTTACTATGTAATTGATTATAGCAAGTATAAAAAGTAATGTATTTCCCTCTTATCATGTTGAGTGAAAATATATACCATATTTCACGAAAAACGATAAAATAACCGTTTTATTTAATTTCATAGTAAAAAATGTTTACGAACCCCCCTTGCTTGCTACGCAACTGCAATTATACATCGCACAGTAATATTATTTATAGATGTGTCTTGTTTTGCACGCGATATTTGGCGCTAAATTGTGATGTCATGTAAACAACTCTTTAAACGTCTTTACAGCGTTAATAACTGAATTAAAGATATTGGTGTTCGGATTTATTTTCTTAGTTAGACCATTGTCTATCATTCTAGATAGTTTTCAAAACCAAATTCAACAAAAAGTTGTTTGATTTTGGAGTGGTTTTGACTTAGGACAATCTTAAGATACCTTTACAACACTCCTAGACTTAGGACTGTTTTTGGTCATAAATATAGAAGTCATAAATTAGGACCTTTTTAGCTCACCTGTCACAAAGTGACAGGGTGAGCTTTTGTGATCACTTTTCGTCCGGCGTCCGTCCGTCGTCCGTAAACTTTTATTTTAAATGACATCTTCTCATAAACCACTAAGCCAATTTCAACCAAACTTCACAGGAATGTTCCTATGGTGGTCACCTTTGAAAATTGTTCAAAGAATTTAATTCCATGCAGAACTCTGGTTGCCATGGCAACCAAAAGAAAAAACTTTAAATATCTTCTTCTAAAAAACCCAAAGAGCTAGAGCTTAGATATTTGGCATGAAACATCTTCTAGTGAGTGTCTACCAAGTTTGTTCAAATAAAAGCCCTGGGGTCAAAATTGGCCCCGCCCCAGGGGGTCATTGATTTTCCCTATATGCATATAGTAAAAACTTAAAAAATCTTCTTTTAAAGAACCCAAAGACCTAGAGCTAAGATATTTAGCATGAAACATCCTCTAATGGGTGTCTACCAAGTTTGTTCAAATAAAAGCCCTGGGGTCAAAATTGGCCCCGCCCCAGGGGGTCATTGATTTTCCCTATATGCATATAGTAAAAACTTATAAAATCTTCTTTTAAAGAACCCAAAGAGCTAGAGCTAAGATATTTAGCATGAAACATCCTCTAATGGGTGTCTACCAAGTTTGTTCAAATAAAAGCCCTGGGGTCAAAATTGGCCCCGCCCCAGGGGGTCATTGATTTTCCCTATATGCATATAGTAAAAACTTAAAAAATCTTCTTTTAAAGAACCCAAAGAGCTAGAGCTAAGATATTTAGCATGAAACATCCTCTAATGGGTGTCTACCAAGTTTGTTCAAATAAAAGCCCTGGGGTCAAAATTGGCCCCGCCCCAGGGGGTCATTGATTTTCCCTATATGCATATAGTAAAAACTTAAAAAAATCTTCTTTTAAAGAACCCAAAGAGCTAGAGCTAAGATATTTAGCATGAAACATGTTCTAATGGATGTCTACCAAGTTTGTTTAAATAAAAGCCCTGGGGTCAAAATTGGCCCCGCCCCGGGGGTCATTGATTTTCCTTATATGTGTATAGCAAAAACTTAAAAAGTCTTCTTTGAAAAAAAAACAAATAGCTAGAGTTTAGATACTAAGCATGAAACATCTTCTAGTGAGTGTCTACCAAGTTTGTTCTTATAAAAGCCCTGGGGTTAAAATTGGTCCCGCCTCGGGGGTCATTTATTTTCCTTATATGTGTATAACAAAAACTTAAAAAATCTTCTTTAAAAAAACTCAAATAGCTAGAGTTTAAATATTAAGCATGAAGCATCTTCTAGTGAGTGTCTACAAAGTTTGTTCAAATGAAAGCCCTTGGGTCAAAATTGGCCCCGCCCCGGGGGACATTCATTTTCCTTATATGTGTATAGCAAAAACTTAAAAATCTTCTTTGAAAAAACCCGAATAGCTAGAGTTTAGATATTAAGCATGAAACATTTTCTAGTAAGTGTCTACAAAGATTGTTCAAATAAAAGCCCTTGGGTCAAAACTGGCCCTGTCCCAGGTGTGTCATTGTTTTTAACTATATGTGTAAAGGAAAAACTTGACCAGCTTGACCTTAGATGTTTAGCATGAAACATCTTCTAATGGGTGTCTACCAAGTTTGTTCAAATAAAAGTCCTGGGATTTAAACTGGCCCCGCTCCGGGGGCCTATATACAGGTGAGCGACTTCAGGGCCATCATGGCCCTCTTGTTTAAGACTTTCTTTGAAACACAAAATTGTCACAGTTTTTATCTTAAGACAAACTTAAGACTTAGGACTCTCCATGAAACGCAGCCCAGAAATATATTTTGAATTTGTTTTAAAGAAAATCTATATTCTTCATTTATTTTACAAAACTTCACAACTACAAATTATATATGAAGGTGCCTGGATTATGCTGTAAGTTAATGTAATAAATATCCTTTTATCAATGCTGAATCACAAACTTTTTTTACCACCATTGTAAACCCAGGCCTGTACAACTCTGCAATCTGACCAGTCTCTATACGCTTTGCTGACCAACTATTAAATTGTAATCATATATCCTTACAATTACATGCTGTTTCAAAATGAAAGTGTTACAAGTCCATTCAGGTAATTTAGCATGTTAAGTTCTTTATCAACATATTTAATGTTTGTATTTTACAGAAAGATTTAGCAAGAAGAGAACAAAAGATAGACCATATTCGTCATGACTTTCAAATGCAGTTATCAGAAAAGGAAAATTCTAATCAGACATTGAAACAACAAATGAAAGAATTAAATGATAGATTTAAAGTAGTAGATGAAACAGGGGTAAGACATAATATATCTTTTATCATCTCACTCATTATATTGAGTAAACTAGATTATTTTAACTATAAAGGAATTGCAATTTAGAATGCCATGTTCTGATCTCTTTATCTTGTCAATTACTGTTCTATAATTACAAATATTTACTTTAGTTCAATCACCTGTGTCTGTGATGTAATATAGTCTGTTATATGACAGATTAAGCTCATAGCTTGCATGCTAAAGCTTAGAGAGAATAAAATTCTAGTGTATTAAGGCCATTATAATTTAGTTCTTTCCCGCATATTTTGTCAATTTTGAAAATGATACGAATGAACCATAGTTTGAACAGTCTTTCAACTGTTAACTAATTACTTTCTGAAATATTGACTTGTGAATTAAGTAAGTTTTTGTACAAAATACTGTTAAATGCCTTAAAATTGATGGATCTTCTTGAACTATAAGTTATATTTGTCTAGCATATGTATCATTTCTTTTAAGTAGACTTCAGTGATACCAAGTACATGTAGTTTGAAATTAAATCACCATATGTGATATTCTTGTTTGATAACGTGTAACTGTATTATATATACCTACCCTTCAGCATGACAGCTCTTAATCTATCATTTAGTTATATATTGTTTGCTTTATTTTATTACATTTTCTCTCTACCTTTCACTAATCAGGCATCTTTGAAGGCTCGTGTAGCTACACAAGATAAACAGATGGCTCGACTAGCAGGACGTATCCTACATACAAAGAATGAACAAGTGCGACCCCCTCCTGTAAGATTTACTTTAAACATATCATTTTATACTCGGTTGTGAAACAGGTATTTGCAGATCACATTATGCTAGAGTCAGCTACCTTTAACAGAGCAGTACTTAGTGTTGTACCAGGTTGTATGTTTGTGAAATAACTTATATAAATCATATTCTAGTCAGTTTTCTTGGATAAACTATTACTGATGCTTAAAAAAAATCACCTGATATAGAGCTCAAGAGCCCCAGTATGATAGGCTGACACCTGTACAACTTGGTCGCCACTCCCCTCCAGATTTTCTTCTCTGAAACCTATATTGTACTGTCAGTTCTTCTCATCAATTCAGTATTTATCAAACTTTTTTTCTTCATTCTTTCAGTCAAAACTGTTATTGTCCTTATCTTCATCTCTGTACTGATTACAGCTTTTATTATAGGATAGATAAATCTTATCTTTAATGCAAGTAATTTGATGTGATTATTATTATTAATTGCTGTGACGTCAATGGTATGAATTCCATGAGGGACATTAAAATTTGTCATGCGAGGAAGATATGGTAGCTTGATTGTGTTACTTAAATATCAAGCAGAATATTATTATAAAAACAATCATGCATGGACATACAATCTCTCAGTTTATATAAAAATTACCTCTCTATCACTTATATTTAATGATTTGCTTCAGAAATTTCATTATGGTGACATGCTTTCTGAAGATGGTTCAACTTATTTTGACTGGTTCACTGTATTTCACATATTTTGTAGACTGGTGCTGATGAATATGGTGTTTTACGAGAATCTTTATCCAGTCTACGTCAGTGCTTCCATAATACAGACCCCCAGCAACATACATTAGATACTATAGAACAGTGGATATCTACAATTACAGAACGTCTCTCAAATCTCAGTAATACCTCGTCTAAAACAGATGCACATTCCTTAAATGTAAGTTATAATATTATTGCACATCATCATTTTGCCATAATTTCTGCTTTGAATAAATTGCTTGTTGTTTGATCAACTTAAGAAACCTGATACAATAATTTATTTTTGATAGACCGGTTTAAGCATGTTGTATGGGGGGCATAAGACAAACAACTTTTCCTACTTACCATTGTGATTTCAGTGTCACTTTAAGGGAAGCTATCCAGCATTCATTTTGTGTCAGTGACTTTAGAAATGTACTGAAATAGGAGTACTTTGTCTACAAATCCAAGTAGAAATCTTTGTACATACAGTGCATTAAGGTTATGATTATGCTATGTAACTTTGATAGGTTACTGTGAAACAAAGAAATGAATAAGAAAATTGATTTGATTTCAGAGTTCGTATGAGCAGCACGTATCTCGTAAGTTAAACTTTGATGGTACGGGTGACATACGTAGAAACTTTGACGGTACTGGAGATGTACGTCGGTCACCTATTACAGCAATACCAGGTAGTAAACAATCAAGTGAGTGTTGTGGCGCACGGTTTGTAACCATTTTATCCTCTCACATTTATAATCTAATCATATATCCACCACTAGCATGGTTTATTTGTAATACTTAATTCTTCAACCAGATTTGATAAACTCCCGTGTGCAATTATCGGTAGTAGACATTTTTATTTTGTGGTGCATTTCATTAATATTACTTTTTGGTAATTATTTAAAGCTGTGGTAAAAGGAGAATAGTATACATGTACATGTATATCAGACTGGGACACACAATTTGTCTTCAACAGACTGATTCAAAGTGTATGTACTTTGTCATTATGTAGAAAATAAGACTTAAGTGATTGTCACAGGTACACAAGTTCTCACTCAAGACAGGCAGAGAGTTAGTCACACAAGTAAATAATGTATAAATGAAAAAAAAACACCATTCTGTTTTACTTGACATAATATACATGTACATAAAGATATCAAAGTCATTTATTTAGCCATGAAACACCTGGCAAGATATGTGTAGAAACAAATTCCAAATTATAAAATCAGTATAGAGGACACAGCTCTCCACATAAGATTCTCTTTTTTTAGTGCATGCTTAGAAGTTAATTTGATTGAAATCATATATGAATAGGATGAGGCCCATCAATGCGTTTCTTGGTGAAAAATGATTTGATTAATATTTGAGTGAATAATACGATGCATAAGTGAAGTGGAGACAAGGGAAATCACAATATTTCATCAAAGACATGATGTCTCTGTGACATACAGCTTAATGCTGATCTCTTGTCGCAAACACTTAGCTATGATGATACATTTAGTCAAAAAATTACTGCCATTTTCTACAGTCTGGGAAAGTCTGTGTTACACCTAGATGTATAAAAAAATGTAGGACATTCTTTCCCAATTTAAAGTAAAATGAAAATTGATAAAAAAAGTTGTGTGTACATTGTTGTGTTGTGTTGTTTGAATGTTTGTTGTGTTCTTGTATAGTTTATAGTGTTGTGGGATACCATTGTAAGAGGTGTAAGCAAAATTAAAATAACAAACAATTTTTTTCTATGTACTTGAAAAGCAAGAGTATGAGTTTGTGATAGTATATATTGTCATATAATACATGTATGTAGACATTATGTGACATAGATATATAGACATAACATTCTGATGTAAACTATACATTGTTTTTCAACTGAAATGTTTTTTTATGATTTAGAATGCATTTAATTATAACTGATACAAAAGCAAGACCTTTATGAGATTTATCAACTGGTTGTATTGTTGTGTATGTTCAGTCCCCATGTTTGAAAATTATTTATTGTATCCTAACATGTTATTTTGTTACTGTCCTTGTCATTCCTCATGTTAACGCCTGCATGAACAATTTTGTTAGAGAAAAACCCTTCTATGATTGAAATGCTATATTTCCAGGTTTTAACCCCAGCAAGTTAGATAGTCCCCCAAACCAAAACTACACCAAAGTCCTATACTTTACTGAAAGTGCCACAACTCCTTCCATGCTAACAATTTACAAACGGTAAGTTAAATTTTAATTATTTTGTGTATATATTATTATATACACAAATAAGAACAGTTACATGAAAACTACAGTAGAACTTCTATGAGTCGAACTTCGATTAGTCGATTTTCTCGATGGGTCGAAGTAAAATGAAAGTCCCGATTTTTTTCCCTCATATATTCCTTATAAAAACCTATTGATGAGTCGAGATTTTATGTGTCGAGTTTTTCGATGTGTCGAAGTTTTTTCGTGGTCCGTATAGAATAAATCTAGTACAATTTACCACAAATAAGTCGAAGTTCTTCGGTTATTTTGACACCTTCGACCTCGAGACATTTTCACACCTTTTTGGTCGCGAAGACAATTTCCGATCAACTTTTTAGCGACAGGTGTTAATTACACAGTCGAGTGTTCCAAACAGCCTTTGTATGCGTTTAAATGTGTGAAAAAATGCTTGAATCATTACTATTTTAATTGCCGTAGTGGTATTTGAAAGTACATGTAAACAGTAAGAACATTTTTTTGAGTTCTTCCGTGACCCGGTGTCGCGTGATAATCACACGCGAAATATTTACTATAAGCTGGTTAAGTTATTGCCCTTTCGTATTGTTAAGCCTTTTGTAACTTCATTGTATACGTCAACAGGGAGTCCAAATCATTAGCCGTGAAAAGTTAATTAACATGTCATATTTATCATTGTATAATGTGAAATATCAGATTAATGAATGAAAGAAAAACATGAAATAGGTTACGTTATATATCTTATAATTAGGGCTAGTCACGGGTGGAAACTTGTCATGAAATTCAGACCGATTCATGAGTCGAAGTCCCGATGTGTCGAAGTTTTTACGCAAGTCCCTCCAACTTCGACTTACCGAAGTTCTACTGTAGTAGTTAAAGTGTAGAGGGAGCTATTATTGACTAGTTTTATAATAATGATAAATTTCACAGTAATACAACTTAATAAGCATTCATTTTGATTCAATCTGAAGTCATTTAGTAACATATACTGAAGTTATGCCTAAATTCTAAAAATATTTTTGTAAAAATATTTTTTTGCAGCCATTTGTTTTCTGATAGTATATGTGTGGGGAAAAAGTGTAATAATTTAAATTTTGGGGGAGAATATCATGTGTTTGTTTATTTTTCAGATTGGGAGAGATAACTCTACATGATTTTAAAGGGTCATTTGACAGACCAGGTCAATATAGATACCATTTTAAAGCATTGGATCCAGAATTTGGAACTGTAAAAGAAGAGGTAAGATTAATATTATTGATGAGGCAGTAATTTGTTGTTTTAGAGCTGTTTTCATATGGTGGTTATAGTGGAAAAGTGGTTACGTATTTAATGAAAGAGGTCAAAATGGTAAACCTACGGTACCTGCTAAGAATCAGGCCAGTGTGTATACCCATGCAATTTAAGCTATTACTTTCAGCCTAAACTTTGCATTTTCCTATCCAAACCCTCATAATTGAACATTTTTATACTCAAAGCTTGACAAATCTATTAACAAATGACAAGGATTTAAAATGAGTTTTTAGAGATTTGTAAATTTGCTATGTGATAAAAAAAAATAAGATGTTCATGTAGGTTAATTACTAAATTATTTAACTTGTACAAAACAATATTATGCTGGCCAGAGTTTTGCTTTACATAATTTAATTAAACATATTCAAGAAATTTAGTTTTGAATCTACTTTTTTTAAATTAAATATCTGCTATTATGTAATGTTTTAAAATGATGTTAAATCTGACCTGCTTAAATATAATTGAACACTACTAGTTTACTTCATACTATGTAAATGTGATTATTTTATATTTTAGATATCAAATGAGGAGAGTGTAATACCTGGATGGGAAGGGAAAATTGTTGCATGGATTGAGAAAGACACTGGACAGTAGTGATTACTGTTATAGAACTTAACAAATTGTTAATATGAGTTTTAATGCTTGTTATTGTAATATAAACATTATGCCATATTTGTTCTAATACATGTAATTGTTTCAAGTTGCGGATGTTTGAAGAGATAAAAAAAAATAGTAATTGGAAATTTTAACTTCTGCATTTTGCTCTGTGAAATATAAAGGTATATAATCTAAAGAAACTTTTTTTTCAAGTACTTTTTAAATTGTAAATCAAGTAAAATTTGTCAAGGTGGACTTTTTATTTTAACCTTATGCATCTTAAAAAAAACTTTACACCAACAAATGCTTGAAATTCCTAGCAAAATATTACAAAGTCCATTTAAATCAATTTTAGCTATTTTCACATTTATAAATGATGTGCTTATGTTAAAGTTATTAGTGCTTTCTGTCTGGAAATGCCAGATTTTATAAGTCCAATATAAAACATTGCTCACAATAGAAGTTTATTGACTTTCCAGAGAATGTCAGATCTATATTGAAGCTAAACCTGTCTGTTGTGTTTGGATACTTTTTACATTTGCTTTTGCATTCAATGTACGGTATATATAGTTTCTGCATTTATTTAGAATATAACAGCTGATATGTACATTTGTCTGTGTACACAGCTGTTACACTTGTCTGTGCACACAGCTGTTACACTTGTTTGTGTACACAGCTGGAACACTTGTCTGTGTACACAGCTGTTACACTTGTTTGTGTACACAGCTGTTACACTTGTTTGTGTACACAGCTGGTACACTTGTCTGTGTACACATCTGGTATATTTGTCTGTGTACACAGCTGATATACTTGTCTGTGTACACAGCTGGTACACTTGTCTGTGTACACATATGGTACACATGTATGAATATACATCTTGTACACTTGTCTGTGTACACAGCTGGAACACTTGTCTGTGCACACAGCTGTTACACTTGTTTGTGTACACAGCTGGAACACTTGTCTGTGTACACAGCTGTTACACTTGTCTGTGTACACATCTGGTACACTTGTCTGTGTACACAGCTGGTACACTTGTCTGTGTACACATCTGGTACACTTGTCTGTGTACACATCTGATATACTTGTCTGTGTACACAGCTGGTACACTTGTCTGTGTACACATCTGGTACACATGTATGAATATACATCTTGTACACTTGTCTGTGAACACATCTGGTACACTTGTATGTGTACACAGGTAGTACACTTGTTTTTGTACACACATGACATAGTACAATTGTTTGTGAACATGAATAGTCACAATCATATATAAATATTGTAACAAAAAGTTTTATGTTAAGTGTGAAAATATGAATCTCAGTATGTATTTAGCTTTCGATATACACATGCCTTTTTCATTGCATCATATATACAAGAACTTGCAAAAATATTGTATTTTAAGTACATTCCTTGTTTTTCATTTTTGTGACAGTATTAATTTAGACATTCCTGTGATTCTATTCCTTCAGTTTTGATCAAGAATTAATCAGTATCTTTTTGACAAAACCATTAATCAATATTATAACTGATTCATTAATTTGCATAAGTGATTAAAATTTATTTGCATAATTAATTTACATTTTATAAGCTTATGTAATCATGTCATTATATAATCAAATTTTATGCTGCCATTCCATGTATTAATGATACAATTGAACAATGTTATAATAATATTAACATTTATAAACGGGTCTTTAAGGACATTCCAGAATTCCCCATATATCTAAATGTTTTTTTTCCATATCTGTAGTGTTAAATAAACGCCTGGACTTATTTCTCAGGATCTATTCAAGGAGATTGCCAGTTTCATCTAAGTTTTTTTTTATCACTTGTACATCTCGGATTTATACTGTTCTAAGTGATGCCCATTCAACTTTCTGTGACACTTATTACCACTGGTAGCCAAGATCAATCCTTGTTTAACCTTGACCTGCTAGAACCAAAGGTTATTTCCCTTTGCCACCAGTATAGAGCCGGACCAGTCTGTACATCTGTGCAGTCTGACCAGCCTCTATACTGGTGGTAGCTCAACTTTAATTTTTGATATATTGAAATCCCCTTGCTCTAAAATCAAAGCAGGGCAAGTCCATTATACAAATTCAGCAGAAGTTTGTTAGTATGATGTTTAAAACATTGTTGTTTCCATTATACATGTGTTGTTGTGTGCCTTTACCATTACACATCTGGTGTTTTCTCGAAGGTTTCATGTTTGGAGGTGCCTCGGTTTTTATGTTTGGAGGAGCCTCGGTTTTCCTTGTTATAATCCTGGTGATCAAATATTTATGCGGGTAATTTGGTGTGCTAATCTTTTCTGCAACAGTAAAATGTAATGTTTGTTTACATTTTGCAAGTATTTTGTTTGCAGCAGTACAAAATCGTTGCCTTAGCATGATTTTTCTTTTTTTGGATTTTCATTTTTTTTTTTAAATTTTTTTCTTTTTTTAAATATTTAATTTGTAACCATTTTTTTTTTTTTTTTTTGCGCGTGCTATTTGGTCCACTTGGTTTAGTTTTCGTACCACCCCACTTTATTTCAGAAGTATTACAAGTATGGCTTTGAAACTTACCATACTTGTTCACCATCATAACCTCCATCTACAGACAAGAGTACATAACTCTGTCAAGGTTTTTGACAGAATTATGGCCCTTTTTTGACTTAGAAAGTGTATTGAGCTTGGTTAAGTTTTTTGTACCACCTCACTTTATTTCAAAACCATTGGAGGTATTGCTTTGAAACTGACCATACTTGTTTACCATCACGACCTTCATCAACAGACAAGAGGACATAACTCTGTCAAGGTTTTTGACAGAATTATGCCCCTTTTTGACTTAGAAAATACATTGAATATGGGTAAAATCCACTTATTGCCTTAACCCTTTGAGATATTGCTTTGAAACTTTTAATGCTATTTCACATCATTACCCCCATCTGTACGCAAGAGAAGGTAACTCTGTCAAGGATTTGTTTTAAAAATTAAGGCCTTTTATCGACTTAGAATCTTGGTTAAGTTTTTAGTACCAGTCCACTTTTTGACTGAACTGTTTGAGATATTAATTTGAAAGTTGGAATACTTGTTTACAATCATGATTCCCAAACATGTCCAGGAGAAGGTAATTCTGTCAAAGATTTTATTTGAATTATGGCCCTTAACTGTCAATGTTTTGTATTACTGCAAAAACTTTTTTTATTGGCAAGCAATAAAAAAGTCGAGCGCGCTGTCTTACGGACAGCTCTTGTTTGTTATGTTATGTAAACCAGTTTGATACTATTTCTATGCCAGTTTTGTGTTTTGTTAATGTAAACTAATTTGTACAATATCTTTGCCAGTGTGGTTATAGTCAACTGGTTTTTCTTTAGTATACAGGTTTTACTTGTTGATGTTAACTGGTTTTGTATGGTTTCAGGCTTTTTAAGACTGAAAATGTTTACATTGTTTGAACAAGTATACATGTGGAACAGCAACATTGGGGTGAGAAAAAGTAAATTAACTATTTACTATGTAAAATTTACACAGTAGGATTTTACAAATACAGTCTCATAGTATAACTTATTGTATATTCATACATGTATTAACAATATTGTTTACATTTTTCACGCTAAATTATCCAGACAATGTGTGAATATAAAAATACAAATAAATGACCTTGATATAAAGTTTGAATAGGGAAGTTTTTTATACTAAGTACAAAATTAAGTATGTACATGAATATGCATAATAATAATAAAGTTTAAATTGTAGCAATGTGTACCATAATATATAATGTAGTATTTAACATTTAACAGTTTAATTCTTAAAAAACATTTATAAAAGTAGATCTGAATCTTTATTTTTTGTAAAATTGTTTTGTAAAATACAAGGTAACTTGGTTACTCTGATGTCCTTTTTTTCTTGAATTGTATGACATTTAGAATTTGAGTTGTATTTGATAGATATTGATGATGTATTCTGTAACAGGCATGTGAGGTTTTGGATTTTATATAGAATGATTTATATCATTATATACTGTATGTCTTCCATTCATTGTTGAATGCCTTTTGACCTGTTTGGGGCTTTAGACAATATATTTCAAGGATGTACATGTAAGTGAAATTCCTGCATTGTAACACATTGTAAAGTTATAGTATACTGTAAATGTAATTTGAAAGTGGTCTCCTTTTGTTTTTAACACCTTCCAAAGAAACTGTTCCAATCATAACACATAAAAGCCACACATTTAGAAATATTGATATACCATGTTTCAAAGATAAATTTCTAATTAAACCTGACCTTGCTGGAACCAACTGTAATATCAGTGTTGAGTGATATAGCCTTGGTCACCAGTATAGAGCTAGACCAGCCGACTCTCATTTGTGATGTTTGACCAAGCTCTATATGGTTGGCTGACTGACTTGAAATTTTTATCTTAATATTCCTGACATTGATAATGAACATTTCCGAAAATGGAGAGCTAGACAAAATCATTTCAGAAATCTCAGCAGAATATGTTATGAAAATATGAATGCATTTTTGTCTGTGTTCTTTATTGTTCTCAATATAACATATATAAATAATGTTTACTTGAAAATCTAAAGCCCAATACAGAATTTTACCATGGAATATATAGTTAAGGTTAGGGTAAGAATTGATGGATATTTGCTCATATTTATTAATTTATTGTGCCATTTCCAACATACTAACAGTCATTTTTTCTGATTATTTAACTATCACATACAATTCACTTTATTTCTGGTAGTAAAGTTTTTCATTATAACTAATGGACACTATTTGGACATTTTTAATATGTATGTAGATTTTATTATTATTACATTTTATGTATGTTTTGTTGTTATAAATTAAAATGATCAATAAGAGCAGCTGTAGCAACCATTATGTGTTGAAGTATATAAATGATTTAACTATCACTTTTGAACAAAATAGCACTTTGTATCAATGATTTATTTTCCATGTATCTTCTGAATTTTGTCATGAACAATTTGTTAGGTGTCTTTTTTTTCTCTTGTTAAACTGTGTACAAAGGCTTGTCAAAAAAGTTGGTTTGTTTCTATTGTGTAATTTTAGTCCCATTACATTTTGAACAGTGTTGGCCATAGTATTATCATAATTGTTTGTTAGACGAAAAACATATTTGTTTTCATTGATTTTGCATTATTTATTTGCTTTAGTTTTGTTGAAATAGTTGCAATAGGAGAAAAAATGCTTGACTTGTAGATGGTGTTTAATTGCCCGAGAGAATCTTGCCCAAAATTATCAAATCATGTTTGTTGAAATGAATATAATTTCTTTGCGCTTTTAAAATACCTATCCTTTGTATTTATTCTGCATTTAGCTTCATAAATTTGAAATCCATATATAATTCCACACATAACATATCTGTCATGGGAAAAATCACGCAATTCTGGACCCGTGACTGTCATATGTCTGTTCTCTGGACCCGTGACTGTCATATGTCTGTTCTCTGGACCCGTGACTGTCATATATCTGTTCTCTGGACCAGTGACTGTCATATGTCTGTTCTCTGGACCCATGACTGTCATATGTCTGTTGACCCGTGACTGTCATATGTCTGTTCTCTGGACCCATGACTGTCATATGTCTGTTGACCCGTGACTGTCATATGTCTGTTCTCTGGACCCATGACTGTCATATGTCTGTTCTCTGGACCC